TGGGGCGTGCAATATTATTCGGCCCCTTTACTTTCAGTGCAGCAAACTCACTCCAGAAGTTCAGTGAGGATCTTTGAATGATCCAATGTTGTCCTAAATGACTGATGATGATAAATAGAATGCACCTGTGTGTAATCAAGTCTCCGTATAAATGCACCTGCTCTTTGATAGTCTCAGGGTTCTGTTTAAAGCGCAGAGAGAACCATGAAGACAAAGGAACACACCAGGCAGGTCCGAGATACTGTTGTGGAGAAGTTTAAAGCTGGATTTGGATACAAAAAGTTTCCCAAGCTTTAAACATCTCAAGGAGCACTGTGCAAGCAATTATATTGAAATGGAAGGAGTATCAGACCACTGCAAATCTACCAAGACCCGGCTGTCCCTCCAAACTTTCATCTCAAACAAGGAGAAGACTGATCAAAGATGCAGCCAAGAGGCCCATGATCACTCTGGATGAACTGCAGATAACTACAGCTGAGGTGGGAGAGTTTATCCATAGGACAACAATCAGTCGTGCACTGCACAAATCTGGCCTTATGGAAGAGTGGCCATTTCTCAAAGCAGAGGCCTGCTCACTCCGAAGGACCTCAGCCTCCTAAGATTCATAGTTCTATTTGATAACGTAAATTAGTTAATCTTAGTTCTCGGTTCAAGGCAAGTTTATTTGTATGACACCGTTTCCTGGCATAGCTTCGAACAGCATTCTCCTCACCTCTCCCTCGCACCTGCTGCTTGTGTTGTTCTGACCATTAGACTTGTCCCTCTTGGGTGGCCGCTCTCCTGAGCCAACAGCTGAAGGTAAAAAAATCCTCTTCTTTCTTCAAACTCCCTCAGGTTTGCCCTGGACCTTTACCTTCCTGTTCTCCCCTGACCATGTTTTGTCCTTTTCTATTCCCTCTGGATAAAGTTTGGAAAAGGTCTTCGCAAAGATAACAGTGACAGGTTTTTTGCGATTTTGTCATTTGGACTTTGGTTGGATTTGATTGGTTGTAGGATTTGCACCAATCAGTGGGAACGTTGTTAAAAAATGAAAAAAAGCAAGTTTCAGCGAGTTCTATAATGACAGTATATACTAGGGACTGGGAGACAAAGCCAAAATAGTTTGGGGTTATTTATTTTCTCCAGGACAAATCAGTGAAATCAAAATCATCCTTACAGTATTCATCAATCATTTAAACCAAATCAAACTCATTAATGGAAGTGAATAATGGCATGGACAGCCAGAGTAAAAGAGAAATACTATACTATTCGTATATAAAACGTAGTGAGATTGGCTTGAAAATCACTATTATGCCGTTTTAGTTATTTTTACAATTTTAAAAGCGTGTTGAATTATTTTTGTTATTTCCAGACAACTTTTCTTTGTTGTTCAGATAAAATAAGTTTGTTATGCTGTATTTTAATGTTAAAGAAATAAGTAAATGATTCTTGAAATGTATATTTTTCTACTAGAATCAAGTCAGAAATCTTGTCCAGTCATATTTTCTTGTTCTATTGCCAGATTTTTTTTCTTAATTTAAGCAATATTTTACTTATTTCCGTAGATATCTTCCTTATTATTTTTTTTATTTGAATCTCCATTAGCCCCAAACGGTCGCTAAAGTCTCCCTGAGGTCCTCTCCACCAAGGGTCAAGTCACATTAAAACATTTCAAACAGTATAAAAAGCAAACCGAATAAACCTTTCACATCCTTTTCCCCCAGCTTTCACACCACCCAATGAGATCTCCATTTTGCATTTGGCCTCTTATTACCTCTGGCAACAAAACGTGCCGGCCGCAAGGCGTTCCAAAGCCCAAGCAGACCAGAAGAGATGATTTAATTTGGAGGCGAGCGCAGAGTATGTGGAATGAAGGCACAGAGCAGATTAAATGCATGGGCTGAGGAGTTTTTGGGCAACGAAAACTGCCTTGTCTCCGGGGAACGGTTGGCAGCGCAGGCTCTGGATCAGCAACACGCAATCTCCCATTACACAGTCTAGACACACACCTGCTCAACTTTTATCGCAGCTAATCACTGTAATCTTCAACACACTCTGACAAATTGAGCCAAAATAAAAGCCTTTCCCGTGCTGCCCATTTGATTTTTTTTTAAAGTAACTTTTCTCTGAGGCGACAGAGGAATGTTGAAAGGGTGTACTTACGGCGTGTTATATAAAAGATGATTTTACAACAGTCAAGCAGAAGACCCTACCTTTTTCAATTAGGACAAATATGTAACATGGAGCTAGGAATCCGTTTTTATTGCAGAGAACTTAAAAAAAATATATATATATATGTTTTATCCAAATGTATTTTATTTCTGAAGGTTTTATTATGATATCACGGTTATAATGGACTATTCTTATTTTCTTATATCAATACTATATGTAGGATAATCTAACAAACTGCATCGTAAAGCGTGAGAGCCAGAAACATTAATTAAAAAAAAAAATACTTTAGATTAGAATTACTTTGTTTCATTTGACCAAACACACATACTTCTGAAATTAGAATTTACTAACATGTTTATTATTATATTTATTTCAGAAATTGAACAGCTTACAATAAATACACTTTTATTAACTGCAGTAAATGTATTTTGATCTTCGGTTGCTCTTCCTTAAGAATTAAACTCTTGAGATATTCTATGATATTGCTCTTTACAAATAGGGCTACAAATGTACACACTCTAAAACATTTTTCATTATTATTTTATTTCTATTTGAAGCTCCTTGAGATTCAAAGATCTCTTTTTATTCCCAATACAACCCTCAAAACATACATAAAAAATACAATACATGATTTACAACCACCAAGTCATTGATTACGTCTTTCAGAAGGAAACCAAAATTTGCGCTGAACGTATTCATTCAGCTTTATCCTTCCATGTTGTGTAGTGTAATGTCTGTGATGCTGTAGAAACGGGGCCTTAAGCTCATTTTGGACAAAGCATCAAAGGATTGTGCTGCTGTGAAATGAGCCCTCTCAGTTTGCATCGAAATGATCTAAAATCATCAACGTCTAAATAAATGTGGCCTTCACCAAACCTCTGGGCCGAGGGGAAGATGTTCATTATTGGTTGATGATATTTTAACCTTTCACTTGAAGCCGCTCACGATAATCACTGGATCACCATCTGCCATTCACTGTTTGTACAAAAACATTAGAAAGTTCAGACATATTTTTATTCTAATTGCTACTGATGTTTACTTTTTTCTGTTCAACGATAGCACTGCTAAAATGTTACTTTACAGACATGGTGTGACTTGTAAAATGCATTTCCAGTTCCACATGATTGCATCAGATGGATAAATGTAGATCAGGGGTCGGCAACCTTTTAATGTCAAAAGATCCATTTTTCTCTCTGCTACTCCAATGTAAACAGTTTTAAACATTATTCTTCTATAAAACCCCCTTACAACCATCAATTAAAACAAACATGTATTGACATATTTCAATCGTTTGTTTGTTTTATGGTTGAGAATTGTATCACAACAATAAGAAATCCAAATAAAATATCTAATAAAAGTATGATATTTTGAAGGCGGTCTGTAAGCCATAATTAAGCTACATGGCACCACCTGCTTGTGAAGAAGCAGATCCTGTCATACCTCTGAAGCTAAGCAGGGCAGGTCCTGGTTAGTACTGTGATGGGAGTACTAACAGGCAACACTTCGACCAGGAAGATCTAACTAGTGCGTGTCTTCAAACTGACATTCACTTTCCTAATGCACCGCTGTGTATTCTTTCAAACCTATTAAGAGTAAATAATATTAAAACAAATTGTATGTTATTTTTGTCACAGGCTAGACTTTGCCCACCCCTGATGTAGATCTATCTTCTCTCACATCAAAACTATTATCGTGACGGCTTTAATCCACACATGTCAACATCAACCTAAATAATCTTCTGTGTTTTGTCTCACCTCTCCTTCACTCCCCCTCCCCTAACCACTCCTTTGCCCCCATGTCCCGCGTGGTCCTACCCCCTTGGTTCTGACCTGTCGTCCCAGCAGTGAGTCGCCCCTTTGTCCACCAAGACCAAGGCCACCCCCTCCATCCATTGTATATTCTTTCTCTCAAACTTTCGGACCTCCACCTCTGCAACAGTTGCTGCAAAGTCCAACCCAAACCCCTCCTGAAGTGTGGTGAATGTGTGTTCTGCATGGGCATGTGCCGTTGTCAATGGAGATGCCCCCCCACCCCCCCTCGCTGTACGACTACAATGAATGATATCAGCTCCTGCTTTTCAGTACCTCTTTGCCTTCATCCTGCCTTCTCATTGTACACTGCCGTTGAAAAGTATGGGGTCCCACTGGTGATTGTATGTTTTCAAGTAAATATCAGTTTGGTTCATGTGCGAGGGTTTTATGATTGCCAATTTGACTTAAATAGGTAACAAAATTATCTGGAGATTTTCCATTCAAAATCATCCATTTCCATATACCACAATGTCGAGACCAGGGGTGCCCAAACTATTTTACTCTGGGATCAAATTAATATGTATATGATTTTTTTATTTTTTTTTTGACTAGTAATATACCAAAATCTCCATGTTTTCCTAATGGATGGATTTTAGTGATAGACCAGTTGACCTTTGTACCCAGCTAGTGTGGATCATGAATATACTAAAGAAAATATTTTTTTTCAGTGTTTTTGTTTATTTTTACATTTTTGACCATTAGATTACTTTTTGAGTTTCATTTCTGGTAGATACTTGGAATGAACCAAAACTAGACTACAGAGTCCCGTATTCAATCATTCTTTCAATGTACAGCAAAACAGCACAGTTCATACACAAGGAAATTCAAAGTGCTTTATACAGACATCATTACACAGTTGCTTAAGTCTAATTTAACAGTAATAATTGAGGGACCATTTGTGGGTCCACTGGGCACTCCGGGTCTAGACTGTATTTCTGATTCATTTAATATTAACCCATTAATAACCAGCTTTTCTTTCAACCCTGTGATAATTTCTCACACCAAACTTTTAAACGGCAGTGTATCTTGTCCCTAAAGGCTTTGGGCTCCCACAGCAGCAGCGCCACGGTTGACCTCTCTAGCGTGAAATCAGGCGTCTTCTCTGGACGTTCAGCCACCCTCCCGAGCCTAAAGGGGTCCCCCGATGGTCCGGTGATATCTCCCAGCCAAGCAAAGGCCCTCCTCGCCAGTTTATCGTCTTCGGGCTTGACGGCGGAGGCCCTTCTGCTCTCCTCCACGCTACGCCAACACCGCAGCCTTCTTCGGGAGCAGCGGGCCTCGTCTCTGGGTCTGTCCTCCTCCTCCTCGCCGCCGTCGTCCTCCCCCTCCCCGACGTCGGCCACCCCTTCCCTCTCCCCCTCCTCCCCCACCGCCTCCTCTCTGGACCACAAGCCAAGCAGTCGCCTTGACAGATTCGACTTCAGCGGGAGAAGTGGCAGGGAAACCGTGACAAAGGACCTCAGCTCCGGCGAGAAATAAGGACGGTTTTGAATGATTCACCTTAAAAAAAATCACCAACTCCTGAACTGTGTGTTTGGACCTGTCTCTCTGGATAACAAATCTGCTAAAAGGAGTTATCAAATGTTGAATTTGCATTGGCTGGTGCTCTTCTTGTTTGTGTGACCCGCTGATAGGGATGGGATGGTGTGACTTTTCCACTGAAACAAACATAACAAATATGAAGAATAATACCACAGTTTTACTTCATGGAGGAAGATTTAGTTTGCTCAAATAAAACAATGGACTAGTATGACCCGATCGATCAAAACAGATCTTTTCAGAGCAAAAAAGTTGCCTTCATTGAGTATGTTTACAATGCACTGAAACCAGATCCCTTGTCTTGCCCAATTTAATTTTTATTGAGCAAAACGCATGTAAACCAGTGCAATTCCAGTCCGTTAAGTCCCATATAACCACTGATCCTATTGAGACAAGGCTGGCAGATGCATTTAAGAGCACAAGGGAATGCCAAGCTTACATTAGATATTTAACTCACTCATTTTGATCATTGCAATTGAAGTCCCTCGCTGCAAATGTGGTGCGTTTAATTGCGTTGACTTGTGCTGCTGCAGTTAAACGTGTGAAAATCAAATGTCCTTCGTAAACTCAATGTTGTGTGATAACATTTGCCAGCTGTGTAATCTTACTGTATATGTGAAAGCAATTTTTTTTACAATTACAGTTACAAAGTGTGAGTGATAAGGCAAAGTTACAAGATGCCTTTGAAAGCATCATAAAGCTCTGTTCTGGATATTCTCTCATTGTGTAAACATGCACCAGAAGAGTGTTTTTTTAGTGTGGTCCGAATTCTTATGCTTTGTAAACGTACTCAATGGATAGACCTATAGAAACATACATGGACAGACATCCTTCAAACCTCCTAGACAACTCCATCTTGTTTATAACTTCAATAATACAACCAAAATTAGAAAAACTTTTGGGCAGAAAGATTGCCGCTTTCTTGATCTTTATCATCAAAAGCTTGCCATGGTAAACTTGAATATTGTCCCATCCCTATCTGCTTACAATATTAATCCTGAACAAAAAAAAACATGCCTACATCCTCCATATGCAAAATCGCTTCACACTCGACAACTTCTTTCTTCTCTCCCACTCTCTCGTCAAACTGCCAGATACAGAGCACACGATGAGAGGCCCTCCCACCTCTCATCACGAGGACTCCACGGATTTACACGTTTAAATACGCCCGCGCTCGATGGGTCGGTTGTGTCGTAGTTAGAAAATATAGACTTATACAATAGCAAATAGAGCTGCAATAATCACCAGTGAGTTTAGGTTTTGTGTGTCCAGGACAATATCAACAGAATGTGACAAAAAAAAAACGTAATGAAGCGAATGTGCACCTTTTTAAATTTATTTTACAACTAATCTCTGTTCAAAGTCTTAACTGGTGCTATGTTTTTTCAGCCGTTTGTACTGAGTGTGTAACTGGTTTACTTTTCTTTTTTTTTTACAAAGCACTTACTGTCTACATACTTGCTTGTGCATCAACCAGGTATAACATTATGAGTACATGTATGTTGCTGAATACTATGCAGCTAATGTAAAGTTATGTGAACCAGCAGTGACATGTTGAGCTACAGTGTGGGGGAGGGGAGGGCTGATAATCAGGATAATGACAGATTCCAAATTGGTCCACAGAGGTTATCAGAAAAAGACAAAACAAGTCATTCGATGTTTGCTACCGGCTTGTCTCGATTGGGACAAATAGGTGTTAGTTCATTGCCTCAAATGTCCCATAATAAGACTGAATTTGCATTTATTCAAGCGCCAGCGTGTGTATGTGTGAAAGATAGTGTAATTTTTAAGCTGAAATGACAACAATGTGGTGGACTTTCTGTGAGAAACATTACCAAGTGCAGCTTCAAGTTCAAACTCTACCACAAAAAATGGAATCAAAGTGTTTTAGAATCCAAAGTCGACTTGCACTTGTGTTCATAGTTCGGAGACAGACAAATTAGTTGCACTTTGACGAAGCAAAGAAATTGATGAGTGTTAATCAAACCCACTAACGTACATTTGTAGATTCAGCTTAAATGGAGACCAGTTGTATTGCTTATATAAATGTACGTATATAATTGATAAGATTAGATAAACTTGCTGTGGGATATAGTGTTACACAGATCTACATGAACAGACTTTATTGATCTACAAGGAAAATTGCGTTAAAATAGACCGAAGTACAGTAGAAGTGAGTAAGGGTTTTCTAAAAGTCTATTCTCCCTTGGATACAATTGCACCATTACACAAAACACCATAAGGACATTAAAGAGACGGATGCTAGATCTGCTTTAAAAAGCCTGTTTCCCGCTAATTCCAGCACCTAATATACCTCATTGCCTGTTACTATTCACCATACTCCCAATGGAGAGACAGAATCACAGTTCAACACCCTGAACGCATTTCCATTAAAAAAAATACATCTATTTTGTTTTGCATTTTAGAGCCGGAGTAGCTTCCACTGTGTTATACTCACACTGTTAGAAAAATGGAGTTAGCAATTTTCTACCTATCTTTCCAATGATATTTTAATCAAGCAGTTTGGGCCAAGTATATGCTCTTTTAATAGAGAAAAATCACAAATGATAAACTCTGCAAACATGAGTGCTAATGTTGGGACTACACAGTTGTTTTTCTGTCTCAAAAACTCAGAAACTCACAACGCACTCCTCTCCCACCTGCTCTAAAGGTTCCACGATGACACACTACGATGTATGTTATGCCTGGTTGTTGCTTATTTGTGTGCCTCTGTTACATAATGTGTAGAAAACATATTGATTGAGAATATGACTGTCAGCGTTGCAATGATAGGAGCTGTGTCAGTACAGAGAGAGCACATATTTATGAAGTATATGCATATTTATTTATTTATTCAGACGATTCTGAGCAAAGTGTGTAGTCGCACGTCCACTACGACAATCAAGATGTTCCTGCTGTAGCATCTCCCATTCTCGCACTTAAACTACACAATACTGAAGTCATGTCTTGAGCAAAGCGTGAGGATAAGGTTTTCCTCAAGCACAAACACGGGAAAAGGAAGCAGCACATTTTTCAAATCGATAACTTTTGAGGAAATACAGTTTTTTAGGAGAAGGTTTGATCTTTTTGTGATTTCTCAAACTTATATTGCAGTTTGCTCAGACTACAGTGTTTCGATTGTTCAACGATTGTGGCAATGTCAGGTCAACTTTGTTATCCCAAAACTATTTTCACCTTGCAAGGATTTTAGTTAGCACAAAAAACCTGCAATTTGACACAATATGGCTGTTTTAAAAATGTTCGGCCACCTGAATGAAGAGACTTGTATATTGACATTTATTTAACCTGAAAAGTCCCCGAATACTTCAGAATGTCTTTTTCAGATGAGTCCTGGTCACAGAGAGCAGGGAGCTACATGTTTTTAGTGGTAGGGTAAACCAGAGCATAGGGAGAACATGCAAACTCCACTCAGAAGGGCCCTGTCTGGAAGTGGAATCAAACCAAGGAGTAGCACAAGTGGTTGGGTAAACTGGAACATGGAAAGAACATGCAAAATCCACTCAGAAAGGCCCTATCTTGGAGGTGGAATCGAACCCAGGAGAAGCAAGAATGCTAACCACTCAACCACTGTTCTGCCCAGACTTTAGTATTCTTAGGTAGAACAAGACAGATTCAACAATATTTTTTCGTTTATTATACAAGCAGAGTTTTGTTGTTGAAGAAAGACATTCAGAGGCTTATTTAAGAAAAGTTTATTATATATAGTCGCTGTCGTACCTCTACGGCTTCTCAAAATGTGCAAATCAGCCCGTTCATTTATCTCGACCTTTCTCACGATACATTCCAAAGGGGCTGCCCCAACTTCACAAATAAGTTCTTTATCGACTACAAAGCTGTTTTCAAGCCACACAGAGAAGAAACCGTGGCCATGTTGTAAAAAAACGGACCTCACGAGATCCACTAGAATGTTCTAACCCATGTTCTACCCTTATTCTAGACCCATTGTTTAAAGATTTCACACTAGCACAATAGATCCAACCCAAGACCCCTCTCTATTCCCAACATGGCATACTTGGAATGAACTAAGGAAAAGCACAAATGAAATCTACTGTTAAATACTACTGCATACGAAGCTGTATACATTTGACCAGCGTTTTCTTACCCTCGTTCATCTCTGCGTGGACAAAGCCGGTATTCCACATCCACCATCGCCACAATTACCGTTTTCTCTTGTTCGCTTGTTAGATCAATTCTTCACAAGATCAAAACAAAAGAGAAAAGTGTCTTTTGGGGGAGCAGTTAGGGGACATCGTTTGAAGGCTGTCGTATGAAAGCGATCTTGTACTTGTCGGAGTCCGTCGAGGGCACTACAAAAACGGAGCCAAAGATGAGGCCGTGGTTTTTGCAGATTTTAAAGAAGCCGCAAGTGGCTTCTCGACACACACCCGCCTCCTTCACCTTCACACGCCTTTGCGCTACTTTCAGGTTTCATAGGGACGACAATTAGCAGTGTGTTTAGCCTACGCTTTCTTAGCTGTTGTTAGATTTTAGTTTGTGCAGACGTACTTTCCCACGAAAAAAAAGGTTTGTGATTGAGTGCGAATCTCTTTTCAAGCCGCACAGAGAAGGAGATGAGTAGAATCGTTAGTGCACAAAAATACATCAATAGAAGTAACCCTTTAAGCGCCAACGGTTTTTTCCTTAAACGCTTGATTTTGACTTTCTATGGCTATGACGAAAATGTGATCAGAGACAGGGGCTTTCGGTAAATTAGAGAAATATTAAGGATTGCCCAAAGATTGTGTAGGGATTAAATGGAGCCATCTAATCTGCATATTATGACATCATATGGCGGTGGCATTCATGGATTTTAGAATTTTCATGAAATGTTTGTATTGTTTTTTTAACTCACAAACATGAAAATCAGTAGGTCATGAACACACAAACAGAACTCACAGGGACTAAAAAAGTGCAAACCATTACTGCCCTACTGCGAGCCGCCCGCCCAGACTCTGTCCCACACAATCTGCTGTTTTAGTTGTACCTTATCTTGTCGACTTAAGTCAACCGTGGCGCATAGAGGGTTAAAGCACAGGATTTTCAAATTGTTAAGATGAAGAAACGTTTCTTCCCGAATGTGTGCCCCTAAAGCTTCCTGATTGGTCGCATTGAATCCAAATCCTTAATAGACAGCTGAGGCCCCTCATCATTGGTCTAACTTTTCTCCTCCAACAAATGTTATCGGTGAAGCTTACTCCAAGAGGAGGGACTGTTTTACATATATGAATACATTTTAATTTAACCTTTTAACATTGGATTATAACAGCAAGTATTGTCTCTATGTATCAATGTAGGAAGGTTTAAAATTAGAAGTAAAAGTGGGACTGATGCAAATATATATACTTTTGGAGCCATTTTTTATATGGCTTTTTAAAAATCAAGTCAAACCCATAAAATAACATTAAGAAGAACTGACTATAGTAAATATTTGTTGTTAAATTGATATGCGTGGGTGGCATTTGTGGCTCCAAAGCAACACACACACAAACTGTTTATTACTTTAACGTTTTTATTTCTATGCTTCCGTCAAATATTACAGAAATAGTGCTGGGAGAAAAATACTTGTTGGACAAAATCTAGAAAAAACTTAAAAATCTAGTTCAGTCAAAGTCTATGTGGTGATTACACATAGTGAGCCCATATTCAATACTTAGAGGAACAAAGGTTGGTACATATTTATAGCTGCTTATGAAGTTATTTTGAGGAGTTAAAGCTGACGTCTGCCTGTCTAAAAGGACCTGCGTTCACCTTTTTCACCAGACGCCTCTATGATTTCTGCCTTAGACGAGTTTTATCCAAAGAAGAGGTGTCAAATCCTTCACTCATTCATGACTTTACCACCGCTCACACTGGGAGCCCTGGTTTTCATATCGACCAAGTGAAACAGAAGGGATTTTCTCACTCACATGCTGTCGTTTCAGTCCAAAAATGGTTTAACTTTCTTGCGTGTAGAGTTGAGGAGGGGATACTCTTGCTTGGCTGCAGTGACTTTCCTCGACAAGCGTCCCAAAGATCCTCCAGTGTCTCCTTTTTCCTCACATTTCAAGCAGAGAAATGTAGAAATTGAGGACGGAAGGAGGCGAGGAAATACATTTGAGATGCGACCATAGTGTTTTATCGCTGTGATTCCAACATGGCCGCCTTGTGCAATCAGAAAAAAAAAAACTCTAGAAACTTGAACTTTTAACAAGAACAAGAAGTCTACATTTTATGAATATATCTAGGTAAAATGTTTGTGTATGATATTCTCTTTATGTGAAGAAAAGTGTGACATAAGTATATATATATAAATATAGGCCTATAGATGAAATAATTATACAATGTAAATGTCATCATCTCCTCAGTTTTATATATTACGGATCATTTTGTACAGATGTTCCCTTTTTTATTTCATTGAGAGACTTTACATTTATTAAGTGAAAACATGTTTATTTAAGATTTATACATATTTTTTGTAATATATTATGTTCTTTTCATTTTAATATTATTGCTCCTAATTTGCTCGTACACCCGCCTGTATTTACAGACTTTTTTATTTATTCATGGACGCAGAATTTGATGAAGAACATTGCGGTTCTTACAGTGAAATGGAAAGTTCTAGAAAAAGGCCTCTCTTCAGCGGCGGGAATAACTTTACCGACGTGACGTTTGCATGTGCGCAAAAGAGAGAGAGAGAAATACGTTCGGAAAAATCGCAATTTTTTTTCTCACTTTGACAAATGAACCACATTGATCCAACCCATTGTTTTTTATACCAGTCATGAGTTAGTATGTAAATGAGGTTTTTACATGGACGTGTGTGTACTCAACTCTTCGAAAGCTAACGTCAAAAACACCGACTGTACATACTCCCGACTCCAGACCGCAAATTGTTGGAAAAGATGTTTTGTTACTAAACTCGACGAAAAGGTTCCAGAGGTTTATCATACAAAATAATGCATGTTTAGTATCGAGCAAAAACGCACGGTGTTGTCTACATGTTTCGTTCCAGAGGGAAGACTTTTTGTGTGGCGAGTTTTATAAAAGCAGAAGGTTATGTCGGTGTCCGTGAAAAGGCATGTTGAGTCTTACTGTGATATTGTGACAAATGCTGTTACGAGGGATTCTAGCAGAAGACGCTCCTATCCATACAAAAGTGACACCTCTTTGTAGAGTAGTGTGAGATAAGAAATAATACCAGAAAATAGATCTATTATAATATGATATATGGATTTTAAAAAGCCTACTACTGTTACTAATGGAGAAACTAATTTATCAGTGTGGATGCCATGGTATTCTGTGCGCTGTGTGGTTTCCCCCGTGAGAAAACGGTAGGCGGGACTTCCTGCCTCCTTTTGTACATAATTGCTGTGATTGTGTGTCCAATAAAGTGCAGCTCTCTTGTATCCGTGGTGCTGTCTGGTTCTTGTTTTGTCAGCCGTGTGAATGCAGTGATTGTTGCTTATGTTAATGTGTGTGATTAAAGCTGAAGTACCCGGTTTTCCAAATTATGAAAGTAAGTTATGTTTAATTATATAGCGCCTTTCACAGACCGGAGTCACAAAGCGGTTTACAATTGTGGGCGTTTGTCTCTCACTCCACACAGAGATGGGGGCGGGGCCAGAACAGGAGGCACATGCCAGACCTATTGTACATGTTTTTAGTGGTAGGGGAAACCGGAGTACCCAGAGGAAACCTACGCTGACACGGGGAGAACATGCAAACTCCACTCAGAAAGGCCCTGTTTTGACCGGGATTCGAACCCACGATCTTCTTGCTGAGAAGCGAGAGTGACCCAGTCACCGTGCCGCCATAAATTGTAAAATTAGGGCGGCACGGCGTAAAAAATGTGACTATTTAAAGCCATCAAAGAGGTTGTCACTCTCGTACCAGTGCTGTTTCATACAGAGGATATAGAAGAATCAGAAATCAATGAGGTTTCCGCCCAATCGTGACCCACAGAACTCTTTCTTACAACTTTGCAAGAGTATTTATATTTTTTTTTAATATTTATTTTATTATTATTATTTGTTTCTGTTTCTTTGGGGACAACCAAAATTGAACACTTGAAATTCTAAAAAAGTTTGGTTCCCATCTTTAATATGCTTACTTTCATACTTTTTTTTTATCCAAAATGTTTTCATGACCCAAAGCTGGGGTTCTTAGCTTATTTATTTCAGGAATAATACAATTTGTCCCATCATCTTTTTTTCGGAAATATTGAATCTTTTGCGTTCTCGGACAGAATCCCTGTGAGTCACTGATGCTTTGGGCTGAGAGCTGATTGGTTGAGAGCTGATGGGCTGAGAGCTGATTGGCTGAGTGAAGGTGGTCCTCTTTGTCACTTTTCTGTCTGAAAACGCTGATCTAATAATGTGACAGACGACAGAACCGTTTTGAGAGCGAGGAACTTGTCAGATGGAAAACTGTTTGAAAATTAAGCACCCTAGCTTTAATACTACCTTTTTCATAAGCGTGGCATTAAACAGCTTTATGGAACGTAAATTCAGATCAGAAAATAATGAAAAAATGTTTTAATACATAATAAAAACCATTATAAAATGTCATGATAGATATATTGTTACTAAAAGCTGTATTGAGCAGTGAAAAAAATGTCATTATTTCTTATCAAAACTATTTACAGTTCAACATGTTCTGTTAAAATACACGTGAGCATTATAGTAAAATATGTTCTGTACATTGAGCCGAGATCCAAACAGTGACTCCAGTCCCATTTGTCTTAAGTGTCGTGACGCTGCGCCGGCCGCCGCCCGTCGTCACGTCTGAACGGAGTGTTTCTCAAACCTGAAAAGAAGAAATTATTCATTTTTGAAGGAAAAAAAAGGCCTTAAAAATATATATTTACTTTTACAGAAAGCACAAAGTCCCCAGAAAAAATACTATTGGATCTAGAATCTGGAAAGATGAACTTGAACTTATGAAGAAAAGACTTTATGCAGTTTGTTCTAAAAAAGGAAGGTTATTGTCTTTATTTGACCTGTTTTACAAATAACATAAAGCCCTGTTTCCACCAGCCCTATTTGACCCTACCCTTCTCTACTCTACTCTACTCTACTCTACTCTACTCTACTCCCGATTCGATCCCGAGTCCCAATCCAATGCTTTTTATCATTGGTGATGTAAATTATTGCGTGCAAAGTTACTGTAAACAACTGCTGTAAAAGTTGGGCGAGTGGATCGGGCAATTTAGCCAATCCCAAAACAGAGATACCATGAAATATTGGCTCAAAATCAGATTAGGAAATCCTTGGACAGAATCAGGGCCAAGCCGGTACCAAAGCAGGAAGAGGTTTGTAGGGCCAAGAAGGGGTGGTGGAAACGGCTGTGCTGTGTCGTGCTGTGGCCTTTATTAAATCTACAGTGGTACCATTTTTGAGAAACATTTTACTATAACTTCATTACGTTTCAAACCAGATGTGAGAAGTCAAAGATAGTAATGTAAATTTAGCACATTCTTATATCAAAATGTCAAGGCTTGTATCCAAAACTTTTATTTTTCCTCGTAACAACTTCCTCCACCACTAACCTTCTATAACAACTATATCAAACATTGAACGACATAAGGTTAGAACAGAACAAAACTGCTATGTCTTATAAATATATAAATTTATTATAAAATAAATTGTAAACGTTAAAAGCATGTAGCACCTGTGATGATGTCCTCCAGAGCTCCGTCCTTCCCCTCTCTCACCGGAGGCTTCTGTCGCTTCTTCAGCTCTGCAAGAAAATCCATCTTTGGCATCATGGGACCCTGCGGCAAAAACAGTTAGTCTCTTTCACAGAACAGAATCAGGTGGTACCGTTGTGAGGTATTGGTTTAGGGTTATGGACTTTAATATTTACCACAAAAGAGGATTGTTTAGAATGATATTGACAATTATAAATGTGTCTGTCTCTCCTGGGAGATTAGACGGTACACTGCATTTTGTATATTGTTTCATGCCTCTGCAGTTGTATAGTTCCTAACTCTATAACAGGGCGTAGGCCATATCTTTAGATCAGGCATGTCCAAACTAGGGCCCGCGGGAAAAATGAGGCCCATTCTGTCGTCGTATGTGGACCCCTACTTTCCAAACACTACCTCTACTTTGCAATTGAGGTAAGTAAGTAATTTGTATTTATATAGCCCATTTTACAGACAAAGTGCTTTAGAATTGTTGTGGGCATTTGTCTCTGAGCAGGGTCAGACTGTACATGTTTTTAGTGGTAGGGAGAACATGCAAACTCCAAAAAGAAATGCCTTGTCTGGAGGTGGAATCGAACCTGAACCTTTTTTTCTATGAAGCCATCACCCAGCCAACTTCAGCTCCACCAATATAGTCATACTATATCTCACTGTAAATCTCAAAACCTTTGGAATCTTTATCTGTATCGACTGTGTCACAAAATTCCATTAGGAACAACCTGAATATCCCAGAACAGCCCAACTCTAATCAAAACGGTTTTACAATCCATGTTGTCAGCCGCTATAGACAAGTCTGGTTAGCTAAGGTGGCCCTCTTTCTGAAATGCTTAAATTGATCAACTTATCCCCATTGTGGGACCTTTTAAAGGTTTTCTTATCTTCTCCTACACAAACAAAAACAATTAGGGTTAGAAATATAGCATTAATGCAGATATTTCCATGACAATTGAAACTCAATTTACATTAACATTAGAGATTTCTAATCGTTCATCAGTAACAATAGGTGATATCTGCTTTCTATTTACCGTTTGTGGTCCCGACGGTGCCTTAAAAACACATACCTTTTGTTCTGGAGACTTTGTTTGCGACGACACCTTCTCTTCATTCAACTCCTTTGTCTGTTTCTGCTCAATCTCTTTCTGCACGGCCTGAGAAGATAAAACACCAGCCGTTTGTATTTGAGGGTTAAGTTCAAAACACAAATATCTGACGTCGACCGACTCATACCTTATAGGCCTTGATGAAGCGCCCAAAGATGGGGAAGAACATGGAGGGCTGCGTCGTTTTGGGATTCTCTCCAAAATACTCCACCACAGAGCTGTAGGACTCCTGCACAGAGACACAGGTACGAGGCCGTCAATTTAAAACACATTTCACATCATGCAGCGTCCCCCTTCGCGCTCCTTACAAAGTGGGATAAAGTGTCTTGCCCAAGGACACAACGACAGCAGAGGGAGTCGGTCGGTACTTATTGACACTGTTTCTTCTATCTTATCTTACAACTACTACTACTGCTACTAGTACTGCTACTACTACTAGTACTGCTACTACTACTAGTGCTGCTACTACTGCTACTACTACTGCTACTACTACTGCTACTGCTACTACTGCTACTACTACTACTACTACTACTGCTACTACTGCTTCTACTGCTACTACTGCAGCTGCTACTACTACTATTAATGCAAGTCACTTTAAGTCCCTTGCATTAGGACTGAAAAACCTGCACTACTTATTGACACTGTTTCTGATTGCCACTTTTATTGCACATAATATATCCTGCATTTAACAACGTTTGTACATTTGTTTCTTTTACACAATCTTGAGTGATTCTATCCATGCCAGATGTGACATGTACATTTCTCCTGTGTCAATAGATCAATAAAGTCTATCTTGTCTTATCTTATCTCAGAAGGTCTTCCGGTGGGCTCGAATCCACGACCTTCGGCTCTACCAACTGAGCCACCGTCGCCCCCCAATGATCACACTAAATACACCCATATCAAAATGCAACTGCACTGTAACTATTTTGTTTTTAACATTTGGCTCAGATTTAAAAAAAAAAAAACGGCGAATGGTTTGAAGTAAGAAATATATTGCACCTGAGCTGTTTTGCTGTCTTTGACCAACGACTCCAGTATCGTGCTGTTGGTTTGGATGAACTCCTTGAGAACGGGGCTGTCGTCCTGAACTAGAAACTCCTTCTTGGTCATCTCCATCCCTCTCTCCAGCGCACGGATGTCTGACAGCATCCCATCCAGCGACACTGACACAGGCCACACATGTATGAATATAGACCCACAAATGTTTGACACAACATTCGCGACAACAATGCCATACCCAGCGCCGCTTTGTCCACGAAATGTAAATCCGAGTGGAAGTTGACCAGATCTGGGTATTTCTCTCGAATTACATTAGCCATGAAGTGCAGAAGAGTTTGGGAGCGGTCGGTGGACTTTGTTTCCAATAACTGACATGAAAACACACAATTGTGACATATTAGACAAAGGAGTGTATTCTGGGGTTTCATTAAACTGGCCAGTGGGGGGCAAATGAGCAGAGGTGGGACCACTCAGTTTTGCTCCCATTGAAAACCATGTAAAGTCTGTTTTGGAGTCAAAGGCTCTCCTCCTGTGCGGTGTACGGTTGTTGTAACAGTCTTAATCGGGGACACTCAATTCTGAAGGAGTACTAAAAAATATTTCTCAAAAGTGTCTTGATTTCGGGCATTTTTGGAAAAAAAACAGAAGAAATTGCTGCGTTTCATTGGGGTGACCTGCAGGGGGCGCTTATCTAGGAAAGCCTTGATCCACCTCCGCCTCATTCCAGTGATTTTTTTCAAAGTGTCCTCCTTTATATGATACTACAGCTGGAACACGGAAGAAACTCTTGTCTTTCTCTGTATTCGTGCGGTTGCTACAAGCGTACACCGCACAAAAAGATGGCGTTTTGACAGCACTTCTTCTTCTACTATATCTCAGTGTATAAACCGCTTCTTCTTCTACGATATCTCCGTGTATAAACCCGGCAGACTGCACCGCCAGGACACGTCACATCCTGTCCTACGTTTGTTATTCGCGCCACTGCCCTGACGTCGTATGAAACCCAAGAATTGTTCTGATGCAATAACGGCTACATACATATCTATATATATATATTCTGTTAAAGTTTACGGACCAGGTCTAAGCTTTGCAGCCGGAAGCCGTACGCAGCACCTCTCTTACTGCTGTTCATGTAGTTACCAAAGGCCAAGACAATCTGGAAAAAACACATGGAAAAAAATTGCTTGAATTAAAAAATATACATATGAAAAGGTAACTCTAAAAATAATATTGAAAAAATGGTTATGTTTAGGTAAATACAGCTTTAACATTGAACTCACCTCTAAGATTTTCTTCAGCCTGTCCGAGGATTTGATGGACATGGATGCAGAAATGAGCGAGTCCAGTTGCTGTTTCAAAGTAAGAAACCAAAATGAATGTTTGGATGTAGTTTTTCATTCTCGTTACACTCTGAGGAAAACTGACCGGCTGCAGACGTTTGACCGAATCTGGAAAGTTTCCCATGAACGTGAGCGTGTTGATGCGTTGATGAAGGCGTGGGATTTTTCCAAAACGTAAAACAAACTGGTCTTCGGCTGCCAGCTCCTCCAGGGGGCGCCCGTCCTGCTTGTAGTTGGTCAGCAGCTTCATCTCAAAGTCGGACGGGATGAAAGGCTCCAGTAGCTCCAAAAAATCAACGGACAAAGAGCTCTGGTCGTATCTGCAAGAGGAAAATACACACTTTATCAGTCTCACTGCGGAGAAATGCACATGTTACATTTGTCATCAAAAGGGTCTGACTCAGGAAGTGCTAACAGACAGGAAATGTGCAATTAAAACCTAGATGTGTGTTTATGCATCAAGAGTTTTGAGCTTCCGGTTTGACCGCACGGCATTGTGGGTAGTTTTCTCAAAAAGGTGTGCATCAAACCACGACCGCCGTATTGGATTACTTGTCGCGAACGATTGACCTCTCTCTTGTTTCCAGCCCATAGATTATTTTAATAGCTAAAAAATTTCACCAATTTCGGACATTTTTAAGGTAAAGTAAAGATTTTTTGATTTAACATAAAAGCAATGCATTTTTTTCTTGTGGTTTTAGATGTAAACACAACCGACTGACTGTAGAGCTACATGTAGCTTATGAGACTTACGAGGATAGAATGGTTACACACAAGCTTTATAAACTTGCCCAAAGCTCTACATTTTCAGTTGTAACGCCCCATTTCTTTTCTTACAGAGCAATAACTTATCCATGGGTTACGGGCAATACGGTTTCATTCTTACAGCCGAGAAGCTCGCACATCGAGACAGTCCACTTCCCGAGTCGTTGCCCACTGTTAGGACTGTCAAGAACAACACAATTCCGGTGCCCGTAACCCATGGACAAGGTCTCTCACTGTAAGAAAAGAAATGGGGCGTTACAACTGAAAATGTACAGCCCACAGCTCGTGTAAGCATTCGATCCTCGTAAGTCTCATAAGCTACATGTAGCTCGATAGTCAGTCGGTTGTGTTTACATCTAAAACCACAAGAAAAAAATGCATGGCTTTTATGTTAAATGAAAAAATCATTACCTTCAAAATTCCTGAAATTGGTGAATCTTTTAGCTATTAAAACAATCTATGGGCTGGAAACAAGAGAGAGGTCAATCGTTCGCAACAAGTAATCCAATACGGCGCTCGTGATTGGATGCCCACCTTTTCGACCCAACTACCCACAATGCCGTGCGTTCGAACCGGAAGCTCGGAACTCTTGATGCATGTATTTTCTATGGTTTTTTCTATGTCTTTTTTGTGCAAATGTGCAATATGAAACTGCGTCCCTTTGACCCTGAGCCTTGTGCTGCTACTGTACAGAAGTAAACACACAACTATATATTACTAGCATTTGAAAATACAGCATTTTACTCTTACTGCTTGCTATGCTAAAGTCAGGGTTTTTTGTAATTTAGCTTCTAAACATGAAGCTAAAGTTGGAGATTTTATAATGCTTCTTTTTATGCTAGAGTTAGAGATTTTATTTTGTTTTAGATTTTGGACTTGGACATTTGGGAACGATTGGCTAACACATTTTGAACTCTGTGCTCATGACAAAAATGTCTCTCATTGTGACTTTCGAATAAGAAAAATTAGTCTAATGCAAATATTCAATTTACAGTATTTTTATGGATACACATATTTCAAATACACCGTTTTCACAGTTAAAAACAGCCGCACAAATCTGACTTGTGATTGGTCCTGATGGATATGACTAAGTTGAAGTCGTATTGAAATTAAAGTTAGTCGTGCCAATTACATGAAAAACTAAAAACTGTGATTTCCTCTTGGTTATTCTGACTTAAAGAAGATTGTTTCTAAACGTGACTGATGCGTACGTCTCGATGGCGGTGCAGATCCGGTCCGGGGTCAGTCCTCCCTTCCGCAGAGTGATGGCCAGGTTCTTGGACTTGTTTGGGTCGATCAGCGAGGTCTTGGCCGGTGCTTTCTGAGACGCTTTCTTGGGTTTACTGCTCACCTCTTTAGCGTCTCCCTGAGCCTTGGTTTTAAACTGCTCCTCAAACATGTCCATGTTCAACTCCTGCAGAGAGAAGCAGAAAAGTCACGCAAGAGATTCATATATTTATTTAAAGGGTCTATAATCCTCACTATATATTTACAATCTCAGAAGACTAATCAACTAATTTCTGTACTTTTTACTGTTTACATCCCATTCAATTCAACATGAAGTGGGTCACATAGAATGCAAGAAGTGACCAATACATTTTTAATAATATTTAGAAAAATTCTTAAGATAATATTTGCCTATTGAACAAACAAGTTTAGTTGTATTTTCTCCCATGTCTAATTTTCAGTAGAAAACTTTGGGTATTATACTGTCTGATATATTTATCTTGATTTTTGTCGTGTTTCTCAATCTTAATATAATTTTGCCAATGAGACCATCAAAAATGTCTTGTTTTATGCATTTACTGAAAATAAATCTACATAAATTATTATTAAAAAAATGCTACTGCCCTTGAAATAAGATAACTTTTCTACTCCCTTGACAAATTTTGATTTATTATCGACTAAATTCACTTAAAAAAATGTCATGTTAAAGGTCCAATTGCTTCCTTTTATCAACTTAACTTGAACTTGCTCTTTTGGTATAATATATTTGGAAGACAGTCAGTTCTTTTTGAGGGATAGAGCAAAGGAAGTAATCACAGTTAAATCCTGGTGTTTTTTTCCCACAATTCTCTTCGGTCTTTAATCGTAAACCAGGGCGGGACTCTTACCCCGAGGATGTGCTCGTCGTCCAGCTCATTGAAGACCGTGCCGGACACCTGGTTGGGTCTCAGGGCCTGCCAGTTCAACAAGGGCATCCGGAACTTGGTCTGAATGGGTTTCTTAGTTTTAACGCCTGAAGAAACAAAAGTGTAACTTGAGGAAGGTCGAGCAAAGCAGATGTGGAATGCTGTCCACCTGTGGCAAGAACAGAGAGAAGCTCAGTAGAAAAGAACTGATTTTTTCTACAGCTCAATTTTGTGATGTAATAGTCCAGAGGTTTAGACTTTTGAGGTTTCTGACTGGATCCCTCTAGACCATGTTCTGAAACTGATGATCCATGGCCTAGTTTGGCATCTTAAAGCAGCAATATGTAAGATTTTCATGTAAAGGGCCCTAATCTTTCAAAAAACATCAATAAAACATGCTTTTTTCAAAATAATTTTTACAGCCCGTTAATCTTATTGTTTTCATTTCAATGTCCCGCCCTCCACCATTTTACCAATAAAGTAAGAACTCACCGCGTCGAACTAATCTCACTGGTAACGAAACATGTGGCGCAGAACTATAAAAGGTCTTGTTATGATTCTCAAATCATTAACGACAAAACAAGGAATAAAACCAGGATTTCTATCTTTGTGAAAAAGGTGTTGGTTATAGATTTGTTGTTTACAAAATTCTTAATTCAGACATTATGGTCCCAGCTGGATTCGTCTGCATATCTGGCAACCTGAGTCAGGGAGAGTGGGAGAGGCTGCAGGACTATACTTTTGGCCAGATTTTTACATACTCCTCCTTTAATGTAATGTCTAAAATACTAACGTTGTATGTTTTAATAACAATACAAAAATCCCATTTTTTTCTTGGGTTGATTTAAAATCCCAACGAGGACAAAACTAGCGGCTGAGTACTTTACCAGACTCGATGCTTGGAGCTCCGGGCGGCGGTGGTGGTCCTATACCGGGTGGAGGAGGTGGTCCTGATCCAGGGGTAGGAGGTGGTGGAGGAGGTCCCATTCCAGGAGGTGGAGGAGGTCCAACACCAGGAGGAGGTGGGGGAGGAGGAGGTCCAGCACCAGGAGGAGGTGGGGGAGGAGGAGGTCCAACACCAGGAGGAGGTGGGGGAGGTGGAGGTCCAGTTCCAGAGGGCATTGGGGGAGGAGGAGGAACAGAGTCTGACCCGGGAAGAGGAGGAGGAGGTGGAGGAGGATTCCCAGGAGCAGACAGAGGGGCAGCTGTGCTCTCGCTCTGGGACGATGAGGCTGAAGACGGCACCTGGACATATCACTCTGGTTACAACATATTCATTTTTGGTTCTATTTAATCAGAGTACATAATTTTGAGCTGTACATATATATGCATTTATATAATTTTAATGGTAATTTACAGTGAATTATTAATAATTTAAATGTCAGGCTTTCACATGCTGGTGGCGCCACAGTATAAGTGAGCCAGCATTGTAAAAAATAACAATAAAAATAATAGACAAACCTGGACGTATTGGATCGTGGTGAGAGGCAGCACTTGGATGTCCAGGTTTCCGGTGGCGCTACGGGTCACTGTGATGAGGCCCTGGTCCTGCAGCTGCTGGATCTTCTGCTCGAGCTGAGACTGAGACTGAGACTGAGGCTGAGGCTGTAGGAAGGAGGACCCCCGACGCTCTCGCTCCTTCTCCCGCTCCAGGTCCAACTCTCGCTCCCTTTCACGCTGCTGCAGAGAACCCACCTGTGCACACGACTCACGCAGACTCTCCTGAGGCCAAACACAGAGTCACAATATTACAGGACAACACAGTCAAGCGCTTTGTGACTCCCCCGTCTCAACCACGTGTGTAAAACTGCTTTTCAAAACATTCTGGTCGTTGTTGGAGCATGGATTTAAACAAGTTTCTATACAGAGTAAAATATGATCCATTTGCATTACCAAACAGACAATGTTATGCTATTGCTATCATTGTTCTGAGAGTGTATTATCTACAGCTGCATGAAGCATTGAAGTGATAGTCTGGAACTCTAAATGAATTACAAATTAATTTTAATAGCTACACCCGGGTTTACTGCGATCGCTTTTTTTGTGCATTAAAACATTATTTTTTAATGAAAACGTAAACAGATAATTCTGAAAACCTCAGTGTATGTGCATTAATAATGTATATGTATAATGTGTTCTCCGATTAACATTTAAATGTGTTGATTGATTGTTACGGAAACGTAGGCATAGACCAATCAGAAAGGAAGGGGGAGGAGCTTGCGTCGTTTTTTTCAAATCTATCTCTCTTTTTTCTGACAAACTCCAGACTATCACTTTAATAGATGTGGTTGCAGTTTAGAAAATTGCCAAGTCTGCAATTGTAAAAAGTGACTAAAAATTTTGGGGGAATTTATCTTGACTGGAGCAGATACTGTAAGTGAGACACGGAAGACCAGGATTATGTGAAACTATGATATAGCCTTTGTTTGTTCATTCAGCTCATTTTCAAAACATTCAAATTAAAAGATGTTTATACAAGCTAAATTATTAACATTATAAGAAATAAAATCTATTCAATCACTCATTTGTGTTAGCATACAGCCACATAACATGACACAGAGGGCTGCAATGAGCCCGCAGGCCATAGTTTGGACATACTGTATATATTATAAATTAACTTGAGAAATGTATCAGATTTGAACTATATTAAAACTTTTTTCAACGTGTTTCAAGTGAAAACCTCATATTGTTTTGATATTGTCCATAACTGTGTCTAACTGAGTGGATATTTGTCCGGACTCACTTTGAGCAGCTCCGTGTCTTTCGTCGCCTGCAGAAGTTTTGTCTCCAGTTCAGAAATCCGCTCTGTGGCATTTTCCGCCTCCTCCTGAAGCCGAGCGTTCAACTGTCAACGAAAACTCAGATAAAACACAAGAGGACCACAACAAAAAGCACAGCCACAAAATTATGAGTTAATTCCTTCACACAATACTTTGCTTTTCCACACACACAGATTAGATTAGATAAGATAGACTTTATAGATTTCATTATGGAGAAATGTCACTTTGGCACAGATAGAATCACTAAGATTGGGAAAAAGACAGAAGTGTGCATTATGTTGAAGGTCTGTGCAGGATACAATTATCTACAATAAAAGAATGTGGAAATAGCAGTGCAGGTTTTTCAGTCCTCCTGCATTAGTGACTTAAAGCAGTGTTCTGTGGCATGTTGGTGTGCCTTGAGATGTCTCTTAGTGTGCCTTGGAAATGATCCAAAATCACCTACTTGGTCAAAATCATGTGAAAAGATAATAATGGGAGATGATTACAAAGATTTTTTTCTGCTTGTTTGTTTTGCTGTTTAAAGAGAACTACTGTGCTTTGTCAATACAGGCTGTAGAGTACAAATTTGTATTCAATTCAGTTGGTGGTGTGGGCCATGTGATATTTTGCAATGACAAAGGTGTGCCACAGCTTAAAAAGGTTGGGGAACACTGACTTAAAGTGCCTTATTGTACAGTCTGACTGAGATGGGAATAAAAACCAAAAAACATCCTATTAAAAGGGGGCTGTAGTGTGTGAATTACATCATAGAGCTAATCCTGTCCTAACTTCTTCGTTGGGATCTGAAAAAAAATCCGATACAGGAGCTTGAGTTCACATACCAGACAACTAAACCTTCTCAAATCAGTAAAAAAAAAAAAGCAGTGAATTGTAATCTGTATCTACACAGCCAACCTTGAACAGACCCCACCCCTCTCCAGCCTCCTCTTCCTCACAGACCTGCAGGTTGTGGAGGTGCAGCTCGTCCACCTGCTCCAGGACGCCTCCCCGGCTCTCGGCGTCCTCCAGTAGAGCCCCCACGTCCAGCACGTTGTCCAGATAGGCCTGGATCTGCACCTGGAGCTTCTCACTCTCTGTCAGCCGCACCCTCTGACCAATCACAGACACACACAGGGAGGTTACAACTTTAAAAAGAGCAATGGTCGTGATGGAAATACGGTACTGGCCAGTCCAGTCCTGCCTGTGATGGGAAACCTCAGATGTTGCTTTGGCAAGACACTTCACCCATAACTCCCAGTATGAGTCTGGCAATCCTGCAGGTCTGACAAACCTGCAGGATTGATGATATCATGTTACTATGGCTGCCATGACATCAAGAAAACAGCAAGGTCATTTAAATATATATATTCTGATATGTGGCTCAGTTGGTATATTATTGATCTTTGGACCTAATGTTTGTGGGTTCAATCTCACCACGGCCCATGTCATCCCAATGATGTCTGCTGTTGTTGTGTCCCTGGGCAAGACACATAACCCCACTTTGCCTGAAGCTCCCACTGAAACACCAAGGCCGTATTGAAGGAGCAGCCATCTCCCTGTGGATCAGTGAGGGGCTGCTACTTTGTGAATTGGATGCAGCTCTGATTGCCACCCCCCTGACCCAGAAATGGATAATTAAAGAAACAAAAATGAAATGAAATAATCTTGTTCAGAGAAATCCACCAGAGGAAAACCACACATATTCAGCCCCTGACCAGTTAAGTCGGCCCCTGATTAAAATTAGTTTCCCTTCCTGTATAAGAGAAACCTTTTTTCCGGAAGAGGGGAAAAGAACTGACTGCATCCAAATAAAATAAAAAACACCTCCTTCCTCTTCCTTCCCTGTGGATGCGAAGGTTTTGGCTGAATTCAGACGCAGAGATAGACGCCTTCACATGTGTTACCACCTCAGCTGCTACGTCTGTGGTGTAAGAACTGACCAATCAGATTCCTCCTCCGTCTATTTGAGTTGATTGACAGATGAGCAAAGTCGGTCCCGCCTCTGGACCTAATGCATAAAGTTTCCAACACAGACTTACTTCCAGAAACTGGTCCAGTCCCAGGTGAGTGAACTCGTACTGCAGATGGACCCGGAAGTTCATGTTTTCCACCGAATGAACCACAATGTTGATGAACTGCATACATGCCACCTGGACACACACACACACACACACAGAAAGAGACACACACAGAGAGAAAGACACACAGAGAGAGAGAGAGACACACGCACACAGAGAAAGAGACACACACACAGAGAGAGAGAGAGACACACATAGAGAGAGAGAGAGACACACACAGAGAGAGAGAGACACACACAGAGAGAGAGAGACACACACATATAGAGAGAGAGACACACACACACACACAGAGAAAGAGACACACACAGACACATACACAAACACAGAGAGAGAGAGAGAGACACACACACACACACACACAAACACAGAGAGAGAGAGAGAGACACACACACACACACAGAGAAAGAGACACACACAGACACACACACAAACACAGAAAGAGAGAGAGACACATACACAAACACAGAGAGAGAGAGAGAGACACACACACACACACACACACAAACACAAACACACACACACACAGGACTGAACCAGTGCTTATTTACAGAGCCCTCCCCCTCATGACTGGACTAATAATTCTGTGATTAAGAAAAGCACTTAGGGACTCACCATGAAGTCGATGTTGCTGTCGTCGTTCATGAAGTACTCCATGAGCTTCTCGAACCGCGTCTTTTCTTTGCTCACCTGTCGCCAAACACCAAGACATCGTGAAAACTGTTAAATTAGGCGTCTGTGCGGGGCTTAAACCTGTCGGCCTGATTTGTGTTAATGATCCTCAATCTACAGCTTACTTCTGTAACTATAGCTCCCTGACGTGTAAGACAGTTAGAGATGAATAAATACATAGTAATAACATGTTGTTGCACTGAGTTGTGTGTAGGAGAGTGTGAGTGATGTCAAACTGAAAGAACAAAATGATTCATGTAGAGACAAAACTAAAAGGGTGGATAGGCATTCACATAATCCAAACGGGTAATGACTTCAAAGCAACTGCAATGTGTGTTTTTTTCATGTATCGTTGAGTTTAGTGGTGTGGCCCTATATATATATACAGTGCCTTGCGAAAGTATTCGGCCCCCTTGATCCTTTCAACATTTCGCCACATTTCAGGCTTCAAACTAAAGATATAAAAATTACATTTTTTGTCAAGAATCAACAACAAGTGGGACACAATCGTGAAGTGCAACGAAATTTATTGGATAATTTAAACTTTTTTAACAAATAAAAATCTGAAAAGTGGGGCGTGCAATATTATTCGGCCCCCTTGCGCTAATACTTTGTAGCGCCACCTTTTGCTGCAATTACAGCTGCAAGTCGCTTGGGGTATGTCTCTATCAGTTTTGCACATCGAGAGACTGGAATTCTTGCCCATTTTGCCTTGCAAAACAGCTCGAGCTCAGTGAGGTTGGATGGAGAGTGTTTGTGAACAGCAGTCTTCAGCTCTTTCCACAGATTCTCGATTGGATTCAGGTCTGGACTTTGACTTGGCCATTCTAACACCTGGATATGTCTATTTGTGAACCATTCCATTGTAGATTTGGCTTTATGTTTTGGATCATTGTCCTGTTGGAAGATAAATCTCCGTCCCAGTCTCAGGTCTTTTGCAGACTCCAACAGGTTTTCTTCCAGAATGGTCCTGTATTTGGCTCCATCCATCTTCCCATCTTTTAGCCATCTTCCCTGTCCCTGCTGAAGAAAAGCAGGCCCAAACCATGATGCTGCCACCCCCATGTTTGACAGTGGGGATGGTGTGTTCAGGGTGATGAGCTGTGTTGCTTTTACGCCAAACATATCGTTTTGCATTGTGGCCAAAAAGTTAGATTTTGGTTTCATCTGACCACAGCACCTTCTTCCACATGTTTGGTGTGTCTCCCAAGTGGCTTGTGGCAAACTTTAAACGAGACTTTTTATGGATATCATTGAGAAATGGCTTTCTTCTTGCCACTCTTCCATAAAGGCCAGATTTGTGCAGTGCACGACTGATTGTTATCCTATGGACAGACTCTCCCACCTCAGTTGTAGTTATCTGCAGTTCATCCAGAGTGATCATGGGCCTCTTGGCTGCATCTCTGATCAGTCTTCTCCTTGTTTGAGATGAAAGTTTGGAGGGACGGCCGGGTCTTGGTAGATTTGCAGTGGTCTGATACTCCTTCCATTTCAATATAATTGCTTGCACAGTGCTCCTTGAGATGTTTAAAGCTTGGGAAATCTTTTTGTATCCAAATCCAGCTTTAAACTTCTCCACAACAGTATCTCGGACCTGCCTGGTGTGTTCCTTTGTCTTCATGGTTCTCTGCGCTTTAAACAGAACCCTGAGACTATCAAAGAGCAGACTTGATCACACACAGGTGCATTCTATTTATCATCATCAGTCATTTAGGACAACATTGGATCATTCAAAGATCCTCACTGAACTTCTGGAGTGAGTTTGCTGCACTGAAAGTAAAGGGGCCGAATAATATTGCACGCCCCCACTTTTCAGTTTTTTATTTGTTAAAAAAGTTTAAATTATCCAATACATTTTGTTCCACTTCACGATTGTGTCCCACTTGTTGTTGATTCATGACAAAAAATTAAAATTTTATATCTTTATGTTTGAAGCCTGAAATGTGGCAAAATATTGAAAGGTTCAAGGGGGCCGAATACTTTCGCAAGGCACTGTATATACATATTTTTTTTTCATTTTGTTTAAAGTTGGCAGATGTGTTACTTTTATCACTGCAGCACTTTGGAGATGTGTTTTATAAGACGTGCTGTATCAATAAAGTGGATTAGATTTATACATTTAAAACATTTGGACACATATTTCACACAAAAAACTGAAAAATAGGTAAAAGACAGAACAAGAGCCTGAAAAGAGGCTTACTCATTCAATTAAACACAAAACACACACACACATATACACACATACACATGCACACACACACACAGACACACACATATACACACACACACACACACACACACACACACACATCTTAACAAGGGGAGGGGATATTTTGTATTTTTGTTGGAAAATACTTACTGCACATGAAAACACAGTGCCCCATGGTCAGAAATGTAAAAAATACATTAGTCTAATTGTGTTTGAAAATTAAACACAATCTAAGTTGTTGCCATCACCTTTGAAGAATTTGCAGATTTTATTGTACTGAACAAAAGTAGAGATTTCAGACTTGTCCCTTTAAAACAATGCGTGAGTGAATAACGTAGTAAACATGCATATTACAGGATATAGACAAAAAAATCATGAAATCAGTTTTTAAAAAGTCTGTATGAAGTTTTCAGCTATTTTGGGCTGATGTTCCATGTTTGAGCAGATTTTTCCACTCTTCCCTAAAACAACTTCCTGTGAATACTGTGTAAATGTCTGCATGAGCGTGTACCTCTCTTAAGTTGTCAAAAGCCGAGAGGATGATGTCGTGTCCCCCTCTGACCAGACACACAGCAGCCAGCAGCTCCAGCACCAGAGCCCTGGTCCTGGTCACGATCACACAACACACACACACACACACACACACACACACACACACACACACACACAGACACACACAACACACAGACACACAACATGTTTTAATACAACGCAAGATAAGTCAGTATCGAAACTACACAAACCCCAGGAGAGTGTGTGTCTCAATTGTGTTTAAATGAATCTGAGCAGTAGACTTCACTATATCACTATAAAAAACAAAAACGTAGTAGATTCGAGTAGATTCTGACTGTCTTAAAATCCGATTTGCCAATGGGAGGACAGGAGGATTCTGGAAACAAAAAATGTATTGTAATTGTTTTGACTTAAAGGAGAAATATGTAAAAATCTGGCCAAATGTGGTACTGCAGCCTCTCCCACTCTCCCTGACTCAGGTTGCCAGATATGCAGACGGATCCAGCTGGCACCATAATATCTGAATACACAAATGTATAACTAGTACCTTTTCTCTCAAGGCCCCGATAGAAATCCTCATTTTATTGCTTGTTTTTTGTCATGAATGAATGATTTGAGAATAATAAAAAGACATTATCAGTTAAGTATTCAGAAAGAGCAGAATTATGAATGCCTTTTGACAGTATAGGGCCATTTAATGATGACTTGACATGAAAATCCTAAATAATGCCGCTTTAACTAGACCTCTAGCTGTGCATATTTCACACAGTTCTTCTAACGTGACACATTTCTCATTCAGTCTCACGCACCTGGGATTCCTGCTGTTCAGACCAAGTGTGATCTCGTTCACGCAGGACGGGTGAGACATGACCAGGTTAAAACCAGACTTCGAAAACACACACAAGACACAGAACACAGTATTTATTCTCTCCACATGCAATTAAAGTGATGAAAAACAAGGTAAAAATTGCTAAAATGTGGATAAGTATCTTAAATTAAGCACATTCTGACTGCATTAAAACTCTTTCTTTTTAATGTACTGTGATAATTTATGATTTTTTATGCTATCTTTTTTTTGTTCAGCACGTTAAGTTGCCTTGTGTGTGAATTGTGCTATACAAAAAAACTTGCCTTGCCTAGATTCACCAATGGGACAAAGTAAAATGATGAAATGTCTTTGTTGGAATGAGAAAATAAAGCAACGGTTCATGAATTTAGTCTAAACGGCTTGGACCCGTCGCAGAATCTTGTTTTAACACAGTCAGAATGTGCTTAAATTAGAACAATAAAAACACGTGAAGCAACTTTGAGCTCATATTTCATCCTTTTTTGCAGTACAGACATGATAATCGGTGATGTATTGTTGGACTATGGGAGACTGTCGGTGTACCTGGTAGTTCATGATGGCTCGCAGACACATGATACAAACGTGGATGTCCTCTCTGGACGTGGGCGGCCTTTTGTACGTCTTGTTCCCCAGAGTGTTTGATATTCTGAAAGTAACATCAATCAATCCAATCAAATGTATGTATAAAGCACTATTCATACAGTGTAACCCAAAGTACTACACAAGCAATTAAAAGGCAGACGATTACACATAAAAACAGTGTATATACATATAAAACATTGTATTCAAAAAGATAAAAGTTAAGAACGTAAAAATAAATGCTTCAGATTAGTCATATGCATTCCTGAATAGCACAGTTTTCAGCCTGGACTTTAACATTGCCAAGGACGAGGCCTGTCTCACAAGCTCGGGAGACCGTTCCAAATTCTGCCTCCCCATGTTTAGTCCTGACCCTCGGCACCAGCAGGAAGCCAGTCCCTGTGCTCCTCAGGGTCCAAGTCGGTTCATATGGCGCTAACATGTCTCGGATATAATAATAATAATAATAATGCATCAAATTTATAGAGCCCTTTGTGGACACTCAAAGACGCTTTACAAAACACACAGAAATAAACATTGAAGAACAAAATGAAGGAAAGGCATGGGTTTTGAGAAGTGATTCAAAGTTCTGTAGTGAGTCTGAGTTTCTGGGAGTGAGTTCCAGAGAGTGGGGGCAGCAAAGGCTATGGTTCGGTGTTTAGTCCTGAGGGGAGTGAGGAGGTTGGAGTCAGTGGATCTGAGGCGGCGGGAGGGACGGTGATGATGGAGGAGGTCTGTGAGGTAAGAGGGGGCCAGGTTATGGAGGGACTTGTAGGTGAGGAGGAGGACCATGTATTGGATGCGGTCTGGAACAGGAAGCCAGTGGAGTTGTTTCAGGACGGGGGTGATGTGGTCCCTGGAGCAGGTGTGGGTGAGAAGGCGGGCAGCGGAGTTCTGGATGTATCGTAGGTTTTGAAGATGAGAGGAAGGGAGAACGAAGAGGAGGCTGTTGCAGTAGTCCAGTCTAAGGGTGACTGGACTATATACTGTGGTGCGAGGCCATGAAGAGACTTATGCACAATTAGAGCTGCTTTAAAGTCTATTCTCTGACCCACAGGAAGCCAGTGCAGAGACCTGAGAACTGGACTAATGTGGTCGTACTTCCTGGTTCTAGTCAGGACTCGAGCTGCTGCATGTTGAATGTACTGCAACCGTTTTACCGCTTGTTTAGAGAGACCTGTGAGAAGGCCATTACAGTAATCTAACCGAGCGGTGACAAATGCATGGATGAGTCTTTCCAAGTCAACATACGTATAAAATGATGCAACTACTATTACAACATGAGACGCTGAGTAACTTCCTCAAAACACAATCTCGTGGATTTGCAATATTGGATAATTTTGTGTGAATCTCTATCATGTTGAAATTTTAGTTTCAATTCCGCCAAACTGCACGTGTCGAGGTCTTCCACTGGTGCTTGCATTAGATTTGATCCCATACTGATTATTGGCCTCCTAAACATGAGATTAAGATTAAGATTAAGAGATGGGTGTGTTCACAGTAAAGTGTTAATTATAGTTATCCAGATATATTATAGTTATTGATCTGGACTTTAAAATATTATAGCTCAAAAACTAAATTTACTAATTCATTTAAGAGATGGATAGAGATAGGGTGGATGAAATCAAAAGAAAAGATTGACAAATACATTTTTGGCAAAATTTTAAGAGACCAGATCGGCTTTGGATTTAATCATTCTTCTGACTCCAGTTACAGAAAAAAATAAAAGGTCCTCAGAGACAAAGCGGCAGACGAACTTCCACAAGATTAATATTAACACAACATCAAGAATTTAATTGTATTCTCGTTGACTTTTTTTTGATAACTGAACGCTGTTTGTCTATCAATGTTCAAATGTTCAATGAATAAAGAAACCAATACAAATCTAAATAACCCTGGAAGAAGTTGAAAATTGTGAACAAATAAGAAACCTGCAGTTGTCCTCTGAAGCTTGTCAGATTTTTGCATAGATTAAGATGAAGAGATCCTTTATGCGTCCCACAGTGGGGAAAGTTCAGTGTTGCATCACAAGTTATAGAACAGTAGGAATGAGGAGCACACAGCACAAGAGAAGTGAACAAAAAGTATACTAATTAAAATAAAACAAAATCTCTAACTCTAGCATCACAGTATAAGTATAAAATCTCCATCTTGAACATATTAATAATAGAGAGTATAAAGTTTTGCATTTGGCAAAAAAAACGAGAGTTCAGCGGAAGTTGCCTATATTTGGGCATCGTCTGATCCTCCCAGTTCGGCGCAGTGGACGAGCTCCCATGATGCTTTGTGCCAAATACGCGTGTGTGGCTCTCATGCACGTGCACAGAGGGGCTCTGCTGCTGCTCTGATCAGCGCTGATCAGAGCAGCAGCAGAGCGGAGTCAGAGCGGGAAGGAAATGAGCAGAGTTTGTGGCACTGAAGTGTGAATTTAAAGAAAAAAAAGTTCAGGATGACAAGAGACACAAAAATCCCCACAAAGTCCGACCTTTATGAAAGCTGTAGGTTCTCTGTCAGGTTCTCGTTCCAGCGGTGTTCTGTGTGACTGTGTGATACCTGATGGTCAAAGCTCTCGCTGCCTTGGTGACCCCATGTGACGGTGAGCTGGCTTTGGTCAGGTCTTCCACAGATCGCCCGGCGGGTTTCGGTTTCTCTGACAACAACGTGCCGCCGTTTTCAACTGTGTCCACGTCGAATCTACAATCAGAAAAAAAGACTAGTCTGTGTGTGTGATGGGTTACCTTCACTTTTGTACTCAAGGGAGGACTTTCTCAGTGAAATACAGATAATAAATGTGACTAGGAAATGCTTTCACGCAAACAGGAAGTAACGCTGAGTTCTAAATTGGAATCCCTCACACCACATGTCATCAAATTAAAAGACAATTCGTGCACAAGAAAATAAATTATCTGACAGTTTAAGATTGAATTCAGAGATAAATGTGCTCTCATGATATCGTTCCATAGTGACTGGGCGTTTGTGTGCTCTGTGGTCGTCATGGCAACTACTTCTACGGAAAGTACGTCACATCTGCCGCCCCAAAAAAACAATATTCTTATACTTTAACAAACGTAGGGAGACAAAGGCAAGATTTCAAATGAGATTTTTAGAGGAAAGGAGGTTATTTGAAGAAGATTGCGCCAATTTCAACTAAGTGTTTATCAGAGACATAGCTTCAAAGCACATCACTGCGAACCCTAACTTCAATCATTCTTCAGATATGTAAGTCATTTTAGATTGTTTTTTCCAGTATGTAAATATTACTTGTTTATTGTTAGTTTATTTAAATCTTGGCTATATCACTCAGGACCTTCTTTGAATTGAGCTGTTTCTGTTCAATTAAGCCGGGGTTTTGATATTTTAAGGAATCTTTAAAGCAGGGCGGCACAGTGGCTGAGTGGGCAGCACCTTCGCTTCCCGGCAAGAAGGTTCTGAGATCAAATCCCACTTCAGGGCGTTTCTGAAATGCCGTATGCATACATTGAAATCACAGTCAAGCTTTATTGCAATCAATTGGGTTTTGCAAGTAATCCACACGTGGAGTTCACTGCAACATCCAGTTAAGAATGTACTCTTTTAGTATTTTTCTTTATTACACAAAATTAAATGCAGTTAGTTTCAGTTGTTGACAATAAGTACAATCTGTGGGTTTTTATTTTTTATTTGTATACCACCCGCCTCCCGCTACCACCCTCCCCAATTTGTCTCCAGGTTGACAGTGTATCTACAGTGAGTATATTCGGTAAATAAGTAGATAAGTCCCTAAAAAGAGAAAAAATAGATAAATAGAAAAAAAAAAGTATGTGCAATTTATTTTCCAAGTTTTTTCAAGTACACTTTACCTGTCAGAGTATACAGCGCAAACATACATTCAGGAAGCAACACAATGAAAAGTCCATTGTAAAGAAAGTCAGTATAAATTTGTCTGTAGTCTAAACAGAGCCCCTGAGATAAGCCCAAAATCAAGCTCATTTGTGGCTTTTGTGTTTCGTCTAAGGAAGAAGAAGACATTTTCTGAGGTTTGCCGATAAAAGTTTTCTTCTTTCTATTACGGATTCCTGGCAGAAAATGATTGAGAAGCTCTGTTTTAACCCGAGGGACTGAAAGAAGGTCGAGGTCCAAGGATCTGAGACACAAAACCAGAAATATATGATGGCCCCAGACTGTGGAGGGATCTATAAACCGGCACAAGGATTTTAAAGTCAACCCTGGGCCTGAATTGGGAATCAACAAAGATCATTTAATATAGATGTGATGCAAGACCTACCACCTTAAATACTATTGTGTGGAATGATTGGTCTAATCTGTCATATGGGTTTAAACATGGGCGACAGTAGCTCAGTTGGTAGAGCAAGCCCAGAAGGTCGTGGGTTCAATTCCCACCTCTGCACCTTCTCCACCGACTCCCACTGATGACTGCTGTCGTTGTGTCCTTGGGCAAGACACTTAACCCCACTTTGCCCAAAGCCCCCACTGAAAGATCAAGGCTATGCTCACACTCTTAGAGCAGCCGTCCTCCTGTGGACTCACCACCTGCAGAGGGTCAGTGAGGGGCTGGTGCTATGAGACTTGGGTGGCATCTCTGACTGTCACCCCCCTGACCCAGAAATGGATTAAAGGGTAGAAAATGGATGGATGGGGTTTAAACATCAATCCAAATGCGATTACAGTAGATTAGGATGCATACTCACGGAGCGTCACTTTGAGCGTGGGAGAGATACTCGACCAGCACGTCCAGACCTTTGTTTGGTTCGTTGAGAAACTCCTGAGCCCAGCTGAGAGACACAACAATATCATGCATGAATCTGGTCTGGCCCAAGTTCTCCCGATCATTTACTTTAGCGATTTCTCACTGTGTGGAAAGTACGTCTCCGTTCAGGATTAAACAGTAGCATGGTGCCATCTTACTGAAGGAGAACCTCATAATTGGACTGAGGAATTTACCCATACTTAGTAGAAATTTAGGTTTTTGAATTATTGTCATACTCAATAAGTGTCATGTGAGAGTCCGTGAGGCTGGAGGACTCTCACCGTCTTGGTCGTCATTGGTTGATCAATAATCACAGCACATTAAAAGAGTGAAGATACGATGTTTGCACATTTCCTCCTTTTGCACAATCTGAGTGTCTCTATCCATGCCAAATGTGACATGTAAATTTCTCCTCTGTGAGATAAATAAAGCACATCTTATCTTATACAATACTTAAGTTATACGCACAGATCAACAGAACTGTTTTAACCCAGATTTGAAGGTTGTCAGAGAAGAAGCCTGTCTCACATTTTCAGGAAGACTGTTCCAGATTTTAGGTGAAATGCCACTCCATATTTAGTCCTGAGTCTCTCTCTGTGGTCTCCATGTCGTCGCTCTGGTCTCTCTGGTCTCTCTCTAGTCTCTTTCTAGTCTCTCTCTTGTCTCTCTCTGGTATCTCTCTGGTCTCTCCTGGTCTCTCTCTCGTCTCTGTCTGATCTGTCTCTGGTCTCTCTCTAGTCTCTTTCTAGTCTCTCTCTTGTCTCTCTCTGGTATCTATCTAGTTTCTCTCTGGTCTCTCTCTGGTCTATCACTGGTCTCCCTCTAGCCTGTCTCTGGTCTGTCTCTGGTCTCTCTCTTGTCTCATACTCGTCTCTCTCTGGTCTCTCTCTTGTCTCTCTCTGGTCTCTCTGTCTCTAGTCTCTCTAGTCTTTCGCTTGTCTCTCTCTGGTCTCTCTCTAGTCTCTCTCTAGTCTCTCTCTTGTCTCTCTCTGGTCTGTCTCTGGTCTCTCTCTGGTCTCTCTAGTCTCTTTCTAGTCTCTCTCTGGTATCTCTCTGGTATCTCCCTGGTCTCTCTCTAGTCTCTCTCTAATCTGTCTCTGGTCTCTCTCTAGTCTCTTTCTAGTCTCTCTTTTGTCTCTCTCTGGAATCTCTCTAGTCTCTCTCTGGTCTCTCTCTGGTCTATCACTGGTCTCCCTCTAGTCTGTCTCTGGTCTGTCTCTGGTCTCTCTGTCTCTAGTCACTCTAGTCTTTCGCTTGTCTCTCTCTGGTCTCTCGCTCTAGTCTCTCCTTGGTGTCTCTCTAGTCTCTCTCTAGTCTCTTTCTGGTCTGTCTCTGGTCTCTCCCTGGTGTCTCTCTCTAGTCTCTCCCTGGTCTCTCTCTAGTCTCTCTCTAGTCTCTCTCTGGTCTCTCTCTGGTCTTTCTCCGGTCTCTTTCTGGTGTTTATAATCCGTCTCATGTACTTCATTCAAGCCTGCTTACCCAATATGGTTTGTCCGCAGGGAAATTTCCAGATTTTTCAGGACTTGTGTGGCGTCTTGGATTCTTTTTTTGACCTAAAACCAACAAATAAAAGTTTTTGAAAAATTGACAGTAAGAGAAATGAATAGAGTATGATAATATGAATTAAAGCTGACCCTGCGTGGGACCCCTCCCTGGTCCTGGTACAAGCTCTTTATTTTGCTCAGATAAGTGGAAGGTGGGCTTTTGACCTGGAAGCGTTCCTGTGGAGACACAAATATTCAATGTTTCATTTTTACGATAACATTCAAGGATTCAGGCAAACGTTATTGTCTTGCAATCTCAAATAAAAAAATGTGCAAACTCTGGTCTGGATGGGTTGTGTCTGCCCACTTCCATAAAACATGCATGCATTGTTTTCCATAGGGATTAAAGTAGCAATATGTAAGATTTTCATGTCAAGTTCTCATTAAAGAGCCCTAATCTGTCAAAAGGCATTCCTTTAACAAGCTTTTTTCCAATACTTCTTTAACTGAAAACAGTAGTTCAAAGATATTTGGATTTCAAAATGAGTTTTACAGCCCTTAAAATTTTATTGTTTTCATTTCGATTGTCCCGCCCTCTACCTATCAGAAAGTCTGATTGGCCAGAACTCACCGCGTCAAGCTCATCTCACTGGTAAAGTACCATGTGCGCACTTCGACAAAACAAGGAATAAAATGAGAATTTCTATCGGGGCCTTTGTGAAAAAGGTGTTGGTTATAGATTTGTTGTTGACAAAACTCTTGTCTTTTCAGATATAATGGTCCCAGCTGGATTCGTCTGCATATCTGGCAACCTGAGTCTGGGAGAGTAGGAGAGGTTGCAGTACCACTTTTGTCCAGATTTTTACATACTGCTCCTTTAAAATAAAAACTATTGTAAATGTAAAAGCGTACAGCTATCTGTGGTGATTAATGACAGCAAGATATACTTTAACAGTAGGTTAAAGAAAGAAAGCTCAAATCTAAAATCATAAAACACATCAAAACACCTTATACCCACAGAGAAAGTGAGTGAAATTCTTGACGTGAAAGCAGTAAATGTCATCTGAGGTCTGTTTTTATTCTTTCTTGACATCACACAGCTCTGTTTCTAAGCCGACACCTTTTGTTATTACCACAAGAAACCACATGCAGCTTTACCGCAGTCGTGCTCCGGTCTCTGTGCACTGAGCCTCACCTCTCCATCATCTCAATGGTTTTACAGCAGCAAAACAAAATGACTGAAACAGAGAGCGTTCTGCTGCTTTTCTACCAATACACTTGTCTCCTGGTTAAGTCCTGGTTAAGTCCTGGTTAATTCCTGGTTAAATCCTAGTTAAGTCTTGGTTAAGTCCTGGTTAAGTCCTGGTTAAGTCCTGGTTAATTCCTGGTTAAGTCCTGGTTAAGTCCTGGTTAATTCCTGGTTAAATCCTGGTTAAGTCCTGGTTAAGTCCTGGTTAATTCCTGGTTAAATCCTGGTTAAGTCCTGGTTAAGTCCTGGTTAATTCCTGGTTAAGTCCTGGTTAAATCCTGATTAAGTCCTAGAGCAGTCAACTTGACGGCTTTTAGTTTTGGAGGTCTAGTTACCCACTGTACAAACCTTTTTGATCTTCATGACTTTGTGACTTTTCTGTTTCTATGTGTTGTAAATGTCTATGTTTTTATGGTTAGGAAATTATCTGATAAAAGGAAGCATTTTCAATAGATTTTTTTTTTTATGATGCTGCTTCTAGACTTGTGCTAGACTGGTCCTGGACTGGTCCTGGACTGGTTTTGGACTAGTCCTAGTTCAGCTTTATTTTCCACCATAGAAAAGCGAGTTGATTACCATAGCAACACACTGTTTACCATCAGCAGTTAGCATTTGGTTTATAGCATTTAAACAAACAAAAAATCTTAACATTAATCGTATATGTTTTCAATTTAATCTGTACTTTTATCATGTCTTATTAATGTACTGGTATTTATTTATTCAGTTAATTATATTGCTAATGTATCTATCTGTGCAGAACTTATACAGGCCAAACAATAAATCCATGCGGAATTTTTATTTTTCTTTGAGTACGAGGAACTAGTTAGATACATTTTATACATTTTTAGTAGTTGAAAGTTAGATACCCCAGCTTTAATTCCATCTTCAGAGAGCACACTCTGCTTGTAAAATCATATCAGTTTATTCACATTTGCATCAGCCATTTAAAGTCAGGAGTGAAAGTAAATTATTTCCATGTTTTCTCATCATAAGTCATACAGTCGGAGCATTACCTGATCACAGACGAGCTCCCACTTCTTCTCATTGTCGTAGTCACTGAGCAGCTGCAGTTTGTCCGGAGGCAGGTTCATGTAGCTCTGCAGAAAGAACACACATGAATCAACACATTTAGTTAGTTCTAGTACTAGTATCATGTGTTTTTATTCTGCCTAAATATTTTTCAAGAGTACTCTGTGGATCAGGTGTGGCATATCCCCTCCTTCTTACAATGTACGTGAGAAAATGTCATGTAAAAGTGAAACAAACAAATCGGACAACAACATCACTAATCGTCACCTTATTAGAAAAACATGTTATCTTCTGTATAGTTGTAAGCAAGAGCCCTGTGAGTCACTGTTTGACTCTTTGGGCTGAAAGCTGATTCGCTGAATGGTGGTGATCCTCTCGTTTTCACTTTTCTGGCTGAAAAAAAGTTGATCTAAAGATGTGACCGACGCCAAAAATACGTGCATGTGATAAACAAGTCAGATAAACTGTTTTAGAGTCAGGAACTGTAGTCACATGGGTTCTATTACATAGCTCCATTACTTTGCTTGGACATTTACAGACCCCAGCTTTAAAATGCAGAGGCAGTGCAGTAGAAGCAGCAGTATTAGCAGCAGAATTTCTTGTATTTTTGACTATTATGGTGATATTTGCATTGACCTCAGATGACTTTACTATGACTCTGCGTTTATGCCATTCCAGTCAGACCACAAGTTCATTTCTCTGGCAACAAAGAAGTGAATGCACCGGCGACAGGAAGTATAATTGTGTCACGTTTATTCATGAGCATTCATCGATGTTGCCAGGTTCCCAGTTTAACCAGTACATGTGAGTTCTTAATTATGGCGTAGTTATCTCCCAAAAAAAGGCTTCCAGGCTGGCAAATGTTATTCATATACAGCACAATTCACACTCAAGGCAACTCAAAGTGCTAAGTGCTGAACAATAAATAATCAACCATGAGTAACCTGGATTTAAACATTGTCAGAGAAGAAGCCTGTCTTACTTTTTCAGGAAGATTGTTACAGATTTTAGCGGCATGAATCTGAAATGCAGCTTCCCCATGTTTAGTCTTGACTCTGGGACCAGCAGGAGTCCAGTCCCTGTGCTCCTCAGAGTCCCAGCAGGAGGCCAGTCCCTGTGCTCCTCAGAGTCCCAGCAGGAGGCCAGTCCCTGTGCTCCTCAGAGTCCCAGCAGGAGGCCAGTCCCTGTGCTCCTCAGAGTCCCAGCAGGAGGCCAGTCCCTGTGCTCCTCAGAGTCCCAGCAGGAGGCCAGTCCCTGTGCTCCTCAGAGTCCCAGCAGGAGGCCAGTCCCTGTGCTCCTCAGAGTCCAGCCCGGTTCATATGGGACTAAAATGTCACTTTAATGTATTTTGGTGTTTTAAAGTCCATTCAAGTCTACTTATGTAAAATATAGACACAGTACTGTTTAGCTGCGCATACAACTGAAGGATTATGTAGATACTCTTTTTTTTTTATATACATCGTGGTTATTTATTATTTTAATCCTGTGAATGTTTTTAATGTTTTTAGTTTTTTAATTACTTGTGATTTTATTCAGTTTTTTTTTGTGTTATATTATTTTTTTATTTTTTTTTTTCATTTTTTTATGTATTTACTTGGGATTTTATTCTGTTTTTGATTTTGTGTGTGTTTTTTTGTTTTCAATTTTATTTCATTATTATTTTCTTTTTTTATGTATAGGCGCTATACAAATAAAAGTTGATTGATTGATTGATTGATTGTCAGCAGAGAAACTGAATAAATACGTGGAGCAATAGATAAAACACTAAATGATCTCTTGTTTTTGTTTAGGTGTGGCCTTTTTGAGAACAATACGGAGCGGATATGGCCCGTTAGTTTTGCTCTGTGGCCTGGTCCTGATGGCGACCTGAGGGAGGGGTCCCACAGCGGTGTGTGTGTGGTGCAACATTTGGTTTCAAAAAGGAATAAAAGCATCTGACAAACACGTAATTGTCCCAGGTTTAGACACAAAATGGAGAAGGAAATCCACTTCTCGATTCCTCACACACACAAAGAACAAAAGACAAAAAAAAATTTACAGACAAAAACAACAACGTGAGGTTAAAGTTATAGAAATGTTTTATCTGTGAGGAAGTGAGGTCATGTTTTTGCAGAACGGGCTTTTTCACTTAAGGAAATTATATCAAACTAGGTTATATATGTATTTGTTTATCAGACATGTGCTAATGTCTTGTAGGTAAAGCTCGGGTACCTGACTTTATCTCCGACTGGTAAGAAAGACGCCTGGGAGTCACTATATGGGGTTTTTTACTATTCTGTCTGAAAAAACGGATCTAAGGATCTGACAAAGAAGCGATCTGTTTTGAGAGCCGGGAACGAGTTGGATTAAGCTTATTAGGTAGTTCTATTTTTTGTAGTTTCAAAATTAGGTACCCCAGCTTTAATGTGTCCACAGACAAGTCATGTTATTGCACTGAGCTACAGTATATATATATGCAAAGTATTCTCCCCAACACAGATACTACTTTTATACTTTTTATTTGTTCTTTTACAGAGTGTACAATTCAGTTTTTGTGACTTTTGCTGAATTCTTTAAGTCTGTAAGTAAGTCATCTTTCACAGCGCTTTTCAGAGACTGATTTTTGGGTGATGAGAAAAACCGGGGCCTGGACAAAACCCACCCAGAATCAGGGAGAAAGTCCACACAGAAAGACCCGATCTGGTGTGAGACTACAGACCCTCTTGCTGTGAGTGCTAACCTAACGCTGTGACATTCTTTCCACATATTCAAAGCTAATTTATCCTGTTTGAGAGTTTCCATTATTTCTTTAATGAAGCTTAACCGGAGGTTCAGGATGGTAGACTACCTACGTTATCACACCAGGCTAGACCACGCCTTTCTCATGTCATAATCAACTCATCAACTCCCTGCAGCCGTGTCAATCAAGCCAGCGTAAAGCAAAGCAGAGCACAGCTCACCAAACGGACTTCAAGCTGCAACCACCTCCACCAGGATTTCTTCACTCTCACATTCACCTTGCCTTGTTGCCACCACCAGTGTCTAGGCCCCGGAGGATCATGATCTGCACCCAGGCGCAGATCTCTTCAGAGCACGGCCACAGCCGGGGCCTAAGCTCCAAACCAATAAACAAACTCAATCCATAAAATCTCAAACACATAAAGAACTCTTAAACACATCTTGTCTCTTGTAGTCTCTCCAGGTTGAATTTTCTATAGATGACTTATCCGTTACATATTTTATTCTTTCATTCCTTCTTCATCCTGTAGACTTAGGAGTGGGCAATATGGGCAATAATAAATATTTCAATAATTTTTTCCCAACTTTCGATGACAATATTGTCACAATATCTTTAAAATAAATCATTTTTACACAAAATTATGTTTTTCTTGATAAAAGGAGCAGCCTTTTTATTCGTAAATTGCTTCACACTTCTTTGCAAAACATGCACAAACATATATTAGCATTAAAAATCAATTCAAGAAAGATGGGAAGAACACATCCAAAAAGCCTCAATATTTACTGAAATGTACAAATAAAGCATTGATTGGCTTTTTAGGCACACCTTTCACGAACGGGCATCTCGCCTGCTCTAATTGTGATAGGTAATGGAGATATGGCAAGAGCTCTGGTGTGTGTCGTCTGGCGCACACCGGGGTAGTCTTGCACAGTTTTTCCAATGTGGTTTTACTGCAAATGGCAAATAAATGAATCTGAATCTGATATGTAAAAAAAAAAAAAAATCAACACAATAATTCACTTTGGCCCACCTGCTCACACACGCTGCTCTAGACTCTCAATAACAGTGGCAATAGGAGAGAACCTTCGCCTTAATGGGTTTCAGACTCAAATCTTTCATCAATAGCATCCCTTGTACTTTGAAACTTCTCACACCATGGTCAGGTGGTCGAGGTCGATCCAGTGCTGGTGTAATTTCATACTACTGTTGATAAATAACAGGATCCATATCACTCCGCCTGGGCTGTCACCATAGCAACACACAGCATTGAGCACTCACAGATAGCGTTCAGATTATATATTAAAAAGTGACTTTAAAGATCTATCATATGGCTGGATGTTGAACCAAGGTTCTACATTTGCTTTTTTTGTAAAACATTGCTTTTTGTTCAGTGTCTTTGTGTGGGTGTGTCTTTCAACAATTCGGTCATGACAACCGTTGCTAAGGAGCTTTTTGTCAGTGTTAATAAAGTAGTCCCTTTCCACAGAAATGTTTTTCAGAAGTGTGGGACAAAATAAAGGACCTCTTAATCCCTTAATCTTAATCCACACTGTTGAATATGTGTTAAACGGACTCTTTCTTTCTTGTTAAACAGCAGAATCACAGATGATCTCTGACCTAATGCACGGCTCGACCTAAATAAAACATTCACGGGCATCACATCGTATACAAACATCTCTTTGTGATTTTGTTTTCCAATATTTGACAATATATAAATAAGAAATCTCAAACTATTGCATCAAAGTTTATACATCCGTCTCGCTTTTCTTCACATTGTCTCAGAATTCATCACTTTTCAATGATGAAAATATGGTGAAATGTTTTCTTTCCGGTCTCATGGTGTCTGGCAGAGAAACGTGTTGCTCAACTTCCCCCTCGGGAGCAGCTGAACTAATCTCTGAGCGCGACAATTCAACCAGAACTCATAAAAAACACACACAAAACACATCACTTTGAACCTAAGAAGATGTGTCTCTGTAAATCGCTAAATTACAACTCTTTACCGGAAAAGTTCTTCAAAGTCACTTAAAACAGTTGCAAAGTGTGTGAACTATAGCTGCTCTAGAATATGAGCCAAAGTCAGATTAGTCGCAAAAAGTAAGTTAGTAGTAGTACATGTTTTTAGTGGTAGGGGTTAAACCTGCGCACCCGGAGGAAACCCACGCAGACACGGGGAGAACAGGCAAACTCCACAGAGAAAAGTCCTGCTCCGACTGGGATTTGAACCCAGGACCGTCTTACTGAGAAGCGAGAGTGCTATCCCCTCAGCCAACTTAAAAGGTCATGATTGGCTAAAAATCTTCCCTGAACTGCATTTGACATAAAACAAAAACAACTATACAGGCAAGCACGTCAAAATAAACGTTTCTATAGCAGATCTCATGTAAATCAATTTTGTTTAAGAACTTATCCTGAGAGGAGATGGATCTAAAGCCTGTCCGTTCGTGGAAGCAGATCCCGCTCTCATTTTGGGCCCTGGTTTCTCACTCTTCCCACTGGGTTTTTGAGTCGTTCCTTGTTGATGCAGGAGGTTCTGAGGACAGTGAGGATCCGGGACCTTTCAGGACTTTTGAGGACCGTTTATAGACATCGGTCAAAAGATAAGATATTGTCATTGTTGCGCACATTTCAGCAGAGAATGAAAGAAATAAGAGCAGTCAGATTTTCACACTTCAAATAGAGTCAGATGTATATGTTGTACTTTAGCAGCAGAATAAACATCAGTAATAATATCAACAGGTAAAGTGACTAGTGACTAAGTTCCCAGTGAATTATAATCAGTGACACTAGTTCAGACTCAGCAGTTACCGTTATTCATGCGCTCCCTGTGGACCAATGGCTCCTGTGTGTTTGTTGTTATTGGAACGGTTTCATTCTCTGATCTGTTGTTGAGGAATTGCCAACTTTGTAATGTCCCCTGCTGACTGCTGTTGTCATTTATTTGATTTAATGTCATAGAACAAAATTAAACTTGGATCATGAAACCTGGAAATGCCTTCAATGACCTGTTGTTGTTGCTGCTGTTTTAATAATCCTGGTCAGAGCATAGAAGCTAAGCAGTGCAGGGCCTGGTTAGCACTATAATGGGAGACAGCTGCTAAATATTTTGACGGTATGTCTCTATAATGCAAACTGAAACACACATTGCCCAATATGACTCAGGTCAGAGCGTGACTGGGTGTTGGTGCCTAAGCCAATTCCGGAGATTGGCATCCTCTCAGCCGTGAGTCTACCCCAGGGCAGCTGTGGCAATAGTAGTAGTTTACCAGCACCATGTAGGAGGACATATGGGGAATTTGTAGGGCAAATGGGGAATGCCTTTGTATTGAAACTGTTATTGTTGATCAATTTCAGTGTCATTTGATTCCTGTTTTTTGTATTTTGAACTTTGTTTTTTTTCTGTACTTGTCTTTTGTGCATGTATTCCAATGTGGTTTTACTGCAAATGGCAAATAAATGAATCTGAATGACTTAAACAGTGTAAATTATGTGTAAATTGAACGTCCAAAAAGTACCTTATATAAACCAATGCATTATTATGTGTATGTAGTTTTTGCCCTACTCACCAGAACCATGTTGAACCTCTCCTGCAGCTCCTCTTCGGGGGGTATGGGTAGTTTGGGGGCAGGTGGTTGTTTCTTCTGCAGTGTGGACTCTCCTGTCCCAGTGCCGGATATCCCACCAGGGCTCCCGACCTCTCTCCTCTCCCCTGACTCCTGCTCCACACCCCCTGGAGCCGCATTCCCCATCACCAGTTTCCACAAGTAATCCAGTGGGAAAAAAGTTATTCTCACCCTTGCAAAGAAATCTATTCCAAATGTGAGTGTAACTATTTGTCACACACAAGTATCAAAAAGAAATATTCAGCCGTTCAATGACAGAAATGTTGAGTTACATCTTTGTTCTGAAATAAGTCTTGCAACGCTTGTATTCCGACCGATCAATATCAAACCCGGTGGAGTGATGCTGTGTGGTTGACTAAGAAGTGACTTTGAGGGCTCAGTGTTTTTGGCGTCTGAGAGGAAGGCGAAGGGAGTGTGTCACAAAACAGAAACCACAGCCGCTCAAAAGCAGAAGAGCAACTTCCTGTCACAAAACAGCAGCAACAGAAACTGCAGGGTGGAGGCCACGGAGGAGACATGCTGATGCTGACTTATGTATGTCCTCTACTGCTGTATTACCCTGGACAGATATCAGAGAGTTAAAAATATGAAAATGTACTGTTACTTTGTTATTGATTCAAGATAACCCTGCAATAAACTTGCTCAACTCATTTAAAATCCTAGTAGTAATGTCATTCTACAAAAAATCTGGATCTGTATATTTTAAGGTGCTATGGCAGTGTGACATCCATGCACCTGTCTGCTCCTGAATAAAAGTCAGTGGAGAATAAAATGACTGTACCAAAGCGCCCTCCTGTGGCCAAGACGTGTCTCTACAACCGCTTTCTCCGTGCTGCATTTATTTATTTAATTATCTTTGAACAGTGTTGCGATCTTTGGGCTATTCTTGAATGACTCTTCACAAAAAAATGTCTTGATTTTATTTGCCACAAAAAACATTATAACAATATTTATTAAATAAAAAGCAAAATCTGTATTAAATTAATTCAAACATGTTTTCACACAAAAAAATCACTTTGGGCAGAGTGAACATATAGTTTGTAATAATGCTGTTTTAGAAAGCAATTTATAATTTTCAAAAAAAAAAATCTCCATGTCTAAAATATTTATTAACATATCCACGGTACAACCATGGATCTAGGGTACAACCGTGGATCTAGGGAACAACCATGGATCTAGGGAACAACCATGGATCTAGGGAACAACCAAGGATCTAGGGAACAACCAAGGATCTAGGGAACAACCATGGATCTAGGGTACAACCAAGGATCTAGGGAACAACCATGGATCTAGGGAACAACCAAGGATCTAGGGAACAACCATGGATCTAGGGAACAACCAAGGATCTAGGGAACAACCATGGATCTAGGGAACAACCATGAATCAATCCCTAATTTCAGTCCATGGCTGCACCGCTGACAGATGCAACTTTTCCATAGTGTCCGTGAACGCAGCAGAGCTTATTTTGCTCCAAGATGGCGGACCCGACAACGCCGCCTGAGGACCACTGGAAGGTAAATAAAGTTATTGTCCGCTTTTTTGTTGTTTAAAACATATATAAAACATGTGGGTCACGCTCGGGCTGATTATTTGACATTTGTCTTGACCGATGCGTTTCAGACAAAGGATTTGTTTTGCCTGGTTAGCCCCGATGCTAACATGCTACTAGCTAAGTGCAGAGCAGTGTTATGCTTGTTGTTATGAATCCAGTTTTTGCAGGTTTTCTGAAATAAACAGCTTTTTCTTTGATTGGAACCTTGCTCAAATGTTCTGTATGTTTAGTTTTGCATGTTATTGTCATGTGTGCATCAGCTGATCATAAATACATGTGCAATAGCTGAGCATGGAGTCACATGTTTATGAAATAAGGAAACAGCCTGTCTCATTATGACTGCGTGAATCCAGTTCATTGAAGGTCAGGATGTGTTCTTCTAAATACCCAATATCATGTTATATGTGGGTTGTGGAAATCAGGTTTAGCAAAAGACTCCCCGAACAAGGCAAAGTAAGTATTGATCCAGAAACAGACTAGATCAATGCCATTTGTTTACACTTATTGAGAATTGCATTTATTATGATTGAGGCTGCATTTTAATTGGAAAGAGCTGTTTCAGTTTTGACAAATACGAGTGCAGCATGACATACAACAATGCACTATTTTCTTTCAATCATAGTTAACTGGTCTGATTTCCATTATTGATACACAATACTTGTAAATATGTTCTATCTGTACGTCTGTCTCTTACCCTTGTAAATACATCAAAATTACACATGCACAGGTTTTAGTTTATATAAGGCCTATTGGTATATTCTGAAACAATTCCCATTTTGATTCTGTCCTAGTTATCTAATTCTTTTCCCTAACCCTATGGGATACAGATAGAAATTAGTGTTATAATCTGGCAATAATAATAATCTGTTCTTTGACATGCTCTGTCCCTTTCAAATAAATCAATAAAAATAATCATGTTTGGTTTTTCTAATACATATTGGACATTGACAGCATCCAAATAGTTGCTATGGTGATTTGACTCATAAACCCTTCATAACTCTATGTCTGTTGTATCTATTTGTATAATAGAATTGAATGCATGCCTGTAGGGCTTTTTTTCCTTTCGTTTTTAGAACTTGTCTGCTCCACATACCAAAGTTAATTCTTAGTTTGACTTCCTCCATCCATCCATCCATCCATTTTCTTCCGCTTCATCCGTTGCCGGGTCTGTGAGTTTGACTTCCTGTTACGTACAATGGTAATACAATAGATTCTGTATTCACAATAATAGCAGCAATGAGTGTAAATAACGTGACCTAATTTTAAATGTCAGTGTGAAATATACAAGCTTTTCTGACTTTTTGGGTTAAACTTTTTGGATTGAAATTGGGTACCAGTAATTCAACCTTTAAACAATCACAAACACATTACATTCTAGCAAAATATCAAAGGTATACCTTATCTTTGTTTTTTTTTTGTCTTCTGTCTTACCTGTTTACTATGCATTTGTCTCATCTGCAAGTTTGTGTATTTTGTTTTAATATTGCCTGGTAAGTGGGTTTTTGTCATTGTGTTATCTTATGTGTGTTATGTTATGTATTGTATGTTTTTGTATGTACATATTTTGAGTGTATATTTGATGACTGTGTTATCTGACATAATAAAAAAATAAAAAAAGAGCAAAAAATAAATAATAAAAGACATCTGATATCAGCCTCTTGTCTTCGGACCTCGGCTTCATAATGTAGTATGTGTCAACGATTGCCCCTTGGTGCAAAAAGATGTGACAGCCCAAACTAAACTAGTGATTCTGAAAGTGTATGTTTTCAAACTTAACCTGTGGGCGCACAATCATTTTAGATACATTTTAACTGTTGTATAAATCTGCATTAGTTTAGGATTTATAACTCAACAAATGACTACGACAAACAACATTAGAGTTGATGTAACATGTTTTATTCTTTCTATTCTAATCATCAGCGTTGTCCTGCAGGGAGGGTCTGTGTGTGTGCTTTTATTGGGGGTCCTTGTTCCCCAAAGTAAGAGGTATAGGGGCCCCCAGCGCCAGACCGTGCAGGTGCAGCACATGTGTGATTACAGCTGATTCACAGTCACAGTGTTTGATTCGAAGATTGGGGGCAGTGCTCAGCGGGCGAGTGTCAGGAAGCAGCTTTTCTTTGTGTGTGAATTTAGGGCACGGCACTTTTCTCATGTTATTGCACCTCTCATCCTTTATTCTGCTCTTTTCCCCGACGCTGGCGATGGCTCAGCAGACCGACGGCGGCTTCAGCGATGGAGGCTTTGACCACAGTGAGTTCTCAACTTACTTCTCTGACTAAATGTTGTTTATTATACCACCAAATTAAACTGTTTCTTACAGGTTTCTTTGCTGAAACTACGAGAAAGGACTCTCTAGTATCCAGGGCCAACAGCATCGGCTCCACAAGTGCCTCCTCAGTACCAAATACAGGTAAAAATAGTACCAATCATTCAGCCTGTCATCATAACGTTTAAAGTCGTTTTAATGGACAATATATGTATCCAGAAATAATTGTGATAAATGATAATATCTAAACTACTAAATGTCGCTAGTGCTGATGCAAGAAATCCGAGTGCTTTCATTGGTCCATTGAAAATGTAGTGTGTGAAAGTAAATAGCAGAAAATGGATCATTTTGAACCTTCTACAGCTACAGCCTTATTGTTTTACATAGAAAATAGCAACAACCTTGACTTTTTAAATATCGAGGCCCTAAAATATGTTGTTTTATCCATCAGTTATTAAACCATGAGTCGTAGGCCGGTCATGATAATTACTATATTGACTATACAGTAATTATCATGACCGGCCTACCACTCTTGATCTTATATTTTTAGCTTAAGCTGGAAAGATAATATTCTCTTTATAGACATTGCTGCATTAAAGGAATAGTTCACCGTTTTTACATACTGACATATGTTCTTACCTTACCTTAGACTAGTTAATACGTACCTGTCTGGTCTTAGTCCGTGCGCTCTGTCATGCAAACGGAGCAAAAACGGGAGCACAACCGCAGCCTCCTCTGGTCACTGTATAGTACCCAAAAGGTAGCTCCCGCTAGAAGCTACCAAACTCTTCCAAGTGTTCCCTATTAAATGTATATAGTTACGTGACGTGTTACACTGCAAAGTATAGTAACACAGAAATGTAACTGTCGATTTTCTCAGCGGATAAAACGGGTGCTATATTGTGAGGCGTAGTAATCTGAGGAGCGCTACGTCCGCGCACTAACTTCTCTCCGTACTACAAGTCACGCTGCTTCTATTGATGGAAGTGAGCGAGAGAGAAGTCTCCGGAGAGAAGTTAGTGCTCCCGTTTTTGCTCCGTTTGCATGACAGAGCGCACGGACTAAGACCAGACAGGTACATATTAACTAGTCTAAGGTAAGGTAAGAACATATGTCAGTATGTAAAAACGGTGAACTATTCCTTTAATTCTGCTGAATTGGTATTTTTTGACTCTGGTAACCAAACAAAAATTGTACAAATAATAATAAAATGGTTCTACTTTGCTACCTTGCACTTGGAGAGGGGGACTTTGAAAGATATAGAAAAATCCCATTGACTCACTACACTCAGTACGTACACTTAGTTGACTAGTCTATAAATCTATGATATTATTTTCAGATGATGAAGACAGCGACTACAGACATGAGACTTCTTACAAAGACTCCTACAAAGACCGGCGGAGGCAGGCGCACACCCAGGCCGAGCAGAAGAGAAGAGACGCCATCAAGGTCCATTGTGCTCCACACACTACTGTCATAAGTGCTCTTTGCGACGACCATGTGACTAACCCAACGACCCTCTGACAACAGAAAGGTTATGATGACCTGCAAAACATCGTGCCCACCTGCCAGCCGCAGTCCGAGTTCGCGGCGGGCGCCCAGAAAATCAGCAAGGCCACTATACTGCAGAAAAGTAAGAGAGTTCTGCTTGTTTTGAGAGCATTTTAGAAGCAGGCGTGACTCCTTTAATCTTTCTCGTCCGTACAGCCATCGACTACATCCATTTCCTTCACAAAGAGAAGAAGAAGCAAGAGGAGGAAGTGTCGACGCTCAGGAAAGAAGTGATGGCGCTGAAGATTATGAAAACGTAAGGCGGGATTAGCACAGCCCGGGGAAGGTTTGCGATTGGTTAAATAAATCTGACTAAGGTGGCAAATATCAGTGCATGAGCTGATGTGTTTGGAGTGGACTGACTGAGTGCTGATGTCACCCAAGTGTCAGCTTTAATGGGGAGGAAGCTTAATTTAAACATAAGCTAGCCGGAGGCTATTTCCTTATATGAACTATATAAAAATTATTTGAAGACCGCATGTTGTTGGGAGCATATTGGGAGAAACAACATGTATTTATAAAACAAAAAAAGTCAAATGCATCGGGCCATAGTGGCTGTCGTTTTCCCTAAACTGAACCAGACTTGGTCCAGTTAAAGTGAACCGACAAGTGTAAATGGGCCTTTAATGCTCATATTGTATAGTATCGCATCTATAAGAAACAAACAGATATACATTACGGAACAGAACAGTTCTTTCTGTACAGACCTTGCAGCTTAGACGCAGAGATGAATGCAATGGTTTTTCAATAACAGGCAAATGGCTTCTATACTGCACAAGCCCTAAAACATTCACCTAATAAAAGCAGCTCCTTTATAAATGACCTGAGAGCAAGATTACATGTCCCACAATCCATCCTAATTTAATTCTACAACTATTGCCTTTAAATTGCATTACTTTTCTTAATGTATTCTGGGATTAGATTGGAGTTAAATGTAATCCGTCCACATGGCTTGAATTTCAACTTCCACAATTAAGATTACATATATTTTGACAGAAAGTATATTTTCAAAAACAGTAGAGTGCAAAGAAAACCAGAAGTGCACACAGGTTAAAGATTGATTTGAGAGTGGACTATAATGGGGACAAGAGCTTAGAGTTTGATACAATTTTGCTTATTACGCAGAAGCAACAAAAATGGTGATAAAGTATTAAATTAAAGCTGGGGTAATATTTATTTTTTCCATTTTCTACTTTTTATGATTGCTGTGTTTGCGTGATGTCTGCTCCAAATAAAATAAAATAAACACATTACACAAATAATGGCTGCACAATATATCACAGTGGAATAATTAAAGAGTTGTCATGATCTAAACATAAAAATGCGCTGCACAAAGTTAGCGGGAAAGAATCCGACCCGGTCCCCAGTTTTACCCTAAAATCAAACAACATACAATACTTGTATTCATTATAGTCCTTCAATATTTACTATATATGGCTTCTAATAACTCAAAATCTATTCATAATCCAATAAACCTCATGAATGGTAGACCTTGTTTTATAGCCACAGCTGCCCTGGGTCAAGTTGACAAAGGGTACAGCTGTGGTGGCCTGTCATGACAATATCCAGTCACATCTATAAGTAAAAAAAATTTGCTAAAATTTTGGCATTTATTCCCGCAGAACACTAGCCTACATATGTGAATAAAGACAACATGGTCATTACTTGATGAATCTTCTATGCGTCATTATTTGGACCAAATGTGATCGAATCTTAAAATCTGAGGTAGATCACGGCTCAATGGTTGCTGTAAAAGTAGATCTCGGGTTGGATAAAGTGTGGGCACCCACTGTTTAAATCAACAGGTTGTGTTCATGTGACGCACAAACATTAAATTCCAAGCATTCATTTAGGGAAGATTCTAATTTTATTACTTTTTTTTTTTCTTCACATCAAAAAATCAAATATTCTTTGCTGTGAAGGCACATAAAGGTACACAAATTCAAACATTTTGTATGGACAGATATTCAGTGCAGTGTAGGACCACTGCACCGCATATCTAGTCCTAGCGAAGACCTTTGGAAATCCTTATTTTTAAATGCTGTTTAAGAGACTTTTCATCATCTTAAATCATGTCATATCCGGCATCTACTGTATTAGATTAGTAGATGGGAGATGACAAATAAGTGCTCAGAGGTCCTGAGCTGATTTTGTTTCTTCTGAAGACCTTCCACACTCTTGAAAAGAAGCATGTTGTTTTAGTCTGAGGACGATGGGCCAAGAAATATGTGAGTTGGAGGTTCAGGTTCAGTTTCATTGTCTCCTCAGTGAAATTGTTCTCACATAGAGCAGAGACCGAGCCACACTCCTGCAGCAAGCTTTTGGCAGCACCTTTCCCAATGGCTTTGAGGTCTTTGGCTGTGAGGTTACTACCCTCTGGGATCCGAACCCCATTCTCCACTTTTTGGAGCATTTGGACAAGACGTGTCTGCTGCTCAATGTCAGGGATCTCATGGGCTTTTCCAATCAACTTTTTGATCATTGCTGCAGTCAGAAGGTGTGTAGCTTTGGTGCCCTTCTGAACTGACTCAGTTTCTTCTGGAGAACTATCCACAGTCTCCTCAGCTAAGGCCTGCTTTGGTCTGGGTGCCTCTTGGCTCTCTAAGAGCATGAGTTCCTCTGGGTTTTCCTTTGGTCCCAGCTCATCTTGGCCTTCTTCTTGTCTGGGTTCCCCTTGGCTCTCTTCTGGCATGGGTCCCCCTTGGGTCTCTTCTGGTTTGGGTTCTCCTTGGCTCTCTTCTGGTCTGGGTTCCCCTTGGCTCTCTTCTGGTCTGGGTTCCACTTGGCTCTCTTCTGGCCTGGGTTCCTCTTGGCTCTCTTCTGGTCTGGGTTCCCCTTGGGTCTCTTCTGGTCTGGATTTCCCTTGACTCTCTTCTGGCATGGGTTCCCCTTGGTTCTCTTCTGGTCTGGGTTCCTCTTGGTTCTGTTCTGGCCTGGGTTCCCCTTGGTTCTCTTCTGGTCTGGGTTCCCCTCGGGTCTCTTCTGGTCTGGATTCCTCTTTAGTCTCCTCTGGCCTGGGTTCCTCTTGGCTCTCTTCTGGCCTGAATTCCTCATGGCTCTCTTCTGGTCTGGGTTCCTCTTGGTTCTCTTCTGGCCTGGGTTCCCCTTGGCTCTCTTCTGGTCTGGGTTCCCCTTGGCCTTCTTCTGGTCTGGGTTCCCCTCGGGTCTCTTCTGGTCTGGATTCCCCTTTAGTCTCCTCTGGCCTGGGTTCCTCTTGGTTCTCTTCTGGCCTGGGTTCCCCTTGGGTCTCTTCGGGCTTGGGTTCCCCTTGGCTCTCTTCTGGTCTGGGTTCCCATTGGTTCTCTTCTGGCCTGGGTTCCCCTTGGGTCTCTTCTGGCTTGGGTTCCCCTTGGCTCTCTTCTGGTCTGGGTTCCCCTTGGTTCTCTTCTGGTCTGGGTTCCCCTTGACTCTCTTCTTTAGCTGGGAGATGGCGTAAAGCCTTTACGGCCTCTTGATGCTTCCGCTGCTGCGCTGCCTGCTCTTCATAGACGTGTTGTTGGAACAGCTGACTCTGATAAGGCTGCATGTGTGGGTTTTGCATTTGTAATTGCTCTTTAAAACCCATCATCTCCAGCATTCTCTCTGCTGCCATTACCTTGGCTTCTTTCTTATTGATGGCCGAGACCTGACAGGACAATTGACCGGCTCTGACCTCCATACAGTACATGGGCTTATAGTCCGTGCCGTGGTCATATTGCACACTGACAACCTTAAACTCGGCCGCAGGTAGTTTCTTTATCATCAGTACTTCTGTGAGTGCGCTAATGGGATTTTTGTTATGAAAAAAGTACTTGCGCTCTACAGGGTCCATAGGTTCAATGTGAGGTTTACACCAATATGGAGTTTTTCCCTCGGGCGGTGGGACCTGGCTCAATGCCTTCACAATGTCCTTCGCTGCATGTAATCGAGCCTTTTTCTTGGTGGGGCCGGAGCCGAAGCCGACCAAGTCTCCCACTCGCACTTCGATGTGGTAAGTGGGCTTATGTGCTGGACCATCTTCTCCCATTTCATTAAAAAGCACAAATGTCCCATGGAGTTCTGCCAGTTCATGCAGAATCTCTAGGTCAGTCTTGTGGATTTCCATGGGCTTTGGATTTTCCATGTTTACTTGGATTAGTAATAAGTAGCTGAGTATATCGTGGCAATAATACTGTACTTTTGCAAAATTTCTTCTCTCTGAAGAACAATTAACTTATCTGGACTCAAGGACTTTAACACACAAGAAATTTTGATACATTCTGTGATGACATTATAGTTTCCATAGCAACCATGGTAACCTAGTAACACTCTTGGGTTTGTAGAATCCCAATGAGTTCTAGAATGTGGTTAACATTCTAGAACTCATCTAAAGGAATTTGGAGATTATTTCTATCAAGATTTTTTCGTTTTTGTTATTGTATCATTGATTATTGTAATGCCGTCCACTTCACAATATTAATATATCCAAGAGCCTATAGTTAACCATTATGGTGCAGGGCAGTTGAAAAACATATCTTTGGTGACTTTGATAACGGCCATAAATCAGACTAGTTTATTTTAGTTCATGACTAATATCTATGTAATTTCTGGGCCAACAACAACACGCAAGGTTCAACATCTTCTTTGTCACTATATCACTGTATATACTGTATTTTCTCATAAAAGGTGTGGAGGGCTGGACTTGATTCATGGAAAAAAATAAAAATTGATTTAATTTGAATATGTATTGTAGGCCAGGGGTGGTCAATGCAGACTGTTATCAGACTAAAATTAGCACAGTTTTCAGCATTACCATCGAATTTCTCATTATCATTCACTTCACAATGTGCACCACAAAAACCCCCCTAAAAACGATGTAATAAATTCATCTCACTTATATCATTTGTTCTGACGGCATTAGCTTTGTGCTGTACCAGGGGCAGATATCTTGCAAAGATGGTTACTAAGACAAGCTGGCTTAATTAAACACGTAAGCCGATGTGGTTTTACTGCAAATGGAAAATGAACTGAATCTGAATCTATACTGCTAAAATACTGCTTTAAATAATAAAACATATCTGCCATTAAAATACGACTTGACAAGATTTATTTTCAAGTCAATAGAAGTATTATTTACTTATTTTCTCAAAAATGTCTAAGAAATAATTTGTTAAATATAGCATAACATAATTATTTTATCTATACAGGAAATACATACTTAAAACAAGATTAAAAACTCACTGCTCAGACTTCTTTCTATTATTATAGAGTTAAATTATTATAGTATTAAAACCAGTCAAATAATCTTACATAGAAAACTAAATTCAAGCAATAAAAACTTAAAAAACAAGAATCATTTGTTTTTAGCAAATAAAACCTACCATTATTTTTTTTTTTTTTTTTTGTAGTGTGTCAGTATGGTCTCAAGATTAAGATTTGGATGAAGAGATTTTTTATTCATCCCCACAGAGTTGCATTAAAGGTTATAAAAACAGTAGGAATGAGGAGCAGTGAGCACCCAGAACAAGATAAATTAACAATAACTTCAAAAAAAAAAAGAAATCTCTTGCTTCATCACAATAAGGAATCCAATCTAAAACCTCCCACTTTCAAACTACAAAAATGCAGTTATTATCCGTCCGTGTTCCGACTCTGAACCCTCCACGGTCACCTTTTTCTTGAACAGGAACTACGAGCACATCGTGAAAGCGCACCAGAACAACCCGCAGCAGGGCCAGGACCAAGTCTCGGACCAGGTCAAGTTCAACATCTTTCAGAACATCATGGACTGTCTGTTCCAGTCCTTCAACAGCTCAGTGTCCGTGAGCAGCTTCCAGGAGCTGTCGGCCTGCGTCTTCAGCTGGATCGAGGAGCACTGCAAGCCCCAGGTCACAACAATCCTCTTCCTCATGGACTGCTTGAGTAACGATCGCTTTATCGGGTTATTAAGATGAAGATTAAGATCAGAGTTGCATCACAAGTTATAGAACAGTAGGAAAGAGGAGCACACAGCACAAGTGAAGTGAACAATAGCTATACTAATAATAATTATAAAACAAAATCTCCAACTCTAGCATCAATAAAAGTATAAAATCTCAATCTTGAAAATAATAATAGGCAAGGCAAGTTTATTTATATACTGTAGCACAATTCATACACAAGGCAACTCAAAGTGCTGAACAAAACAAGAAAGCATTAAAATCATAAATAATCACAGAACATTAAAAAGAAAGATACAAATATGAAATCCCTCAGTTGAATGCACAGCTAAACAGAACTGTCTTTAACCTGGTTTTAAACATTGTCAGAGAGGAGGCCTGTCTCACAAAAGAAGTGCAAAAGTTTTACATGTGGCAAATAAATAATAATATAAAAAAAGACATGCATAATCCACTTTTCACAGCTTCCGGCAATGTTATACTTGTTCTTCCTTGTCCTGTGCATTCTCAAATTTGTCTGTTTGTTTGCTGATTCATGCATTGTGAGTGATTTTACTGTACTTTCTGGACGAGGGCTGCACAATATATCAAGGAAAATACCGTTATCGTGATATTTGTGCGTGCAATATCCCTATTTAAAGACAACAAAACAGACAGGCACATCGACATTCAACAAGGACAACAAACAAACAAAGTATAAAAATATACGCATTTGAATGTCATTAATGTTTTTTTTTGTTATTTGTCTCTTGCGTTTCAATGCAGATTGCAATTTTAGGTGAAAGACAAAAATATCGCAATAATATCGTGATCAAAATACTAAACACTCGAATTTCACTCAATTTCCAACATCGTGCAGCCCTAATCAGGACCTTTAGGTGATGTGCCTTTTATACAGGAGCGCCTTAATTTGAAAAGAAAATCAATGTTGTCCACATATAAGCCGCACTTGATTATAAGGCGCAAGTTTTCTTGTTGTAAAGTCGCTGATCGACGACTGATCACATGATTTAATGACGAAGTGTTGAAAATCTTAAACGTTTGCTTCATCTATTCTGACAATAAACAAGTGTCCTTCAGCTACTAAAACTTGGGAGTCAAAATGATAAGTCCATAAGTACACATATTAGCCGCATCCCTACATAAGCCACAGGGTGCAGTGAACTAGTGGGAAAAAGTAGCGGCTTATAGTCTGGAAATTATGGTATATTCTCAGACTACTGACCAACGCTAACCCGCTAGCTCAATGAAGCCCAGTTTAGAAGAGTCATGGGCAAGGTTTTGCTCAAACTCGCTCTGGCTCCTATTGACTCACTGTACATTGAAAAGTAAGTATCTCTAGCTCAGTCAAAATCAATATTAGCTGATAATAGCTTGATCCCAATCCCAGGTAAATCTGCTCAAAGGGAAAACTTCCTCATGAATAACTTTTGAGCAGGGACATAGGCCGCTGATCTACACAGACATGTACATTTACAAAACATTGAAGTGAATTGTTATTGTGGTTACAGAGGTATCCAAATAGACTGGGTCAGCATCACGTGAGCTTTAAATGACAAGGCCTTATTACTGCTTCTTTGTGTCGACTGGTCTAAAATAGTGGCGTAGGTGCAGCTCCCAATCAAATAATCTTTTGAAAAATAACCGTCTTTCTTCTGTTGTTTCAGACCCTGAGGGAGTTTGTGGTCAGCGTCCTCCGGCAGCTCAACGGACAGCTTTATTGACGAGTGCACTGCAAGCGTCTCCACACGGACTTTGTACCTTTCTCTGGCCATTTTTTGAGGCGAGACAAAAGCCTGTAACTACTTTGGGCTACACCTTTTAGTATTACTCACTTAAAAGCATCAGTAACCCAGACTGCAATACCTCAGCGCGCCACGTGTGGGAGTCCTCACGTTATTTTCTATTGTTTGCATTCAGTATTTTAAGTACGAAAAAGGGACGTATTTTCGGTTCGTTCTTAGCTGTGCCAGTTTATTATGAGTGAAGTGTTTCCACATCTTGTTTGGGTCCACAGAGAAATGGATGTATTGATGTTAGAAAGGTATTTTAAATGAATAATGTGTTTTGTTTTGTCAGTGTGAGAAATGATTACCAGAGGAAGACTTGTGAATAATTTATCATTGTTTGAGGCCTTGATGGAGGTTAATAATACAACATATAGTTTTGTGAATACAGGTGGATCTTTGGACCTGTGCCACAATGTCTTGAGTTATTATTAGACTTATTAGTACAGGCCTCACTACATTTGTTTTGATGTGCAATTACTACTTTTCAAATCTTGATTATTCTCTTGTGTTCATGACAAGCCTTTTATGCAGACTGTCTTTTCACTATTGTTGGGCTGGAAGTGGGTGAAAGGCACTGGACTTGATCCAAAGTTTTACTTCATAAGCTACTCGTGGCCTTGATCACTGTAACTGCTCTAATTATTCAAATACATGTTTTATACAAACTCAAAGCTGCTTCTTGTTATTTCCGCTGTGACTGTTTTTTCAGGCTTTAAATAGTTTTTCAAATTAAAGCGTCCGTTATTACTTTTTGTGTGTATGTGATCAGTTTTATAGTTTACAAAATGTCACAATGTAGTAAACAGGGTTCTTGATCTTTTTCCAAATTAAATGAGTTTTTCCAGACCTTTTTAAAAACAGATTTTTTTTCCCAAGACCTTAATACCGAAAAGATGATATTTTGGAAAACACGCAACGACCCATTTCTGCTGATCACTAGGCTAGCTATGTGTCAATAGACCTCAACAGTGACATCACGAACATGTGTCAGACGAGGCTAAGCTAGCGTTGATTGGATATCATTCCATTAGGCTAATACAGTACGTGACAGTTAGTAAAGTTATAGTTTTATAACCTACCTTACTATTTTTCATTTCACTATGCCTTTGAGCATACTTTAAAATTCTACCACACATTTTCCCCCCATACTTTATTAAGACTTTAACACAAAATGCAAGACTTTAAGATCTGGAAAAGTGTTTCAAAATTCCATACTTATTAAGACTTTCAAGACATGCACAAGCACCCAGAGTAAAGCACGGATCTTGATCTGATGACCTCCTGCTGCAGAATCACATTAACTATTGAGAGCTGTAGCTAATCACAAAGAGCCAATCACCGACAGCATGTATTCGCTTTGTAAATTAAATTAAATTTGTAAAAAATTCAATCTTTATCGTGTGTTTTCACTTGAAAAACCCGAGCCTCATTTTCCAGGTGAGGAAATGCGTTCATATTTTATCTACAAAACCTTGTTCCAGCTTCCAAATTAGCTTTCAATTCTATAATAATTAAGCCTTTAGTCTAGAATTACATAACATTTGGGAATAAATTCTTATTCCTGTAAATATTAAACTATAGTTCAAATCTCTAAAAACATGTGGGTCATGTACTGGTTTTTCCCCAAATAATCACGATTGGATATATTTGCAAAACCGCACAGCTGTGAACACTTACCACATTTTGTCATAGTTAATAAAACTTTTGGAATTTCTACATAAAATCACTATTAAATTTGCACATTAGACAAAAGTAGACCCTGGTTAGTGCGTCCTATGGGCAACACTACCGGTGGTACTTCATCTACAACCAGGAAGTAAAATAAAAAATCCTAAATCAGTGGGATACGTTTGAGTCACTCAAAGTCATGTCAAACTTGTCAATACCGTTTCAAAAAAGATCCGAGTAAAATAACAAACACATTTAATGTACAAACTATACTATATACTTTAAAATAGTTCCAAGTATATTCAATAATGAAACTCGTATAAATCTTAACTATACAGAAATGATGCTCCGTAAAAAAAACAGCCATAAAAGTGGCCTTGAACGCAACACAAAGTTTATTTAAATAGTTGGGATGATGACTTTATAATCCTCGTCCGTCTCCACGCCGACCTCCTCCTGCAAAAACAACAGTGATATAAATGACATGTTATGTTTTACCAACAGGGGGAAAAGAGGGAAAAGCATCTCCCACGAACCAGAAACTCTCTTTTGCTTTTTGGGTAACCCTCAAGAATAGAGTTCATCATATCAGACGCCTGAAGAGAGAAAACGACATTAAAAACGGGAGAAAAGACCAGTTTAAAATCAGAGTTAGCCATAGTTCTTATAGTCACCAGTCTCTTCCTCTTCTTCCACTCTTTGACAAACAGACTTCTCTCTTTGTAAACCTGCAAATACAAACAAATTAGAATCAGAAGTATTTAACCCTCATGTCAAATTGACCCGACAGTGATTGACATTAGAAGAAAAATACCCTAAATTTGCCTTAAAGGGTCCAAATGACTCAGGGTTGGTCAAGTTAGAAAAAAATAATCAAAACAAAGCTTTTTTAGTTTACCTTTTCCTTCTCCTCTGGTGTGACGTGGTTCGTAGCAGACTTGATCTTCTCCAGTCTTGTTTTGAACCCGGAGCACTCTTCCTTCAGCAGCTTGATCTCTTTGGTGATGTCCTCAGTCGTCAGGGAGTTGTTCAGTTCTTTTAATTCTACGATTGTAAAAGCACGGAACACGTTATATACTATTTACTGTATTCTAATGAACTCATTGACTGCCAGCCGTTTGAGGATTTCACTGACTTTCAGGACCAACGGAATATTGTGTGCTGTGCTGTGACTATGTAAAATAAGAAACCAGATTCTGAAATATTGGACTGTCTATTTTCATCAGCAAAAATGTGTTTGTTTCTAGCTAGTTTTGTTCTCCTGTAATTCCCAGTCGAATAGAGGGAAGTTTGACAGAAATCACCATTCTCAGACAAATACGTCAATGGCAGTAAATGAGTTAAAGACATTTGTTTCTGGTCTGATGAAAAGGTTGTTTTCTTCGTCCCACGGTGGGGAAATTTAAGTTTTGATGAATCCACATACACATGCATTACTTCCACGCTCCGTATAGAAAAAGTGGGTTAAGTGTCTTGCTCAAGGACACAACGACAGCAGTGGAGTCGGTAGAGAAGGCTCAAAGGCCAATGCTTTACCAACTAAGCCAGAGTCACCCCTAAACTTCCTCCATTCAAAACAAAAATAATGTAATAGAAAGAGTCACTATCAGAGTATAAGGCGGGAGTGAACCAGGACCGGTACCAAGACTGGGACTGGGACCGGGACCAGGACCAGGACCAGGGTGGATGTGGTCAGGTCCTGGACTCACAGTGCGCCCAGAGGATCTATCGCAAGCACACTGGGGTAGTGGTTAGCGCTTATGCATCACAGAGACAATCTCCTGCGCTCAGTTCCACCTCCAGACTGGTCCTTTCTGAATGTCGGTTCTCTCCAGGTGCTACGGTTTCCCCTAACATAAGGTCCAGCATGTGCCTCCTGTATGGCAATGTGAAAAGGTAGGACTTTGATCCATTTCTTGCGAATCAAAAGGTTAGGAACCCCAGCTTTAAGGGCCACAAAGTGCACATTTCATGCTTTTGTTAGGGTGGACATTTGTACTCACACTCACACACACACACACACCTGAGTCTAATTGTCTGCAGTTTTGTGTGAGTGTCTGTAGCTCTGCGTTGAGCTTCGTGATCTGAGCGTCCATCCCCTTCAGGTCTTCGTCACTAACATCTTTGAATTGCCCCTTTCAAAACAAGACAATAGTAAATGATCAGAAATCGATTATTACAGAAGAAATACCTGACCAAGCCTCACCTGATCTGCAAAGTATATCTTCTGTTTGCCGTACATTTTCTCTTTGATCTTCCCTTCAACAGCGAGTAGCTCCATGGCTTTGACCACCGCCTGAAACATAATGTGTATTTCTAAACCGTGTGGTCAGAGCAGGATCGACCGAAGTCATCAAAAGGCATTCAAACTCACTGTTTTGCCCAGACCGTGTTGTTTCTGTAGGTTGCAAAACACATCCTGAGCGCTGTACGGCCGGTTCTTCTCGTTCAGATAAGCAAGGATCACAGACGCACCTGAGTGATGTCACATTTAACAGAAGACGATCACTGACCATGTCGCAGTTATGTGGATGGAGGAAAATATTAAGACATCTAATTAATATTCTTAAAACTCTACGCGTCTATTGTGACATTTTACTCTCTGAAGGAAATACTTATTGTGTTTGTAAAGATATTTCATTGATTATTATCATATAAGTAATGTTTATATAAGTCATAATCATAATATAAGTAAAGGCTTATATCACTGCGCTGCTGAAGAGAACGTTTTAGGAGATCCTTTGTTCCTTCGGCTGTCAGATTGTACAACAGGTTAAAAATATACACTTTTGTTAGGTAGTTAAGTTAGAAATGTTTATAATTGATGTATTTACAATGTGTTTATATGTATGTGTTTTCTGCTACTGGACACCTGAATTTCTCCTACAGGGATCAATAAAGCATTTATCTGTTTGTTTAACAATCTGTAGTCAATGCACACGTAACGTCCACATTGTTAAGAAGAAAATTTAACTACTTTGCCAATTCTGCCTTGCCAGTCTGCAAGGCCAATTAAGTTGAATTTGAGATAGCAATCAGTACAAGGAACCAGTATAAAACCTGGGGGGACAGGGCCTTCTCTGTGCCTGGACCAAAGCTGTGGAATGCTCTGCCCCCCCCACATCCAAACTGCTCCTTCAGTGGAGTGTTTAGTCTCGTCTTAGGACCCATTTTTATGCTCTGGCTTTTAACACTATGGTCTTTTTATTTTTTTATTTTATTTTATTTCATCTTTTTATAGTTATTTTTATATTTATACATATTTGCACACACGGTTTTTCATATTTGATGTTGTATTATTTTACTGTTTTACTATGGATTTGTTTTAATTGGTATTGTATTGTGCAGCACTTTGGAAACTGTATTTATGAACTGTATTTAGTACTCTCGACACAGTACTAAACAGGACTCTCCCTGATTAGTTTCATGTATGACGGGATTTTAGCTATCTTTGCTATTGCAGCTCTAAAATGTAAATCGTCTCACATTTTCATGAAGACTGTTCCATAATTTAGCTGCATAAATAAATATACACGCTGACTCCCTGTATTACAAAGCTAAATCACTTCAAACCAGTTTCTTTGTGATCTACATTTTATTTGTGTTCTGAAATGACAGAAAACCAACAATTGAGCAAGTGTATGTAGTTTGTTTACTTCGTTAGCATTAGCATTAGCATCATACTTCTGCCGCTAGCTCCGCAAACATCCAAATGTCGTGATCCATCCGGAGTATCTTTAGTCGTTTAATATCGAGCAGAGCAGGGCGTACAGTCTGAAGAATATAGTAAATAATGTTAAAACTCACCATTGTCCTTTTTACTCATTCTGACGCTCTTCGTTTTCCTACAAGTTTCGCGGCAGTGGTGCGTCACAGCAAAGATCGTCACAATACAGATGCCTCACTCTGTACCAGTCAATAATATCCACCAAGATTGTAAATGTTACTTAGATTATTAGTGTAGAAACCCATTTAACCCTAACCCAATTATATGTTCGTATTTACATAGTTAGAAAGAATTAGAGTAAATTAAAAAAATACAGAAAAATGTAGCAAAGTTTTTTTATTGAATATAATTTGCACATCAAACATATCAAAACCAGGTAGAGAAGAAAAACTTGTCAATCTGATCCCATAGAAGAGAAGTAGTCCTCATTGTCAAATAAACTTTTAAAATCATCCACCTTTTGTGCCAAAATCATTCTTTTCCATAAAATAAATAAAACTCCAGCATTTTGATGATTTAGAAGATGACCAATTACTTTTCAATCTCTTTTTAAAAGTGCGGTTGCTATAATCTCTAAGACCAAGCTTGTCCTTTAAAACTAAAAAGGTGAAATAGTTTGACTAATTTAGATGTAAACATCTCCCATCAGCGACAGCAGCAGTAACACAACCAGAGACTGAGAAAAGTGGCAACACAATTTGCATAAAAGAGTAAAAATGCCTTGAAAAAGGCCGGTATTAAAGGGAAGTACTAAAATCTTCAAACACTCAAACAAAGCAATCCTCAGCCTCATCAGGAGTTTGGGTAAAAATATCAGGATCAAATCTGTCACAATAAAAGATTCTACTATGACGAGGGACAAACTGAAACCACACTGAAAACAAAGTCTCTAAAAACAGCTTCTTCAATCTCTCTGCTCCAGCGTCCAAACACCTCCCACGTCCGTCGCCTTCATCCAAGTCCATGTTATTCACATTTACCATCAGTGCATGTTGAGCGCCGCCAAAGGAATGTCACGTTTGGTCCCTGCGTGGCTCTGTCCTGACCTGAACAGCAGTTTAAGAGGATAAATCTAAAACACTGAATCAGGAGCCAGAGCCACTCGACACTCGCGGCTCAGAGACGCTCGTCCTATTGCTCATCTACAAAGGAAATCATTAATGACTGAGGGTTTGAGAAACACCTTTAGCGAACCCAGAATAAACATTGGATTACTTCACAGTGGTACAGATCAAACCCAGGGCTCTTGATCACACTCATTCTTCACTCATTCACACTACTTAGGTTTTCCGAGCAGACTGGATAAGAAGGTAGCGCCCTGCCCCTCTCCTCGTTTACTGCCTCCCACAGGATCCATCTGGTTCAGTTCAGACTGATCCAGCATCTCAAAGTCCTCAGGGTCCCAGTCTGTATCCAACTCAGAGCTCGATTGTTTGCGGTAGCTCCGATGGGCCCCTGCTTTAGGGGGCCCCTCTCTGCGGTGCACAGGGGCCCGCGGCTGCAGGGCCCCGGCCAGAGCCGCCTGGATCATGTTGCTGGCGATGACTCCAGCCAGCTCCCCGGTGAGGTCAGAGGTGATGGGCAGAGAGTCCAGCTCCTCCTCAGAGTCCAGCTCCTCCTCCACGTCCAGCACTGAGGCGCGGTGACTGGTGCGCCCCGAGCGGCCCAGGCTGGGGAGCCCGATACTGGTGTCGTCATCGTCGTCCATCAGCGTGGCATCAGGGTTAATGGATGGAAAGTCTGGAAGGTCCTGAGCAAACGACTCCTCCGCATCACTGTGGCGGTCCAAGTCTGAACAAACACAACACAGTTAATAATTACTCTAACAGAATCAGAAGTCCTGCTCTTACCTTCAGAGCCCTCTGTGAGCGGCGTCTGTCCTCTAGAGAGGTTAAACGTCCCGTTCTCCGTGTACACCTCAGCGTCAGAGTGTTCAGAGTCCGTCATGGCCAGCTCCTTAGCAACAATGGAGTCATCAAACTACAGAAGAGGAAACAAACCAGAGTTAGACATCAACACTAGAGGCACCAGACAATAATAACGCACCATGAGCAACATTGTGCATCATGGGAATCGTGACAGGAAGCCATTTTTATCACATTTCTCTAGACTAGTGTTGTAGACCACCAGGAATACAGTTTTTCCCCTTCCCATTACTCAACGAGGGGAATGTCTGAAGTTATAGTAATAATTTTGGCGAAATATTAGTGAGTATTTTCTGACCGTTGGACAGAACGCCGCCAGCTCCTCCTCACTGTCGCTGCCCTCTCCTGAGGCTGCTCCTCCAATGGGCCTTCGTAAAACTGCACAAAAGGAAAAGCAGTTTAGTTTCATACAGAACCGAGCCGTTGGCATCGTTCTGTCAGTTCTGTCTGAACTTACACTGATTATCGATGGGCTTTGACATCATGTATCCCTGACCGCTGAAGTCCAGCCGCTGCAGGACCGGCTCCAGCCTCACGCACACACGTTGAAAGAGCCGGTGATAAGCCGCCAGAGGGGCCAGCAGAGTCGCCCACACTGCAGCCAACACACGGCAACTCACATCATGTACGTAAACTCTTTGACAAACTATAGATTGATAAGAACATTACTTGGACACAGCCGCTCAGAGTCAATTAAAGTAGCAAAAACATCTTGACTGGAGGCTTGTTTCTTTGGCTACAATTTTCCACAAACATTCCAGAGTATATTTAACTTTAGATATCTACGGAATAATCAAGGTGACATCAAAATACAGAAAGTTATATTCACTTTGTAGTATGTCTGTAATCTGAAATGGTCTTGAGTGTGAGTCAAGCTTCTACTCTGCTCAAAAACCATGTCCAAAAATAGGAAAATTAAACAATTGTTCTGTTGACTTTCTCTTTAAAAGAAGAAAATGCATTACTATTGGATCCTAAACATGTTGATATTTACTTTGTCATTTTATGTTTTAGAATATGAAATAATTGCGAGAAAATATACTGATTAAAAAGACTATGCTATAAATTAGTACCCTGGAAAAATATTACTTAAAAACACTTAATAAAAACAAAGCAAAATGTGGTCCAAATGTTCATCATTGTACCAGGGTTTGAGAAAGATGCATTAAGGGAAAAGAAACGGAGGAACGCATTTGTGCCAGGAGGTCCTCATTAAAGGGTGGTTGGAGCTAAAAAAAAAACAGCATCAGGTCTGTTTTGATGAGGGTAGTATGAAGTAAAATGGTGAACAACAATTATGCATATGTCGTCTCAAAAAATAAAAATACCCTTTAATTTTCTATATGAATTGTGCTATTCAAATCAGCTCACCTTGTGTTTGTTTGAACTAATTTACATTTTTATTTTAATATTTGAATACATATAGCGTCAAACTCCCACAGTAACAAGGTCAGTGGTCCAGTGAGAGTGAGAGTCCAGGCTGCAGGTGGCTTTAGGGGTCAGGGCGGCGGACTTAGACGGGGCGGCTGCTTGTGCTGCAGTAGTAGTAGGTTAAGAGATTAGCTCGGTGTCAGACTGACCCGCTAAGATCTGAGCCTGCTTCTCTTTTCGCCGTCTGCTTTAATCACCTCACTCTCTGCAGCTCCGGCTTCAGCTCTCATGCATAATGAACACGAGCCGACAGCCAGGGTTAGGGTTAACGAGGTAGAATTTCAGGTTCATATTTACACATAAAAGCCCAGGAGTTGTTTAAAAGGACACGTATCATGCCAATTATCTGTTATGTTTTAAACCATGTTCCAACGGTCCCCCATAAATCACAAGCTTGTGGTTGTTCTTAGCTCCTTCCATACTAATGTGAAGATCTTGTGGCACAAATTGGCATTAAATGAACATGTCCATCTGCTCCTTCTGTCTAAATTCCCTTAAACTTAATACGCTATGACAAATCCTTACAACACAATGTCATGGATAGAGCCGTTTCCTACTTTTTTAAAAACATTTGCGGTCAAATTAATGGAGCCATTTTTTATTATTATTATTTTTTTTTTTTTTTTTTACAAACTATGAGACTTTCTTCTATACATTTTCTATAGGACTGCTTTTGTCTGCTATACACAGGTGAAACTTGTTCAAAAGTCCATTTACTTTTGTAAGTCAACTCACAATGTGAAACTAATATATGATATACTCAATACACCAAAAGTGAGATATATATGTACATGTTTCCATTGTGAGATCATTAAAGTTTATCTTACCTTATAAAGTACTTGTTATTTTTGACAATTGTGGCTTGTAGTTTGTAAAAAGCCAAAAACAACAAACCAAATCAGAACAAATGACGATATATATAGACTCTAGGCCATAAACATCAAAATAACACAGATAAGACTAGAATGTCACTTTGCAGGTAATTAATCTATTTGAGGGGTCGTCCACACATTTCCTCAGGTTTTCAGGTTAAAACTGGACTGACCTAAGGAAATGGGTGGTGTCTGGTGTGCTCCTGCTTGGTTGGAATAATATTCAGCAGCCACACTGGCCCCTCGAGGACTGGTTTGACGCCCCTGGTCTATATCATTTATCAGTTTCAGATTGTAAGATGCATTCCAGACATTGTGCAGTTTTTAAGGGAAAACCACCATAACTCTTGTTGTTCCCCTTTAAAAGAGCAGTAACTGACCGGCAGAGTAGGACAGCAGCACTCCTGGGATGTGACGCCCGAGCAGAGCCAGGCAGGAGAAGATACTGCAGGTCAAGAGGCAGAACTGAACAAAAGGAAACACAATACAATCAGATAAACGCTGATATTTGAGTCTGACCAAAAATAACGACTATCGCTTTGTTGAACACATAAAAGCTCCCATCAAGTCCAACAATCACTTTTTTACAAGCAGACATAGGAAATGAACTGCTGAAATCGCCTTTGTGGTAAAATGGCATTATTCTTTTTGATTAATTCCAGCTGGGGCCGTCAATAGATTTAGGTCTTCTGGGGAAAAGGACAGATGATGAGTGAGTATTGTGCTTACTTTTCCAGGGTTGAGGCGTTTGTATTGAAGCATGCTGGACGTGAGCACTGCTCCACTGACCCAGGCCTCGGCTACGTGATGACACAGCTCTGGGACACTGAGGATCCCGGGCTGCACGAGACCCCAGCTGAAAGACACACATTAGAGACACACATACAAGTATAAAAAGACAGGAGACATGGCAGATGAAGTTTAAAAGCAGATTTGAGAAATGCATTTGCTACGTACCATTCAGATTCCTCCATTTTTTTGACTGCAATAAACAGAGACACATTATCACTATGAAAGCAATGGAGCGAGGAAATATATTGAAAATTGAAAAAATTGATGGCGAGTATGAAATGAGTTAGGTTCATTTCCAGTTAATACTAAAGGCTTTCTGAAAAACACCTGTTTGAAATTAAAATCATGCAGCTACAGCTTGAGTTTCAAATGTAAAGTTCAATTTCCTGATTTTCTTTCCATTAAATGCATTTTCAATCTGAAATAATCCATTTAGAAACACGTTTATTTATTATTGCACTGTAAGTGAAGCAAAGACCGGTGGAAAGTGCTTGCGATTTAATTGCCGTGAATAACAGGTGTGTACAGTAGAGGACACACCTATTCATTCAGAAATATTTTGGAAAACAAATTCCAAGAAAAAAAATCTATAAAAAAAACAAACTAAAGAAACGACAGAAGTTCACAAGACCTTATTTTGTCTTTTAAAATTGTGGTGTGTTGTGACCAACGCATCGTGATAGAAGTCGTACCGCCAGACACAAGGAAATGCTAATCCCTAATGTACAGTGTGTGAGGAAGTGAGGATTGCAAATATGGTAACACTTTTTTTTTCAAGTTTTTAAAGCAGCAGAAATGGTATAGATTTCCCTAATAAAGCAAGCAGCAAGACATTTAAAGTGGTTCGTTAACTAAAGTTGTTTGTTCATTATAATTCAGTAATTCCTTGTCTAGTCTAGTCTTGTGTTTGTTGAGGAGCAAACTCACCTCTAATCTCCGGCCAAATCTTATTCCTCCAGGTGTCGACCAAAACAGCCAGAGCCAAACCTGACGCCACGAGGAAGAGCAGGCGCAGCGAGGTCAGGGCAAAGAACCTGTGAATATGGAAATGAGAATGTTAAATAAGATAAACTTGTTAAAGCAGCAAAGAATGTGCCGGAAGTGGAACTATGTAAAGTATTGTGACAAAAACTAGAGAGGCTAGGAATGTGCCTTAAAGAACAGCCGAATGAATGCAACTCAAAAAGCGACGTACAATTAGCTCTACACTCATGAAGTAACTAGTGGTAAAGGTAATAACAGTCATAATAACATATATATTCACACATAAATAATTAAGCATTAGTTTCAGACTCTCGGGATCTCACAGTCCCACTTTTTGTTGACCAAACAAAAATCGTGGGGATTGAGACTCACAGCTGAGATTAACCTAGCAAAAAATGTGTTGGCAAAACAAAACTGTTGTTATCAAAAGTGACGTGTAATTAGTGTTGTTGGGGATTACTGCGTGTAAATGAAGTGAAACATTTTACACTCATTTTTGGTTGTTTAACCCATTTATTTTTAAGTATTTTAGTGATAAACAACAACAAAAAGAGTCTGTCAATTCAGTTACCTATTGAAAAGTCTAGAAAAAGATGCATTACACAACTTTCTTGGTGGAAGACCCAATTGTTGTGTTTGCATGTTCCACAGTATGGCATTCCATCAATTAAATGTATTTTGTGAGCCCTAAATATGAACAGCGGTTGTCTCTGAGGACTTCACAAAGTTGTAGTTTCCTGAACAACTGATCAAACAGTTTGAACACGGGAAATACACCAAAAACAAACACATAGGCGGCATTGGTACATAAAGATCGGGATCACCAATGTCTATAAATGTTGATCAAATGTCCATAAATTACCGTAAACTTTTCCATTAATGTTAAGACAAGCAAGCGGCTTCACTGGGCTAAACTACGAGTATTATCTGCAGAGAAGAATGTGGGAGTAAGGATTTTGGGCAGCAAAAATATCTGTAATTAAACATTTTTACATCATATTGAGGTACATTCTAAGCAATCAAGCATATCATCATACGCTTGATCAGAAAAGTTGCTTATTGAATGAACCTTTAAAATTGTATACTTTCTTTCATAATTATGTATTGAACAACTAAGGTTAGAGCAGCAAGACGTAGGACCTTAACCAGGAGGAGACAGGAAGGGGTCTGACAATTTCCACTGAATAAATTGAGTCTGAAGCTCCTCTGTTTGCGTAGGCGCTGGGCCCACCATCACTGTGTCCCAGGTCAGTGACTTTGAAAATGTCAGGAGATCACATTGGTCTAATTGAGCCGCAGTGAGCTACAGTCTAAAGTCTCTGCTGCTGCATACCTTCACTGTGTTTAAAGGCAATGTTGAGGATTAGGGTAATTCAACATGAGATCAGAGTCACACACATAACATAAGTTCAGTAGTGCACCGCTGAACTATGGGAAATATAAAGCAATGTTAATTAGGAAGAGTACAGTGTTTTAAAGAGACTATTACAGTTTCTCAAATCCAATAGTGTTCCAAGTGGAGAATTTCAACACATCCAACTTAACAGAATATATAGAACAATAAAATGCACTGCCAAATGAATCAAACACTGCCTTGCCAAGCAGTTTTTGCCACATAATAATGGGACATTTGAGAACTGGATGGTTCCCTGAATAATTGCAAGCTTCGCAAGTTTGTGCTTGTGTTTCAGCATTTCTTATGTTGCCCCTAAGGTTTAGTGCATTCAACATTTCTAAAAGAATATACATGTAAGGTTCTGTTTACACCCATTTATAACCATGTAGTCACAACAGTGAGACATGCAGCCAATTCACCAGCTATCACCCAATGTCTGTACTAAACCTTGTAATCCTGTACTGGAGGTTGATTACCAAAGTAAGCAGTAGGAAAGGCGAAATATTTGGAAACAGTGCCTATAAATAGACCCAGCCGGGAGCCATCTGTCGGATCTTGAAATGACAGGTGAAAACATTGCATTGTGTGAAGCACCAGCAGCTTCCAGTCACGTTATTCTGTGGCTGTCAACCAAAACAACAACAGTCTTTGTTGCATCTGCCTGTTGTCAACAGCAAAAACATAAAGTGCAACCATTCTTAAACATTATTAAAGTTAGGTTTGAGAGAGATTTACCAGAATACAAGGTTGACCAGGACGTAAAGCAGCACACATTGCACGGGCTTCTCCCACACCAGCACGGCCTGGAGGTAGGTCAGGACCGGCTCGTAGGGCCCAAACCTGGACTGCAGAGCCGCCTTCACCGTCCGCACATGATGGTCCCGTTCACTGGAGCAGGGTCGACTCCGCAGACACACCGCAGATGAAGAGGATGATGAAGATGAGCCCTGCTGCTGCTCTGTGGATGCCCCCTCTTCACTTGCCCCGGTGTGCACCATCTTAACGTCAATTGTCAGTCAGTCAAAAGCCTGCGGAGATATTAATAACATTTGCCAAGTTCCAGGTGACAGCTTGAGACAGCCTCTGAGCGGCTCAACTCACAACACTGGCTAAAGACCTGTGCTAACTTTAAGCTAACAGTTAGCAACACAGGCTGAACAATCTCCTACACGCCAAATACAGACTGACAAATTAAATACAAAGTAATCGCAACACTAGCGCACGCATGTAATGACTTCGAAGTGAGGTGACACTTACTATTCTGTCATTTTTGCATAAATGCAGCGCTCTTTTGATGAACGGACAATATGGCGTAACCTGTTTTTCTCGGAGCCAGCGGACCAATCAGCGGGAAGGGGCCTGCGTCATGGTGCGTTCACGTGACTGTGGAAAAAAGGTTTACAGTACTTGTACAGTACATGAACGTCCATGTAAAAAATAACGTTATACAGTATTGTGCAGTTCAATTTGTATCTCTCTTTATGTGTTTTTGATATACTATATGCAGTCTATAATTTAAACTGTCACTTCTGTACGGAGCTGGAGTGAGCTGTATGTTCAAGCAGGGACTTTCAATCACTTTACTAACAAATGCGCTGAGAATTGTGTTTGTGTAAAAACTGTACATTTGACTGGGAGACACGAGAATCCCATTAAAAATACAACCCAGAACTGGTTTCAGTGATTTTTTTTTTCAGCAGGCTTTTGTAATCAAATCCATGTGATGAGTTCCTGGTTTGCTTCTACTGGTAGTTTTCACATGCAAGCTCTTTTGGCCTCTTTCACTTGTTTATATAATCTTTTGTGGACAGAAAAGTTAAACAGAGTGGACCATCCTCACACAAACAATCAGATCTTTACAAAGCGTCAAATAGTGACCGCTGTACTCTGTCCCTGTAAAATAAAATACATAAAAAACATTCAACATTTTTCTAAAATATTAACTGTGTAACATATTATATTTCGCTAGTACACGGTGTAACAATTCATAAAACACATCACATTTGAAAAAAACATCCAGCCGAGGCAACACCCTCTCCGTACCAGTAGGTGGCGGTAGCTGCACTTTACGCAGCGTCCGGCGTAGAGTGTCCCACCATCAGCACCAAGCGGGAAGCAGCAGCAGCAGCAGTAATCGCGGTGTGATCATCTATTCCCCGGGCAAAAACAATCTTCTACCTGTGGAATACACCAGCCCCGGGAAGAGAAGATGCCGCGGGAGATCATCACACTTCAGCTGGGCCAATGTGGGAACCAAAGTACGTCAACACTGGCTCTTTTTGTTGTCTGTAGCAAGTTGTGCAGCTAGCAGCACCAATGATGTCCAATACAGCGACGTGCGTCTGTTCAGCGTGCGTCTGAACTGCTTTTGATGCACTATGAACTGTTTCGTGTGGATTTATTTTCAGAGTGGATTTATTAACTTGTCATTAACACATCGTTGTTCATGTGTGAATGGTCATCACTCCTGGTTGTAAGGCAGATGTAATGTATGGCCTGTAATTTAAAATCTGGAACAATCTTCCTGAAGATGTGAGACAGGCCTCCTCTCTGACAAAGTTTAAAACCAGGTTAAAAACAGTTCTGTTTAGCTGTGCATACAACTGAGGGATTTTATATTTTTATCTTTATTTTTAATGTACTGTGATTATTTATGATTTTAATGATATTTTGTTTTGTTCAGCACTTTGAAATGCCTTGGGTATGAATTGTGCTATACAAATAAACTTGCCTTGCCCTGCCTTGGCCTTAGTATTGTAGATATAACTAGCTTGAAGTGGACACGTTTAGTCTTTAACCAGTCAATGTGAGTGACATCCATATTCTATAACTGTTCTTGTGTAAACCACTGGGGACACTGGCTGTGCTGTCATTTATGAAATATTATATAATGAAATATAGGCTCCTGTACCCAGTGTTCAAGCTTCCATACAGTCTGGTTGTATCAATATTTTTCATATGCATGTTTGTTTGGCTACCCCCAGCTCCAAGTGTATTTCACTGATTCAATCCTAACTGGTTGTTATAGTTTCCAACTAATTCAGTTCCAATAATTGTTTTTGTGCTGTTGTCAGACTCTAAACCAACTATAATAATTGCTGCCAAACAACCAATTTTGTTTTGATTACGAGCCGCTTAACTGTACCTTTGTCCATGTCCAATTGATGAAAAGCTCGTATTAATGGGCTTTTCATGATTCAAACAACCTAGTCCATTAGTTAAACAGTAGTTGGTTACACAGCCCTTGTTGAAAGCTGATATTGCTTGTGTGTTGCAGTTGGTTTTGAGTTTTGGAAACAGCTGTGTGCGGAGCATGGCATCAGTCCAGAGGGAATTGTGGAAGAGTTCGCTACAGAAGGCACCGACAGAAAAGACGTGTTCTTCTATCAGGTAATTTATCATATTTGTATGCACAAGACCTCAGTTTCAATCTTCTGAAATGTGCGCTTTGTTTTGAGGCAGTGTTGGTTCCAACTTTAAAGTCTGCATAGATTGTGAAATCACTTACGTAATGGTATCTGTGATGTTACTTTAGCCGTGGCTTTTCACAAAACTTACAGATTCTTAAATTGTATGATTTTTAGATCAAGTCTAAACATGTTTATACTGCTTCTTTTTCAGTTAGTGTTATAGATTTTATTTTAGAATATTTTAGTATAGAGCTATTATTATTATGTATTGTGCTGTGTGCTTCCCATACCTACTGTCTGTAACTTGTGATGCAACACTGTAATTTCCCCACAGTGGGACAAGTAAAGGATCTCTTAATCTTTTAATGAAATCTGCACCTTCTGTAGCTCTTGTCCAGGAACTAGGCCTTGGGTTGTTCTTGGTGAATCCTTTGTAATACTGCCCCTTGCCACCAGATGGGGTAGTTGCCTAAGAAGCTGAGTGCACATGTCAAACATTATTCTGGTCTTCTTCAAATACTTTTATAATCAAAATGTCTTATTGTCCACATTCAAAGCTCTTCAAAGTCACCTTTTTTCCTGTATTTTTGACTTTTAGGCCGATGATGAACATTACATCCCACGTGCAGTTCTCCTGGACCTGGAGCCCAGAGTGATCCACTCCATCCTCAACTCTCCGTACGCAAATCTGTACAATCCAGAGAACATTTATCTGTCTGAACACGGAGGAGGCGCCGGCAACAACTGGGCCAGCGGATATTCACAGGTATTTAGATTAACTGCTACAATCGCAACTAACTTATATCTGATTGATCTGGCTCAAAAGCGGTTTCTTCTTTTATCTCAGGGCAAGAAGATCCAAGAAGACATTTTTGACATCATTGATCGTGAAGCAGATGGCAGCGACAGCTTGGAGGCAAGTCTTATTATCAAAGAATGTTTCCTCTGGTTGTGTGGAATTTTAAATGAAATCAAATACGTTGCTTAGTATTCTACCAGTATCTCGGGGCTGAGAACCATGCGAGGAAAAGAGTCACACATTTTGTCTTGAATTATCTTGAGTTTATTAGAACGGGCTGGAAAACACAGTGATGAAACTTGTCGGTAGTTTAAAAAGAAAGTCTTGCAGAACTTTTTGTTGTTGTTTGAGATTGCTGAGGCTTTACCTGGTTTCTTATTAACATTTTTATGTCTACAACCTGAGTCCTGCGTCGCGTGGCCTTGGTCTTTGTTCTGTAGCTTGAGTCCTGGATCTACAGCCCGTTCGTCTATGTGGAGTTTGAAAATAATCGTTAGTTGCAGCCATAGAATATATTAGGAGTTGACAGAGTACTGACATGGCTCATAGTTTTTTTTATAATGCGGAAGAAGCAGATTTGAACACTGGCTAGCTGGAGCCAAGTTTTATTTACAACATTTACTAAATTAAAAGCTATACAATGCACAAGGTACTAAATAAACAGAAATAAATGAAAAGAGGTTGGACCATGTCAGTCTGTGGTTGCAGTTCTGATAATGACCTTTGTATTGTTAGAAATCCTAACGTTTTCAAATATTGACAATATTGTCAAATAGTTTAGTAAACAAAGTCAGTTTTACAGACCTTTTCATCTTAGGGATTACTCATGCGTTACCTGCGTTATTGTTCACATGTCTTCATTCATGCATTCTGCTTTGAATAGTTTTAATTTAGCAAATTTAGGTCAGAACAGACGTTACAGGGCGATAAGCTGTCACTTACTTACTTAAACAAATCAAGCATAAACCTCAGCTTCAAACATACATTCACATTCACCTTTCCCCCCAATTTCAAAAGAGTTATTCTCTCAGTTCCTCTGAACGTTTTCCAACCAACCGCTCATAAAACCGCTCTCACATTCTCCAACAAAATTGCGCCACTTTGACCTTCCATTAGCACTCGTTGGTGAGTTCGGTGGCTGGGCTGCTCTGTGTATGTTGGCAGGGTGTGGCGTCTGGTGATAATAGCTGAGGCCGTGGAGAAGGCAGGTATTACATGGCTTTCTTTAGGGGTGGGGGGGGGTACAATAAGGTGGGGCTGCATTCCCATTTATATAACAACCTAGGAAGGTAGACATTTGCTCTGCCCACATGTGGCGTTTTTTACAGGATTACATGCTGGCGGTGTATTGCTGTAAATGAGTAGTGTAAGTAATGAGATAGCTTTGTGTTCCCAGGGATTTGTCCTGTGTCATTCCATCGCAGGAGGAACGGGCTCTGGGCTGGGATCCTACCTGCTGGAAAAACTCAATGACAGGTTTGGAGACTTGTACCGTACCCGGAGAACAAAGAAATCTTAGAATATCTCTATTTGTGGGTCACTAAATGCGCTAACAATGGTGAACTAGAAAGGATTCTTCATTATTCCTGTCTATTTCTCGTATAATTGAATTAGATATGACTTTTGGTATTTTAGCTGCGTTGAAAAATGATCTAGATCAGCTTATGTGTTGAATCCACTTGGCATGACTTAAACCTTATTTGGTCACACTTTAGTTTAGCCCTCACTCATTAACAGCAATGTAACTGTGCTGATTAGTGTATAATTGATGGTTAATTAGCTCTGAATGGTCATTTGTTAACCACGTATTAGTCCTTATTCTACATTACCTCATTCAACATCTACCTAACTACTGACTGACACTTTCTCTCGTGGGCTCGAACTATAGTTATGGTTTTAGCTTAATTAGCTGATCATTAGTGAGGGCTTAGTGTTAATAATGTTACCCCTTTTTTTCTTCTTCAATTTGTCATTGGCCAGTCAAACTTTGGAATGTCACAGAAAACTCATCTCGATCCCCTTTACTGAAGAAATAATGATAAAAAGGTTATACATTATTAACACATTAAAAATTCACATAGGTGAGGCATGTCCAAACTCAGGCCCGGGGGCCAATTGCGGCCTGCTGCATCCTGCTTGGTGGCCCTCTGCCTTTCTAACCCAAATTACCATTGAGAGTACTTTTAATATTAATAATAATAATAATGAAAATAATGTATTGATTTGATGTTGTTCTTTTTTAGACACTCAAAGACGCTTCACACGTAATTATTCTTTCCCTCTGTACACACCGGTGATAAACTACTACTTATACCTCCTTTTACATCGCAAAATAGACCAATTCCAGTCAAAAATTGTTTTATAATCTGTGTTCGAGCCCCGGTGAAATAAAGTGTCCCTCTCACTTAAAAAAAAAGTTTGGACACCCCAGGTATTTTTTGTACTTTCTGAACCAAAGCAGACCAACAAGGCTTGAATTCATAACAAAAGTTCACTGTTAAGGCCGATCATGAAAAGTTGTCTATTTGTTTGTTTTTCTCTTGGTGTCAAAGGACTTTGGGAAACACTGATTTTTGTTGTGGTCAGGTACCCAAAGAAGCTGGTGCAGACGTATTCAGTTTTCCCAAACCAGGACGAGATGAGCGACGTGGTGGTCCAGCCGTACAACTCTCTGCTCACGCTCAAGAGGCTGACGCAAAACGCAGACTGTGTGGTGAGTGGGGATGATACTCGGGACTAAAGTACCACGATATGACGATATACTGTGGAGTTGTGTATTCCTCTATTATTCAAATTATAAAATTATTTCTTATCAGCTCTCAGCCCAAAGCATCAATTAGTGACTCGTAAGGCTCTCTGTTACAAGTATTCAAATTATAAAATGTTTTCTAATATGAAATGACCTGGGGCGACAGCGGCTCAGTTGGTAGAGCATTGGCCTTTGTCATTGTGTCCTTGGGCAAGACACCTAACCCCACTTTACCTGAAGCCCCCGCTGTCACCCCCTAACCCAGAAATGGGGGGGAAGAAAATGGATGGATGGATAAGATGACCTCATGTTTTGGTCTGATTTAATATTTGATTATACTACTCTCTCTTCTGGACTAAAAGTTTGAATAGCTCATGAAAAAAGAACTGAAGTAACCTAACTTTAACCATCTTTTTGTCTCAAAGAAATATCACGAGATTCTTTTCCCATTCCAAGTGCTCTCGAAGAAGTATGTGTTGCTATGTTGCTTCTTTGTCCACATTTGAAGAAAGCACAGGGTAATTGTAAGAAACAAAAGTGAATAAACACCTCAAAACTCTTTTATCCAGGTTGTTAATATTATTTGACATTATATGGACCTCACAGACTAATATTATGACCTAACAATAGTTTGTGATTATATTCCTAGATGAATAATGTACGAAGGGTTTGCTTGATGCATTTTAACCAGGATAACCTGTGCTCTGTCATTATTGTGTAAGAATATGTTTACTTCTGAGCCAGAAAATAAATCATTTTGCAAGAGGAATGCGGTTGTTAAAACTAGGTCAGCTTTGGGCAAGGAAAGAGACCAGAATATGTGTTTGATGGAACAGGAAAAGGCCAAAGGGTAGGAAATGCTGTGATTATAAAACACTTGAGCTGATTTTACACGTTAGATTGATTTGAGTTGGTTCTTTTCATGATAATATGGTGGTTGAGTGGGTTGGGGGTATGATTCTATGCCGACCAAGGTAAGAGAAAAGCAAACCAATGACAACATCCTTCAGGAGCTGTACATAGAAAGGTGTTAAAGATGGACTGGTGGATCCTGAGACTTTTTAATATCATGGGGTTTCTCATGATTCTACAATATTCTACAATCTACAATATTCTACGGTTCAAGGCCCACAGTACGAGATCGCCATTTGACAAAGAATGTGGTCAGTAACTAGCATAATCTGTAGATACACTGTTATTGTTTTCTTATATCCAATTTGACTTTGAACGTAGTAATAATGAAGACATTGAAATTGTGGCATGAAATACTCCAGGCGATGCACACGTACGGCCCACAATATTGTATACTGTAAAATCAGCATGTTTCAAAATGTTGGCATCCTCTCCCCTGATCATGACAATAATAAATTTTTAACAAACCATATTAACCACTTCTACATTGTATTAGGAGTTTGACAAAGAATGCGGTCGGAGTGGATAGTGGATGCTGAGTGGATAGCATTCTCGCCTCTCAGCAAGATGTTCCTGGGTTCGAATCACGGTCGGAATGGGGTCTTTCTGAGTGGAGTTTGCATGTTCTCCCCGTGCTTGCGTAGGTTTCCTCCGTGTTCTCTGGTTTCCACTGACACTAAAAACATGCTCACTAGGTTAAATCCTCCAGGTCCTGACCACGCAGAGCATCAACATCTGGAGATGGTTCCCGGGCGCTGTTACTACGGCGACCACTGCTCTTGACATAAGCCTTAGCGGCCTCAGGATGGGTCAAATGCAGAGGATGAATTGCCCTACGGGGATCAATAAAGTGCACCTTTACCTTTACCTTTAAAGACCAGCGTTACATTAAAATCTGTGTATTTTCTATTTTCCCTTAAGTTCACCCTATACGCTGGATCACGCACAACAACATATTACAAAAAGTTTCCATCGCCAGACGTACTTCATCTCTTGTTCATACATTTTACTTTCATTTCTGGTCCTCTCCCCAGAACCAATAAACTCCTAAGTGGACTTTAACTAGGCCGGCAGTGTGGGGCTTTGTAAATAGTGGTCAAATTGAATCTCGCTGCTAAACTAGTGATGTTATTAGTGCCCGGCCGGTGGAATGGCGTTTCCTGTCTAATGAAGACGGCCTTGGGGCTCTTGCATAAGTCTTTTCACGTTGATTGAATTATTCCCGGGAGCTAATAGAAACGCTCTGAATGCAGTCTTTATGTGCAGCTAACTCGACAACAATGACACGCTGTGGTCGCACTCCTCCTTTCTCTTTTAAAACCTGAGAGTTGTGTGTCTGTGTCTCGGTGTTGTGGTGCTGCGGGCGATCTCCAACACTTTTATTAGGGTTACACAAGGCTACCTCTGTTTTATTGGACGGAAAGATGTCTGTTTATAGATTCAAATGATAGTTTTACATGCATTTGTTTTGTGAATGCTGTTGAAGAGTATGTTATTGCCTAACTCGTGTTTTTCAAACTTGATGCTAGAAAAAATATTTTAAGTATTCGATGCCAATTTTGGTTGCAGTTATTTATACGTGTATACACGTGTACGTGTATATGAAATATTAGTATCATGATGTTCATTTGTCGGGGTCGACAGTAGCTCAGTTGGTAGAGCATTGGCCTTAAGGCCAGAATGTCGTGGGTTCAATTCCCACCTCTGCACCTTCTCCACTGACTCCCACTGATGACTGCTATCGTTGTGTCCTTGGGCAAGACACTTAACCCCACTTTGCCCAAAGCCCCCACTGAAAGATCAAGGCTATGCTCACACTCAGAGAGCAGCTGTCCTCCTGTGGACTCACCACCTGCAGAGGGTCAGTGAGGGGCTGGTGCTATGAGACTTGGGTGGCATCTCTGACTGCCACCCCCCTGACCCAGAAATGGATTAAAGGGAAGAAAATGGATGGATTCTGAAGGTTGTGGGTTCGAGCCCACCACAAGATTTTCGACTCCCATTGATGACTACTGTCGTTGTGTCCTTGGGCAAGACACTTAACCTCTGGGAACACCAGCCACAGTGGGGCGGCTGTGGCTGTAAAGTGCCAAACTGTCTTTGTGTCCTTAGGCAAGACACTTCACCCCCATTGCCTAGAATGAGTGGTGTGTGTGTGAATGGTTGGTGGTGGTCGGAGGGGCCGATGGCACAGACTGGTTGCCTCACTTCTGTCAGTGTGCCCCAGGGCAGCTGTGGCTACAGTAGTAGTTTATCACCACCGTGTATGGAGTGAATGAATAATGACATGTGAAGCGACTTTGAGAGTCCAAAAAAGCGCTATATAAAACCGATGCATTGATTATTATTTATTTCTGTAAAGTAACTTAAAATTCACCCAGAGACAGTCCTTATGAGTGGAGAGGAACAGACATGTGCATAAAGCAGAAAGGTATAAGTAATGTAATAATATAACTTTTGATCTCGCAATGGAGAAATGTACATGTCACATTTGGCATATAGATAGAATCACTCAGATTGTGCAAAAAACAGAAGTGTGCAACATGTTAAAGTTAAAAATATAGTCAGGATATAATTATGTACAACAACAAAAAAATATCTGTTAGGACCGGACACAGAGCCTACTACTACTACTAGTACTAACACACCAGGAACTTTAGCACATTTTGCCATGTTCTCAACCAGAAAAACAAATGTTGTACAGTAGATTTACGAGCCACTGTATATTTTGGATTATTATGAACAGATCTTGGTCTTCTTCACAGGTGGTTTTGGATAACACGGCCTTGAATCGCATCGCCACGGACCGGCTGCACATCCAGAACCCGTCCTTCTCACAGATCAATCAGCTGGTGAGTTTAAAGTTGACTCACAAGTCACTAAAACAACATCATTAAAATCAAAATAAGTAAACTCATCATTAAGATATGTGTTTTTAATAATTACATAATATTACATTTGAATTGTATTGTCAACGCCTCAATAGGAGTGAGAAGAGGAGCAGATAGATGTCTCCCAAATTGTTGTTTGTTGACCTTGGCTGGACGTTAAGTATTCAGATATTTGTTCATGCCTTGTCCCAACGTCAGAAAAATGTAATTGACTTATAAGCAGCACACACACCTTTGCACTAGGGTTTAATATTTTTCCCGAAAATGAGACGTATCAAATCCTGGGAAAAGACGACGCCTTTCCCGGGAAATCCCGGGAAATAGCTGTTGTTTGTAGTTGTTGTTTTTAGCCCAAGTAATGTGTGATATCACTCAAATATATAATCCAACAAAAGCTGCCATCTCCACTAGTGTTTCACCAAGTGACTTGCTAGCTTTTATAAAGTAGCCATAGCGTTTTCAGACGTTTTGTTGATGGGCTTTCTTCAGGAATTTCACTATTATGAGATTCTAAATGTCTGCGCAATCCACTTGTCGAAAAGTGACGTGCGGTGTGGTTTGGAGGCACTGACTTCAGCCCAATCAGATGAACATATATCATATAAATCAACAGAACCTACAGAGCGGCTTATTCACAATTAGTTTGGCTACAGCAGAATGTTTTCCATGGCCCGCATTGTTTGCTCAAACAAAACGCAAAAGTTCGTAAAAGGCACATTTCCAATTGTGTTATGGGTCTTACCTTAGTTATTAATGAACAGCACAGACCACTTCAGTTCAGACCAGTTTCATGTTTAAGTCCAGATAATAGTTTGAGCGCAGATATGTAATCCCCCATTTGGAAATAAGCCCAAAGAGTTTTAAAGCGTAAAACAAAACGGGTGCCACCTCCATAAACTCCTCCGTGTGTTCGCTGCAGCCGGCTCTCGGGCGCATCCAATTTCTAATATCAACCTTCTTACCCTTCTCCTCTCTTCCTTATCATTCCTATCGTCATTGTAAGCAGAACATTACCCTAAATGCATTTTATATTATTTTAAAATTTGTTATATGTATGTTAGCCAAACCTGTTGCTGCCCTTAGCAGATGGAAAAAAAGAAAGGAGCTTTCTGATAGAATTGGACGTAACCAAATTCTGGGCTCACATGTGCCCCGTACCCTGAGCCTGGCCTCATTACAAGTCGTGGTTTAGCGCGATTAAGACCCATATTTGTTGTCAAAAACACAATTTAGGAGCCATCCTCTCAGCTGTAGACATGTTGATTGTAAATGAAATATGTTTGAACTTTGAACAACAATAAACGTGCTTTATAATAGGAGCGCACTTTATTTTTTTTTTTTACTTTCATTTCCCGTTTCCCGTCATAACATTTCCCGGGAATCGGGAAATAGTTTTCATCAGATTTCCCGGGAATCCCGTATCCCGGGATTAAACCCTACTTTGCACTGTGAGACTAAAGCACATTTCGATGGCGAGACCGCAGCAGTTTGTGGCTGCAGCTCGGGTCGCTTTGAAGTTTCCTCAAAAGGAGCTACAGAAGCAAAACTGTCATTAATGCTCGTTTGCGCATTTGCCTTTCGTTTCCCCGGAGTAAGATGTGGAGTTGGACACTGGGGTAGTCTTGCATAGTTTTTCCAATGTGGTTTTACTGCAAATGGCAAATAAATGATTCTGAATCTGAATCTAAAGTACCCTGTGGTTCTGCTGGAGTTGGCTCTAAACATTTGTTGTGTTTTTCCTTCGACGTAGTGACCATTTTTCGGCATGACTTGCAAATAACTTGTTTCTTTGATTGGTCCTAGATGGATACTTTATTGATCCTCGTAGGAGAAATTCAGGGTCCAGTAGCAACAAAAATAAAAAATAAAATGGATCATTCAAAAAAGTTAACAATGGTAATAATCAGCAACAGCCCTTCAGGACACAGTAGCAGAGGTGGAGTAGCCTCTGAGTGGAGCAGGACGGGTCACAGCAGCAGAGGTGGAGTAGCCTCTGGGTGGAGCAGGACGGGTCACAGCAGCAGAGGTGGAGTAGTCTCTGGGTGGAGCAGGACGGGTCACAGCAGCAGAGGTGGAGTAGTCTCTGGGTGGAGCAGGACGGGTCACAGCAGCAGAGGTGGAGTAGTCTCTGGGTGGAGCAGGACGGGTCACAAGGTGGAGTAGCTGCCTGGTTTGGACTGGAGCATTTTCTCTGCTCTGGTCCAAAATAAAATGCTGAATAGTTCATTAGCATTTTTCATAAAGTTAGCATTCCTCCAGTGGATATTCGCCTGATCCACTTGGTTGGGACCATGAATCCTCTCTGCTCTGGTCTGGACCAGTGCAAAACCATGAACACTGTCCTGTCTTGTAAATCCGAAGTCTTTAGGAACAAGGAACAAGTTTCTCTCTGAATTTGTCTGCATTTATCTCTTTGTCATCCATTTTTGTTTCGTCACTGCAGATTCGACACAGTTCACGTACAAGAAATACATACATAAATATATCAAAATTATTGCACATCTTTTAAATATGAATATCACACGTAGGGCTGAAACAACTAATCGATTAATCGACGACTAATCGATTGAAATAGTCAACAACTATTTTAGTAATCAATTAATCGTTTTCTGGTTCACACGGACTCAAACAGAGCAAAAATGACATGAAAATGAAGTATTTTTGATTAAAACCGACTTTGTTTTTATTATTTCATGAATATCTGTCTGTCTCATCCAATCAGAGCAGAATTAGCACAAAGAGCCTGTTACAAACATTTACTTTAAGTTTACGCCATCAATACGTCCTCGAGTGTTGCCACTTTAGCTTTTTGTGATGAAGAAATATTTTTTTTCTACACAATTCACAGCCAAGCGATTACTCGATTAATCGTAAAAATAATCGATAGATTAATCGATTACAAAATAATCGTTAGTTGCAGCTCTAATCACACGTAATTGCCATGACAGTATTTCATTAGTATGACGTGCAGCCTTTACATTTTCCCTCAAGAATCTCTTTCTGTTGCATTTCGCAGGTGTCCACCATCATGTCCGCCAGCACCACCACTCTGCGTTACCCTGGTTACATGAACAACGATCTGATTGGTCTCATAGCTTCGCTGATTCCCACGCCCAGACTGCACTTCCTCATGACGGGCTACACACCGCTCACCACCGACCAATCCGTGAGTTTCAGGTTTCTTTCTTTCATAAAAATATATTGTTGTTTTTTTCATGACTATGAATATTGTAGATTCACACTGAAGGCATCGAAACTATGAATTAACTCATGTGGAATTATGTACGTACTTAAAAAAAGTCTTTTATTCTGGGTTCTTCATTCTCTTGATGAGCTTCAAGAGGTTGTGACCTGAAATGGTCTTCAACGGTCTGAAGGAGTTCCCAGAGAGACTTAGCACTTGTTGGCCTTTTCGCCTTCACTCTGTGGTCCAGCCCCAAAACCATCGATCTGGCCAGGTCATGTGGCCCAGCACCATCACTCTCCTTATTGGTCAAACAGCCTTTACACAGCCTGGTGTGGATCTACAGTCAATAGTCATGAATAGAATGGAAACTTATTGAATGAGAATGTGTCCAAACTTTTGGTCTTTACTGTAGCTGTTGTTGTTGTTATTGTTTCAAATATTGTCAGACAATTCCTTTTATAGTCCCACAGCACCAATATTCTAAAACATGAAATGCTGAAAGAGTCCTTATCATTTTTAGGGGCCAAAAATAAAGATAGGGTTTTCATTACAAATATATATTGTTACTCCTGTTAATAAACTAAAGCACTTCTATGTCCATATCAAACACAGTGGTCCCTTGTTTATGACGTGTTAATAATAATTTTAATACTTTAATAATAGATCATAAGAAAAGAATACATTGTTCTTGTATAGTCCTTTTTGGACACCCAAAGACACTTTATAAAAAGACAAATGATGAATGCGTTATAGGGAGATTCATGCCTTTCTTTTGTACCTTGAATTTATTTAGTCATAATTGAGTTTTGATGTTGCAAACTGCAAATCTAAATACAGTGTAGGCTTATGGTTTTGTGTCCAATTATCAATGATTTTAAACTATTGCTCACTCTTTTCCCGCTGTTCTCTTGTGTGGGTTAGGTTGCCAGCGTGAGGAAGACCACCGTGCTGGACGTCATGAGGCGACTTCTTCAGCCCAAAAACGTGATGGTGTCCACGGGGCGCGAGCGACAGCCCAGCCACTGCTACATCGCCATCCTCAACATCATCCAGGGGGAAGTGGATCCCACACAGGTGCGGACCCTGGGACTCACATGGGATGGCAAAGATGGAAATGGGTTTTAGATTACATGCAATTACATTTTTATACGTCAATGGCACACAATATCATTGTGTGATATCATCGAGCCAGCAGGTGGCAGCATTTCTCTCTGAATGGTTTGAAAACAGTTAGGTGCACTTGTTGTGCCTCTTTTTTCTCAACTTTCTGGTGATTTCAGTAAAACTTCCCTCTACTCGACGGAGGATTACAGGGGAACGAAAAAAGCTATAAACAAAATTTTTGCTGAGGAAAGTAGACAGTCCATTCTTTTAGAATCTGGTGTCGGATTTCAGATAGTCATAGTACACAATATTCTGTGGGTCTTTAAAAATCAGTAAAAACCATCAGAAACGGCTGGCAATATGGAAGTACCTGTTCTGAAATGGGCTGGCAGTCAATGAGTTAATAAAATCCATCCAAACTAGTTCCTGCTCTTAAAACAGTTCCTGGTTGGTCCGTAATCCATCTTTGCTAGCCCCCTGCATGTTTGCCTGTTTAAAAAAAACAAAATCCAAACGTCCCCAACTGCACCACTTGAACTAAGTAGAGACTGGGGCAGCATAAGCACTGGTTCGTTAATTAAAATAATTATTGTTGGCTATATTAAAAAAAAAAACACAGACTATTTACTTAAACTTCTTCATGTTTTAGATTGTGAAACACTATCTTCAATAGAAAAAATGTGGTGAAGCAGTAAATAATGCTATCCAATTCTCTGATTATGAGGATTACCGGCTACAAACTAAACTAATTGATGGACAATACTTTTGTTTTAAAAGGCAGAAAACTGCTTTAAGTATGACTTCAGAGCGGTACAATGAAATTATACCGCTTCAGGACAGAGACTGAGACAAGAGCTTTTGGACACAAGGCGGAGTTATGTGTTTGTGCCTGTTTTCTATAACAGGTCTCGCTTTAACTGTTGATCATGTCACTCGACCGTCTGCAGGTGCACAAGAGCCTCCAAAGGATCCGTGAGAGGAAGTTGGCGAGTTTCATCCCCTGGGGTCCGGCCAGTATCCAGGTGGCTCTGTCCAGACGCTCCCCCTACCTGCCCTCCGCCCACAGAGTCAGCGGCCTCATGATGGCCAACCACACCAGCATCTCAAACGTAAGTCTATTCACACACGCACGCACACGCACACACACACACACACACACACACACACACACGGCAACTCAAAGTGCTGAACAAAACGAGATGGAAACAGTCACACAAGTTACTAACGTCATAGATAATCACTTTACCTGTTGATATTATTACTGCATTATTACCATGAATCTATGATAATAACTGGATAGCCAGGGTATTACTAGCTTATAGCTGTCCCACCCATGGGCCCGTGGTACTGCAGACTAAATTCACGCGGGCTACCCAGAAATTTTCCCCATAGATCTCAATGTAAACTAAAATAGCTCGACCTCAGCTGACAGAGAACCTACAGCTTTCATAAAAGTTTGATTTTGTGTGGATTTTAGTGTCCCTTGTCATCCTGAACTTTTTTTCTTCTTAAATCCTTCAGTGTTCTTTAAATCCACACTTTACTGCCACAAACTCTGACTCCGCTCTAATCAGAGCTGCTGATCCAAGCCCTTCTGTGCACGTGCATGAGAGCCACACACGCGTATTTGGTTCAATGCATCATGGGAGTTCGTCCACTGCGCAGAACCGGGAGGACCAGACGATGCCCAAATATAGCCGAGTTTTGCCTTATATGTCAGCGCCCGTGAAGTCCCATGCGATACTGAGCTCAAGCCGTTCATTTGAATAGGACGCCATCTTGGATCACCGGGGCTCGATTATTACATATCCATCTGATACTTACCTGTTGATATTATTACTGATGTTTATTCTGCTCATATTCTCTGCTGCTAAAGTACAATATACACATCTGTAGATACTTATGAACCAAGTGTAATACTAGCTCCAGAGTTTATTTTATTCTATTCTCTATCTTATTTTAATGATATTCTCTATTATCTTAAATAATGGACTGTTATATATGTGAAATCTGAGTGCCTTTTTTTCCTTCTGTTATGTGCACAACGATGACACTGAAGTTTCCCCACTGTGAGACCAATAAAGGAATATCTTATCTTTAAATAATAAGCACATTAAAAAGAGTGAAGATAAAATCCCTCAGTTTTCAGAACAGTTTTTAACCTGGATTTGAACACTGTCAAAGAAGAATCCTGTCTCACATTTTCAGGAAGATCGACAAGAATGAATCCCATTTCATTCTCCTCGGTGTGCGCTGCAAAAAGTGATGAAAAATTGCTCACATTTGGCAAAATGTTTCTGAATTTCAGCACATTCTAACTCTGCCTTTAAACAAGATTTGCCAATGGGACAAAGGAAAAAATTATCTTGTTTTATACAAAAAGATGAAAAAGGGATTTGTCCCGTTGGAGAATCTTGTTTTAACACAGTCAGAATGAACTCAAATTAAGATCAAAACCACGCAATTCAAGAAACTACTACCTCATATTTGATATTTTTTTGCAGTTAAGAGCAGACAAAACCAGCGCCTGCGTTGTTTCCTACCCAGTTCTCCAACAAGACGTGATCTGAATTAAAGACACTCATAAAAAAACACAGAAACAAGATTCTGGGCCGAGCCATTTCCTTTCACACTATAAAACCTATAAAACCGGGGTGCTGGTGTAAATGCCTGTGATGTCACTGGTATTATGTCAATGTCAATGTCAATTTTATTTATATAGCACACTTAAAACAGCCACAACCGCCCAAAGTGCTGTACAACAAACATTATAAAATACAATTGAAGAGTAAAACAGTCACAAAATATACAACATGAGACAATAATAATAAAATACATGGGATCTGCTCAGCTTGTGTTGAAGGCCAAAGCAAAAAAATGAGTTTTCAACAACGACTTAAAAACATGAATGGACTGGGCCATTTTGACATTCAGCGGAAGGCTGTTCCAGAGTCTCGGAGCCGCTACGGCAAAAGCCCGGTCTCCTCTGGTTTTACGCTCCACTTTAGGCACCTCCAGAGTCATTTGGTTGGAGGATCTCAATGTACGACCTGGATCACGGGTCAACAAAAGCTCCGAAAGGTAAGATGGAGCCAACCCATTCAAGCATTTAAAAACCATCAACAGTATCTTGAATTGAATCCTAAAGCTGACTGGAAGCCAGTGCAGAGAGGCCAACACAGGAGTTATGTGCTCACGTTTCCTTGTTCCTGTGAGCAAACGCGCCGCTGCGTTTTGAACCAACTGCAGACGACGAATGGACTTTTGATCGAGCCCACAGTACAGAGAGTTACAATAATCTAAGCGACACGTAATAAAAGCATGAATGACACGCTCCAAGTCACCATGAGGCAAATAGGGTTTGATTTTGCTGAGCAAACGCAGCTGAAAAAAGCTATTTTTGACGACTGAACTTATTTGTCTGTCAAATTTAAACGAACTGTCCAAAACAACCCCAAGATTCCTAGCAGACTCGTGACGATAAATATTCAAAGGGCCTAGAGCAGTGGCATCACATGAGTTACCAAATACAACAATTTCAGTTTTGGAGTCATTAAGCTTTAAACAATTTTGAGCCATCCAGTCCTTCACTTCCTGTAAGCAATCGAACAAAACTTGAACATTGTTTGTGCCTGCCTTCAAAGGCAGATAAATTTGCAGATCATCTGCAAAACAATGAAAGTCAATTTTATATTTTCTAAAAATTGACCCAATGGTCAATTTTTTTGACCAATGGTCATATTATTTCATATGTGAGGAGGGGAACCATTCTTCAGGCTTTGTTACTACACAGAGAGAGGGGATTTCCACCCGCGTCGCCATGGTGACTCAGCCAACTGTGTTTGAGTTTCTCCTGATCTGGAGGAAATAAAACAAGGGTGAAAAGGTTACCTCAGAGTGTGTTGGTAAATGTGTTGTGGAGATTTCTTAGTCCAAGGTTGAGATTAAGTGGTGGAAATGTCGAGTGTTGAATCACCCTTTACAGAATGATAACGCGATACTAAAACAGGCTAGCATAAAAAGAAGCAGTATAAAATCTCTCTTTTACATGATAAGGAAAGATGTCTGAAAAAATACAACCCTAGCATTTAGAAGTTTTTTCTGTTTCCACTTTCAGCTACTACCAATCAGTAGGAAACACACAGGTGAATATCATTAAAAAGGTCATTTTATTCTCTGATTCAACTTAATAATGTGAAACCAATATATGCCTTTCTTGTCTAGACATTATTATTCACTTCAGTCATATATTAGTATTAGTAGATAGACTTTTTGATTTGACGTTCCAAGTATCACATGTAAAAAATAATTAATATGTTTGTTTCCTCCAATTCTTTTAACATACATGTAGCTGCCTCAATATCTAGATTTGTAAGGCATCAAATGTAGTACTTCCTGATTCTCCTTGAGACCAAAAAGTTTCACCTTTTTCAACCATTCAAAGTCTCACAACCTCAGCCTGTAAATGAAATCCACTTTATAATTAAATATATCTGAAACTATGAAAATTACTTTTTTATTCATAATTACACTCTTTGATCTTTGTCAGACTAAATGCAGTAATCTTGCAAAAGCCAGTTGTTGTCAGACCTCTGGAGCTGTGCAGGGCAGGGCCTGGTTAGTTCTGTGATGGGAGACTTCGGGGACCACCAGGTGCCTCAGTGGGGCAGCTGTAAAGTGCTGTTCTGTCCTCAGGCAAGAACGTTTGTGTTTGTGTGTGTTTTGTCAGAGGGGCTGATGGCACACACTGGTCGCTTCTGTCAGTGTGCCCCAGGGCAGCTGTGGCTACATTAGTATTTTATCACCTCTGTGTTTGGAGTGAATGAATAAAACCATGTGAAGTGTCTTTGAGTGTCCAGAAAAGCGCTATATATAAAACCAATGTATTATTATTATTATTATTATGATTCTGATTATGATCCGTCATGTTTTCTCCAGTTGTTTGAGCGAACGTGCCGGCAGTACGACAAGCTCCGGAAGCGCGAGGCCTTCCTGGAGCAGTTCCGCAAAGAGGACATCTTCAAGGAGAACTTCGACGAGCTGGACAACTCCCGAGAGGTGGTGCAGCAGTTGGTGGAGGAGTACATCGCCGCCACTCGCCCCGACTACATCTCCTGGGGCCCACAGGAGCAGTGAGCCCCAAACCATCCACACCCACAAACGTTGAGCTAGTGTTTTGTTATTTTCTTCCCCAGCGCGTTTTACAACCCCCCCGACTTGTAAATACTTTCCCTCATGTGTCTTAATACAAACACGTGCTTTGGCAGTAGCGGCTTCGAAGCGCGTTCATTTCTTGGCCCTCATGCGCATGTTGTGTTCTCAGCTCCGAGTTTTCTCAAATTGGGAGGGGTTGAAATGCCTAGAACTTGTAAAAACGTGGGGAAAACAAATGTAATAATCGTTTCCTGCTGATCCTGTTTGAGAGATTATAAATAGCCCCAATAGCAAGATTAAAGTTAGAATATTTTTTTGCTTCCTGTTCAGATCAGTTCATATTGTTTGAGCTCAGAACAATGCATACAGTTGATACAAAGAAAAGACGGTGTTTAAGGAGTAGGCAGAAGTGACAAATACTTATTAATATTTATCCCTACTTTGCATTATTAAATTAAAAGTATGTTCCAAGTCCTCTTGCAGACGTACATGTTTATTTTTTCTACACACTGTATATCAGGGGTGTCAAACTGGTTCCAGGAAGGGCCGGTGTGGCTGCGGGTTCTCAGTCTGACCAAACGGGAGCACACCAGGCTCCACCCATTTACCCTCAGGGGTTCAGGTTGAGGCAAAGACTGTAAAATATGAAAGTTAAAACCAGACTCGCACTGCAAAAAGTGATGAAAAATGGCTAAAATTTTCCAAAATGTATCTTGATAACGGCGGAAGCAAAATGATCTTGTTTTAAAAAAGATACAAGAAATGTCTCTCTTGAAAGCAGTTTTTGAAATTAGACTAAACGGCTATTGTCCCAAAACCACTCGATTTGAGAATGTATTACCTCATATTTTATCACTTCTTACAGCGCACTGGACTCACTTGAAATGGTTGAAATGGGCGGAGTCTGCCGTACGCTCCTGATTGGTTAGAATGAAAACCCGCATTCCCACCGACCCCTTTGAGGACCGGTTTTGACGGATGTATGTTTTCAGATGACACTTGTGTGGTTGGCCTTGACTTTCGGGGAGGAGGGAGGGAGTGCTTTGGTGGGGGGGGGGGGGGGGGGGGGGGGGGAGATAGAACAGGGTGTTGTGGTAAATGCAGGGTCTTGCTTCTTCCCGTTTTTGTCTCGTTCGCTGCAATGTCCGTGAAGAATGTGACCGGGGCCTGTCACCATAAACTGTTTCTCTAAAGATATTGAGGCAAAAACACAAAGTTTACACTCCCTGGCAGTAATTCCATTGTTGTAGCCATATTTTTGAGATGAGAGAATATAAGAAGAGATCCATGATGGTTTGTGGTTGCGTAGACAGTGCCATGGATTGTCAAATAAAAGTGTTTTCTAGTTTTCTATTTTCAAACTATGACGCTCTGTGGAGAGGTCAAACGTGTATTTCGTGCACGGCGTCCCAGGAAAGATACTGGAGGGGTTTTTTGCCAAGAAGAATGGGCAGCTTTACCACCAGAGGATACAGAACCTCATCCACAGCTACAGAATACTCAGCTGTCGTAGATTTTAAAGGGGAACTTAAACTGAGGGACTTCTGCTCAGGGTCAGAAGAGGAAAAGATTTATATGACAAAATGGCTTCACACAAAGACTGATTGTTATCATTTATAATCTCTGAAACATGGCCACATTTTTGGTTATTTCTGCCTGCGGTCCTACACTTTCGAGCCCGACTGTGTATTGCCATATTCAACAATATTTAAACAATATATAAATGACACAGTAATAATACAGCACAATTAATCATAAAAGGAATTGGAAACATTCAAAAAAAAAAACTGAATTTTGCATTTTTTAGCCATAAAGGGACAACCACAAAATTCCAAAATCTACAGATCCCCAAAATACTATGCTGTACTATCTATAATTTATTGAACAATTGTCGACAGTGAATTATTGTGACAGGCCTGAATGTTTTTGTGGCCAGTAGGGATGTCAAGAACCTGTGGTGTTTTAAAAATGTGTGTATAATATCACAAAATCATCATAAAACCTTCAAATCAAAACTCTATTTAGGAGCAGACGTCGTATCTATTGAAATAATTGTTCTCAAAGTGTTTGTTTACACAGCACTAGCTTCACACCTCCACTGCAAAAAATGACTTGTGTTTATTGTATAGTTTTGTGTAGTATTTTGTCACCTATTTGGCAATATACAAATAAGTTTCCAATAGAACAGGCAGGGTCATTTCAAACACAAGTGCTTTTTTTCTTTTTTTATGTAACTAACTGATAAACTTTTTCCAAGATTACGGTTTTATAATAATAAACAAAAGTATCTTAACTTTCTCTCTCTTCTCATTTTTATTTACCCAATTGGCATTCAAAACATGTATTTAAGAAGCTGTCAAATTTAACTTGGAATGACCACTTGCCTAAAGTCCTTTTTATCCATCAATTGAATCCACAAATGATGAAAACAAAAACAAAAATCTCGGTCACATCTTCAGATCAGTAAAGTGAAAAAAAGCGTATCGCCCTCTCTTAGCCAATCAGCACTCACCTCTAATTGCCAAATAGAACCTCAACATTGGTGTGACTAACAAAAAGTGTCAGTTTTGCTAAGTTAAAGCTGGGGCCTTTTCACTTATTTTTTTCTTGGGAGTTGTCACAAGTTAGACAACAGAAATGTAAACAATCTCACTATAAGAAAAAAGGTATTTACATTTTTAACAGTGCCGTGAATAGGAATTTGGTTTTGTTTGTATGATTATATGAATGATGCATGCATGTTTCAAAATAAACAATTGAAATGACATCCCTAGTGGCCAGAAAGTCCCGATACCAGCCGTTCAAAGAGCTCTTACACGACAAAGTTGATGCTATTCACTCTATGCCTGTAAATACTGTACTCTCTCCAGAATTTGGTCTTATGTTTTATATTCTGTGAACGTCGCCTTGCCTGTTGGACCTGTTTTAAAGTTAATAAACATTTTCTATTAAAGTAGTTCCATCTGTTTTCCATCATGCGCTGAGGTAAACCAAAGCAGCTGTCAAAAGAGCAGAATTATTACTTTCACCAAACTCCGCGGTGGATGCCAGTCATTGTCCCGAGTCGAGCGTTCGCTGCCGCAGGGCGGACGGGAGAAGCGCTTAGCAACGCTTAGCAACGCTTAGCAACGCTTACTCAACCTGCTATTGTTGTGACCAGGAAGGCTGCAGGGGACAAGGGCCTCCGCTGGAGCCAAAAAGTCAGGTCTCTGGTAGAAAGTCCAGGGGAGTAACAATGAGGGAGTTTAAAAAAAAAAAAAAAAAAAAGGCACCAGGGAAAAGCAAATTCTCCACCTCCTCCAGTTTCATCTGATTGGATAAAGAGGTACGTAAAAGCAAATGAGGTGTGAGGAGTTATAAACCTTTGTCAGGATGTGCTGCAGGCGATTGTGACCGTTCTACTGAGGTTGAGCTACGCGTTTGGGATTTGGTCCAGTCCGGAAAAAAAAAGGTTGGGATGGGTTTCATTTTTCTTGATTTTAGTAAATGTTGAGTCTTGAAATATTTTCTCAGTAGGACGAGCAGAAATAAATGAGACAAGACAAAATGATACTGCTTTGGAAGGTGATTTTGCTTGTTCTACTGGTAAATCTGGTTTGTCACAATCTACTTCTATAAAAATGAGAATGACTCAGCATTTTTCTACATTACATTTGATCAGCTTTTGTCGTTTACAAGTATTAGTCATAGCAACCACTGTGTAGAAAGGCCAGAAGCTTGTTTCATTTTCTCCATCATTAGAACAGCAGTATGTAGAAATATGAAAATTTAACATAAGTGGAATCTCCATGTAAACTGTCAAAATGTGTTTAATGGATGAAAACTACAGCAAAAGTTCTCACCTGAGCAAAAATGAAATAGTAATGAGACCACAACAGATCTGTTCAAATGTAGGCTTTTATTAATTACGTACAGTATTTATAGTTTTATTGCACTTCCAAGTTAGTTAAAAACAAATAGTGCAATGAACTATACACTCATTAACATAAAGGTACCATGCAGCATACAAACAAGCCGAGTACAAAGCTACTTCCGCAGTTTATTCTTTACAAACATGAGCTGCCTGCAGCTGCAGTAGAAAAAGCGAGGCCCTGTGTTCGGGCGGAAGGCCGACTGCAAAGGCCTTTCATGGTGACGGATCAAGTTTAACGTTTCAGGCATCCTCTGACTGACACAGGTGCAGGATCACAGGTGGAACTCGGACAGTTAGAATATACGTTCAAAAGTTCATCCATTTTTGTGATTCAACTTAAATTTGTGATACCAGTTTGACACAGACTCATTCCAGTGAAAGTGGGATGTGTCTGTTTTAATGTTGGTGATTTTGTTTTCCTTTCATTAATCCCACTGAAATGTCAGTATATCTGCATCAGAAATGGCTCCAGAGAGATTGGAGCTATTGAACATGTTTTTAGTGCCAGCGGAATCTGGAGCACCTGGAGGAATCCTACTCAGGCATAGGGAGAACATGCAAACTCAGCCACCATACTGCCCAATGTTAATGGTTTGAATATTTTAGACTTGTTGGGTTTTTAAAATACTGTACGCCAAGCAGCGTTATAACAAAGGCTTGATGTCATTAGTTTCACTTTGTAACTTGAATCACAGAATTAGACTTTCGAACAACATTTTTTAATTGACCAAGTTTCACCTGTACGATTAAAATACAGTAGCACTTTACTCAAGTACAGTAATGGCATTGCTGAGGAACAATACTCTAAACAGGAGCTCACCAAACATGAAGACGAAATCACCCGGAAACATGGGTCATTGTTTTATTTGTAATTTCATGAAAACTTGGGGCTAGAAAATGCGTTTATCTTATGTATTTAATAACAAGCCAATAAAGTGCTGTAAAGTGCTACTGTGTTTATAAGAATAACAACATTTAACCTGCTGTCATAAAAGCGTATTAAAAATCTTTGGTCCGTTTTAAACCAGGGACTTTGGCTTTAGAAAAAGATAGAGAACAAGGAAAAGAGCGACGTACGTACATTTTCTACAACTGAAGAGAGCCCACTGCATCCGTGGCTCAAACCGAAACGGGCAAAAGTACGATTAAGACAGTAAAAAACACGTATAAATAAAAATGTGTGGGAGAAGCAAAGCGAAATGTCGTTGTCGTTTAAAGGCTCATCTACAAATCTACACATTATTTACAGTTAAAGTAACAAAGTGAAGCACGGAAAGAAGCGTTAAAGACCGAGCAGCTCCACAACGGAGCATTGCGTTTCGGTTGCCAACGACAGCGTGGAGAAAAACCAAGTCTGCGTTTCATCGAGAGGCTGCACGATTAGCCGCAATCGAATTGGAATTGGAATTTTTGCGCTGGTATTAAAGAAAATGGTAAAGACAGGAAGTGTATACGTTCTCTGCAAAAACAAAGAGACTAAGGATACGCAAAAAGTCTCTTGAATTTGGGAGAATGTCTCGTAAGTATCGTTATGAAAAAGAACAATCTAATACAAACTGTCTTAAAGGCACAGTGCGTCATAATTTCATCTTATTGTTTACGTGTCTCCAGATAACCGGTCACTTGTACACATAATTTAACTTTTTGAGTTATTCTTGATTAAAAAATACAATTAAATGATATCCAGAATATTTGTTTATGTTTTTAAGCAGATTATCCAATCAGAGAGCAGAACGAGTCCCTCATTAGGGTTGCCAGTTTGTTAGATGAAGTTTGGCTGGTTTTAGCTTGTGATCTCTTCTTTTTTAGCACCAGGTATATTTAAATGAAACCAGGTGGGAAAAATAAGTAGTTATACATAATGCAGAGTTTCGAAAGTTTCTACCTAGACCCCAGCAGGTGGGTTGCCTCGGTAACCAGTGTTTGGGAGCCAAACAAAGGTTGGGTCGTAATCATTATTAGACCACTCAGAGAGCATTTTACATACATCCCCTTTAAGTCTAATTTTCATATTGGGCTTTGGGGGTCTGTCCTGTTCCTGTGTCTGTGTGTTTGAAACATTCTCAAACCAAACAGAATTGCATAAACTACTTAATTCGATTGTTCATATTAATTTAAACGTTTTGCAGAGAATCCGTCACTTCTGCTCCACTTTGTAAACATCTTAAAAAACGCATTCCAATTTTAACGTTGCTCAGAAATTTTACGCAAATTCCACATTTTGGCCCCTAAAACCGTGCAGCCCCCGACGCCCCGCCCCCCTCAAACAGGAAGTAGATGTTGTGGTTAAAGTGACTCTCATGCTGGCGGCAGGAACAGCTGACTCTCCCCCGACTTTACCGCTGCCAAAAAGTTCAACATCTGGTTCCAGTTGTGGGTCACGTGTCTTACTCTGTCAACAGTTCCAGGTAACACAAGCCTCTGCCTGGGACTCTGCAGAGGGTGAGGAGGGGTGAGGGAGGGGGGAGGACGGGGAGGAGAGGAGACGTCCATCGAAGGCATGAGGTCCATATGTTTGGGAAGGCTCCTGGACTTCTAGGAAAAAAGGCTGGAGCGATATGGCACACCTACTTAAAGAAAAGGCAGTGTTCCTTCGTACAAAAGCAGTGGTTCTCAAACTGGGGTGATGACAGAAGCGTACTGGGGGTCGTGCGAGAGTTAGAGAGCGAGAAACGGAAAGGGTTGAAACGCAAATTGTGCTTTGTGTACTGCAAAAAGTGAGAGGAAACGGTATTAAAAAATGCTTGAAATAATTTGGAACCAGAACGTTTTTTACTTTGAATATGAAAATAATACGTTTTTCAAGATTGCAGCATTTGAAGAACTCTTGGAGAGCCGTTTTTTTTTTTGCTTGGAATGTGCTCCGTATGGTATGAATCTTGCACATTACTGAATTACAGCTGGTTTTTGTGCTCAAAAACCTGTAGAGTAGTTACTTGCTTCCCTTAAATATAGATTTAAAGGGACTGTAGGTTTTATGTACTCTGTGGTCAAAAATAGTAATTAAAATAACCAATGTTGCCAGAATCTAACTCTTCTTGTGGCACAAGTCGTGTGCCACATGTGGATCACTGAATACAGATGCAATCCACCTGCTGAAGTTTAGCTACAAACAACCTTTGTGTGTTACATATGACAACTCATTTCTGTGCTGCTTTCATTTAAACACAAGTGCGTATCTTTTGTTTGTTTGTGAATTGAAAAAAACCAGATACATTTCATCTAACAAACTGGCGTGCTAAACCAGAGACTCATTCTGCTCTCTGATTGGATAATCTTCTTGAAAAGGAAAAACAAAAATACAATGGAAACATGTTCATCCTATTGCTAGTTAAGAATAACTCAGAAAAGGTCAAAAACGATTGTAAATTTGACCAATCATCTGTGGACACACAAATACTGTCTGTGTAATTTAAAATGAAAAATATTATATACAATACTATATACTACTATGGCATAGAACTTTCCAGAAAGAACTATATTGCGATGAACCCTTCGTGAAAAGCACCAGTAAAAGTACAGTGCACTTTTATGACACAATATTTTATTTATTTTTAGCTTTTTCTTTCATTGTCTGTTTCTTATTAGTTCGTCTGTGATAGAGTGAAAGATTCCTGCACACACCGGCTTACTTGCAAATTAAAAATACATTATTAGAGGAGATACGTTTCGGCAATATGCCTTCATCAAGCAAATATGAAAAAAGGATATTTTCTCATATCTCGAATCTTTCACTCTATCACACTAGGCCTCTCCTCCTCCGCACCCGATCTGTACAGTAGGTATTGATGTGCGAACCCCTGCCCCAGGTCATTTATTTGTTCCTCTGAGTGTTTTTGAGTGTCCAAAAAAAAGAGCTATTTAAGTACGATGTTATTCTTATTATGATTATTCATATAAATACGGCCTGGTTCAATACGTGAATAAGCCATCGTCTGTCACTTTTTACAGTATTTGACACCAGTCCTCTCTGGCGTAGGCACAGTTTAGTTCAACCTGATTCTTTTCTCTTGTTTCTCTCATTTCTTTGAGGTCGAGTCCTTCCTCGTTCGTCCCCAGAGTTGGGGGGGGGGAAAAAGGTTCCGAATCCCAGCTCAGGTGGTGGTCAAAAACGCCAGAGTCCTCGGTGGCATTCTCTTTAAATGCTGCTACGGTACATGTCACATTGTCAAGGGGGGAGAGGTGTTGGGGGGGAGGGGGGGAAGGAGGGCGGAAGGGGGTTTCTGGCCTTTGTCCAAAAGCAAATCATTTACAAAGGCTTCCAGATATATTGTCCTAAATTGAACACTGCAAAATGTTATAAAAAAAATGGCTTGAGTTTAAGAACACATTTTGAGGCCGTTTTAAAGTACATTTTGGGACATGTCAAAATGTATGGTTTTAAAACATACAAGAATAGTGAAGAAAATTCTCCATTGGATTGAAAAATAAATTGTACTTGAAATTCTTGATGCTTTTGTTATCTTATATTTGATCACTTTTTGCAGTGGAGCAAAGACACCGTTATTGAAAGTCTTGTAGTGTTCTCATGATGCTAATATTTTAAACTGGATTTTAATACTAAAGGTAGACACAATACACTGCAAAAAATATGTCAAAAACGGCTTGAATTATGGTCTGTCGTACAACAGGATAGAATGGGACTATAAGTAATAAATAATTTTGCTTTCACAGTTGTATGTATCCCAATGTGGTTTTACTAAAAAAGGCAAATAAACTGAATCTGCTCTTATTGGTCTGCTTCACTTTGGACAATAGTGGACACACAGTAGAATTTGTCGAGTTAAATTCAACCAAACCAATCAAATTCTTACATGGAATGAGGGAAAAGAATGAGATTTGCCTGTCCCATTGGCAAATCTGGCTGAAACTACAGTTAAAAAGCAGTCATTAGCTAACATTTTGCTGTGCTGTTTATATTCAATCATATTAATTTATATTTTTTGCAGCCTCCCCCTCCGCACTCCCCAGGTCTCCACCGCTCCTTCAGCTACACTCAGGTTTTCTCAGATGGGGAGTAAAAACAGCCCTCTCTTTGTTTTGGCTGCTGTGCTTTTCCCGGAGGAGGAGGAGGAGGAGGAGGGGGAGGGACCTGAGAGTGACACGTGTGGAGGGAAAGGCGTGGGGGGGTCGGGGGGTTGGTTTCAGACTGGATGTGAGGGCAGCTCCAGGAGCGCTGAGGCTGGCATCGTGGTCACCGAGGTCAAGTGTGTGATTTCCGCTTCGTCCACTTTCCCTCGCTGTCGTCTGGTGGCGCTGAAGTAAGCGTTCATCAGCTGCATGATCTCAGTCAGCTGCAACAGACAGAGGGAGATTAATGAACCAACTCTGGAACTCTGGGGAGCACAGGGACTAGTCTCCTGCTGGGACTCTGGGGAGCACAGGTACTAGTCTCCTGCTGGGACTCTGGGGAGCACAGGTACTAGTCTCCTGCTGGGACTCTGGGGAGCACAGGTACTAGTCTCCTGCTGGGACTCTGGGGAGCACAGGTACTAGTCTCCTGCTGGGACTCTGGGGGGCACAGGGACTAGTCTCCTGCTGGGACTCTGGGGGGCACAGGGACTAGTCTCCTGCTGGGACTCTGAGGAGCACAGGGACTAGTCTCCTGCTGGGACTCTGGGGGGCACAGGGACTAGTCTCCTGCTGGGGGCACTCTGGGGGGGCACAGGGACTAGTCTCCTGCTGGGACTCTGGGGAGCACAGGTACTAGTCTCCTGCTGGGACTCTGGGGGGCACAGGGACTAGTCTCCTGCTGGGACTCTGGGGGGCACAGGGACTAGTCTCCTGCTGGGACTCTGAGGAGCACAGGGACTAGTCTCCTGCTGGGACTCTGGGGGGCACAGGGACTAGTCTCCTGCTGGGACTCTGGGGGGCACAGGGACTAGTCTCCTGCTGGGACTCTGGGGGGCACAGGGACTAGTCTCCTGCTGGGACTCTGAGGGGCACAGGGACTAGTCTCCTGCTGGGACTCTGGGGGGCACAGGGACTAGTCTCCTGCTGGGACTCCGGGGAGCACAGGGACTAGTCTCCTGCTGGGACTCTGGGGGGCACAGGGACTAGTCCCTGCTGGGACTCTGGGGGGCACAGGGACTAGTCTCCTGCTGGGACTCTGGGGGGCACAGGGACTAGTCTCCTGCTGGGACTCTGGGGGGCACAGGGACTAGTCTCCTGCTGGGACTCTGAGGAGCACAGGGACTAGTCTCCTGCTGGGACTCTGGGGGGCACAGGGACTAGTCTCCTGCTGGGACTCTGGGGGGCACAGGGACTAGTCTCCTGCTGGGACTCTGGGGGGCACAGGGACTAGTCTCCTGCTGGGACTCTGAGGGGCACAGGGACTAGTCTCCTGCTGGGACTCTGGGGGGCACAGGGACTAGTCTCCTGCTGGGACTTCTGGGGAGCACAGGGACTAGTCTCCTGCTGGGACTCTGGGGAGCACAGGGACTAGTCTCCTGCTGGGACTCTGGGGGGCACAGGGACTAGTCTCCTGCTGGGACTCTGAGGGGCACAGGGACTAGTCTCCTGCTGGGACTCTGGGGAGCACAGGGACTAGTCTCCTGCTGGGACTCTGGGGAGCACAGGGACTAGTCTCCTGCTGGGACTCTGGGGAGCACAGGGACTAGTCTCCTGCTGGGACTCTGAGGATGTACATTTCTCATCAATAAAGTTTCTCTCATCTCTGCCAACAAAAAGAGATAATCCGTTCTGCCTGTATCCACATTCAAACCCATTATAAGCTGATTTATTTTATTGTATAATTTAAACACATTTTTGTATTTATACATTTTTCTTGCTACTACACCGCACAAAAAGATGGCATTTTGACAGCGCTTCTTCTTCTACTATTTCTCCGTGTATAAACCCGGCAGACTGTTATTCGCGCCACTGCCCTGACGTCGTATGAAACACAAGAATTTGATCTTTCCACTCTGATGATATACTTTTGTCTCCCAAACCCATTCATTCACACAAGCAGCTAAAATAACACCCTTTGCACTTTTTACACGTCTTGCACTATAACAAAAAAAGGCCTGAAGGGACAGGGGTCAGCTGGGTGTCGGAGGGCGGAGGGGCTGAAGTCATCGAGCGAGGATCATCCAAGAGAGCGCGATGTTCTTTTGGCAGGATCCGGGGCGCTCCGTAAACATGCCAAACTTACAGATTAAATGTCAAATGTATAAAATGTTCCTTTAAAAAAAAAAAATGCGGCCCCTGTTCCACTGCCTCAGAAAGTCAGAGAGAATGGATTAACACCATATGTCTGCGGCAGAAGACGACACGGAGGATCCAGGTCAAGTTTAATCTGGTGTTCAAGAATTGTTTTCAGATCACTATAAAAAAATAAAAAGCTTAAGGACTTTTTTAACACAGGGTCAAATGGATGGTTTTTAGTTTTGAAAGGGTAATTACACTGTTAGTCTTTTTAGTTTTTTAGTTTTAAAAAAAATTCTTCACTTTTTGTTGAACCTTTTGTTTCTCAATGTTCTTCCTGTGCCTGTGAAGAACCCTGGGTCGCTTCTGCATGAATGGTGCTTTATAAATAAATTTGCCTTATTGCCTCTGTATCTATATCTAGTTTATGTCATTACTTTAATACACTTTTTACTTTTATATTTGAAATGTGAGGAGTTTGGAGCAGTCATTTTGAAGGCTTCCTTAAGATGAATGTACATTTTCAATTTTGGACTGGTTCTGGATCAGCTTGGTCTACCACCAGAGAAGAGCATGAGCTAGTAACCATAGCAACACTGTTTGCTAGCATCAGTTAGCGTTATTGCCGTTGACAAAACTGTTTTTTCTGTATTTCAGTTAAATTATACACATATTAAAAGTGAGTAAAGGTAAAAAATAAAACAGATATAAATTTTAAAAAAGTATAAATTATTAACTATAAATAAATCTGGTGGAAAACTAAAACTTTGTTGAGATTTTTTTATGAATTCTGTTGGTTTGAAATGGAGCAAAAAGTCCTAGAAAAATTACATTAAGAATTTATAAAGCTGGTCATAACAGGGACATAACTGTTTGTGCCGTAATGTAGATTTTTACTTTTGTTACAGTTCACTTTTGATCTTGGGTGGTTTCTTAAAGGAAGTATGAATCAAGTGCTTAAAGGTCCTTGTCATATTTATTAGCGGTCTTTGTTTTATAAAAAGTGTAATCCGTGTATACGTTTCAGTTTCACAGGAAGAGCAGAGCTTCAGAGCTCTCCTCTCTCAGCCTTCCTCCAAATCGCCTGAGCTTGCAATAAATAAATAAAAGCCACTTTTGTGCCCGAGAGAGAGATCACAGAGGGATTTCTGTTCACTGTGGGAAGATGCGGTCCAATCTAAGCCGTGAAAGGCAAGATTTGTTCTCCATGAGGAAAAAAAAGTTTCTGTCTTAAAAGGAAGATCCATGATTCTGAGAAATGTTTGGCCTAATATTTGAATCTAACCAATGCAATAAAAGTCAGCCGCAGTGACCGTTTAACTGCAGGAAGTGAGACTTTTGGTGTTTTTTGCGACGGTCAGCGGTCAAAGGGCAGCTTGTGTGTGCTCTTTTTAGGCCAAATTAATGAGTGTTTTTAAAGTGGGTCGAGCTGGAGGGAGGCGGGCATCAACAGTGTCCATTTAACTTCCTGTGCACAACACACCACTGTGATAAGATCTGAATGGGCTGAAATTTCACTTTTGAGCAGAAACAGCTTCATACAGAGGCTCTTCCTTCTCAGCTCCATGTGCTCCAGTACCTTGGAAGTTTCAAACAGCAGATCTCGGTCTCCTGCAGTGATCTTGAATGTGTTGCTGTCAGAAACTCCATAGGAGCAGATCTGGCCGTAGGGGAAAGACTCCAGCGCCTCGGCTTCTCCCTGACGATACAAAGACACCGATGTAGCAGCTACACCCAGCCACAGCTTTTGGGAAAAGTTCCCCGTCTGCAGAGAGAAGTAAAAAGTTAATTCAACTCCAGTCTACATCTCACTCCTTCATGAAAACTAACCACTAAATTGCTAACAGCCTGATCTAAAAACATAATGTTTTGCCAAATTACTCACAATATAAAAATCCACTTCATACAGAGTGCATCCAAAGCCTGACCATTGGCGTGCAATAGTGAGGTAAGCAGCCATACTGTCCAAGCGGCTGTAGCCAGCCAAGCCCTTCCATCGCTCCAGGATGGAAGCCATGACAGCGGTGGCCTCCTCTTTGAGGCAACTGCGCACACGTAAGTCCTGTTCCACCTTCTGCTTGTGCACTGCGGTCCACAGAGTTCCTGAGAGGAGGCCCGAGGGGAAGCCAGTCCCGGGGCCTGTGCAGGGGGGCAGTCCTGGGGCTGCGGTGAGGGACATGAGCACCCTGGTCTCCAGCGTGGGCCCAGGGAAGAGCTCGTCCAGGGGGGGGCAGGGGGCGTGTGTGCTGAAGTCTCCCATCGTGGCCTGCAGCCTCAGAGCAGCTAACGTCTGCAGGTCGTCCTCACACGCAGGCAGCTGGCCGCGCACCACCATCTCATGGCACTGAGTTCAAACGTAAAACACATTTGTTAATATCCCAATTGTGCCTTCAATCCACTCGGACACACCCCGTTTCATTTGGTCCTGTAACATTTTATGTAAACCCAAAGGAACGATGTTCTGGTGAGTGGCCTGTGCTGCTGCTTTTGGCCAGCAGCACAGGCCTGTTCCCCTTTAATGTGATAGCAGCCTGTTGAATAGTTTAAGTACATTCAACACTATAGCTCTGCATCAAATGTGAAGCAGACACAGTCAAAGCAGTATGTAGCAAGGACAGGGAAGGGGCATTACCTGCTCGAACAGGAAGAAATACTCAATGCTGTCCACAGATATGTCGTCTGCGTCTAGTAGACAGTAGAGTTTGAAACACAGCTTCCACTGGGACTTGGACTCGGCCTCTTTAGCAGAAAAGCTGTTTGAAAAGAAGATGATAGTTTAGCATTTGCCCATACCTCATACAGTGTGATCTGTTAAACATTGTATTCTCTGCTGGCTCTTGGCTCTAATGACACAGAGGCCTTGGTAACAACAGTGTTCCCTTTGATTCCTCGCAGGTCTCTTATCGTCCTGATTGTGACTTGTGTAACTAAATGACATCAGCGTCACCTCAGATAGCAACGCTTTCTCCTTCACAACCGCTCTCTGACAGAAACACCACTGTTCCCGACACAGTTTTATGTTTAACCACAAGAGTAGACAAGGACACTGCTTATCGAGCCGGCATAGTTTAGCAAGGAGGTTCTCAAACTGAGGTGTAGGGCAGCTGGGACTAGTAGTAAGTAGTAGTAGTAGTAGTAAGTAATCTTTATTTATATACCGCCTTTTCACTGCAGATCTGAGTCTCAAAGGGGTTTACAATTGTTAATTTTGGGCATTTGTCTCTCACTCCACACAGATGGGAGCGGGGCCAGTACAGGAGGCGCATGCCAGAACTATTGGACATATTTTTAGTGGTAGGGGAAACCGGAGTACCCGGAGGAAACCTACGCAGACACGGGGAGAACATGCAAACTCCACTCAGAAAGGCCCTGGTCCGACCGGGATTCGAACCCAGGACCTTCTTGCTGAGAGGTGAGAGTGCTATCCACTCAGCCTACACATGTACTTTTAATCAAGTAATTTTTGGGTGTCTAAAAGATTTATATTCCATGAGCTTACTAATTTCATTGCGGAAGTTTGGTTTAATGAAGTGGATTGTATTGCAGAGGAATTGGACCGTGTTTAGTCATCGGAAATGAAAAGATAATTATGTTTTTGTTGTGTGTGCCAGCGCAGCAAAAAAGTACTTTTGGAATTTGTCAACCAACAAAATAGAGAAGTTAGAGCTACACACTGTTCCATCAATTCTCCTCTGGGTATTTCACCACATTTCCGTGCAAAGGTATGTGTACATTTGTATAATATAGCATTTTGTTAAAATTGTAGAAAGACAGTACTCATATTTTTGGCAACAATTGTATACAAGAATTCACATTTTGCAAGAATAGACTTTGTATTAGGAGTGAACTGACCGACTGCTGACGTCACCCATAGTGTTAGCATTAATGAAGAAGAGGAGGGTTTGAACATAAGCTAGCTGGAGCCAATTTAAATATCAAAATAAAAAAACACCAGGATCATAGAGAGCAATAAATGAGTGGGACATAAACTGTTACAGAGATAGAGGAGTTTACTTTTCAATGTGAGTCAACAGGAGCCAGAGCGACACGGAGCCAAACTTTCTTATTCTTGGGTTTCATACGACGTCAGGGCAGTGGGGCGATGCAGTCTGCCGGGTTTATACACGGAGATATAGTAGAAGAAGAAGCGGTTTATACACGGAGATATAGTAGAAGAAGAAGCGGTTTATACACGGAGATATAGTAGAAGAAGAAGTGCTGTCAAAATGCCATCTTTTTGTGCTGTGTACGTTTGTAGCAACCGCACGAATACAGAGAAAGATAAGAGTTTGTTCATGTTCCAACTGTGGTCTCATATAAAGGAGGAGGCGGGCAAGGTGGATCAAGGCTTTCCCAGATAAGCGCCCCCTGCAGGCCACCCCAATAATAATAATAATAATAATGCATCGGTTTTATATAGCGCTTTTTTGGACACTCAAAGACGCTTCACATGTGTCATTATTCATTCACTCCATACACGGTGGTGATAAACTACTAATGTAGCCACAGCTGCCCTGGGGCACACTGACAGAAGCGAGGCAACCAGTATGTGCCATCGGCCCCTCCGACCACCACCAACCATTCATACACACACCAGACTCATTCTAGGCAATGGGGGTGAAGTATCTTGCCTAAGGACACAACAGCAGTTTGGCACTTTACAGCCGCAGCTGCCAATGAAACGCAACAATTTATTCTGTTTTTCCCCCCCCAAAAATGCCCAAAATCAAGACACTTTTGAGTGTCCCCGATTAAGACTGTTCCAACAACCGTACACCGTACAGGACGAGAGCCTTTGACTCCAAAACAGACTTTACATGGTTTTCAATGGGAGCAAAACTGAGTTGTCCCACCTCTGCTCATGCGCCCCCTACTGGCCAGTTTAATGAAACCCAAGAATTGATTTTCATTGAGCTAGTGGGTTAGCATCGTCCATCTATATACAGTCTAAGTTTGCAAGTCAGATAGTTTCAAGTATATCAGTTTTCAAAGAGTGGAAACAGATGTATCAAAGACGGTATATTTTGATATCTTTAACAATAATAGAAGCAAAGACATAAATGATTTTTGTCGGGCATTTCTGAAGCTCACTATCAACACAAACCACTTGATATAATTAATATTAATATAGATATAATTCATCCATTTATTAAACTAGCAACAAAACAAGCCGGATTCTTGCTTGCTGCACTGAATTCTGCTGATAATGCATCTACTTAGTTTTAGTTGTAGTCATGTGTTCTTGTGTGTATGGTTAGCGTTTGATGGTACCTGGTCAGGATGTCTGCGATGAGGGCGGTGCCGCACACCGGCTGCTCCCACACCGAGTTCTGCTCATATAGTGCAAATGTGTTTTTACTCTCCTGCAGGCCGAGTTTGTCCTGCATTCGTCGCACCACCTGAGCAAAGGAGCAGAAGTCAAAATCAGTGACAAATACTATTCAAAACGCTACATATGGACAAAGCTAACCTGCTAGCTCAATGACGCCCAATAGGGAAGTAATTATGGAAAAAGGCTTTGCTACAACTCACTCTCTAGCTCCTGTTGATTGAAAAGTAACATCTTCGAGCTCAGAAACTAATTGTCACCATTTTTGGCTTAAAAAAAATCAAATCACCAATCTTGCCTTAGCAACCAAGTTTGCGTCTGCCCCAGATACGGCGCAAAGCTAACCCCGTCAGAATAAATGCTCATATAAGGTAATTGGCTGCAGCTAGCTCCGTCCGCATTCTGCCAACGCCATAGAATGTGGAATAAGTCCTAAATTGATGGATTCAAAGATTGCCAGGATGTGCAAAACACTTCCATCTTGTGGTCGAAGTGAGAATGACATTCTGCTTATATAATTAAACCGCTAACACTCATCGAGACAGACGGGATGGGGGGATTTGTTGGTGCCAGTTTATGCGAGAAGTTCCTGATATTATAATCTAAGGTAGTTGAGCTGAACACAACTCTACGTATGTCTTTGGATAAGGGAACGATTTTGTAAAATGGTTAAAAGCTCAAAAAAGATGAATTAAAGTTGAATAATTCTTCTTTTTGTAACCAAATGGTGAGAATAGACAAAGTTGTGTGAAGAGTGGCGTCCGACTCACGGTTACTCATCGGTACAGAGTAATTGCTACATTACAATGGGGCTATTCTTTCTAATGTCGTTTCCAGACAAACTTGTGCTGAGCCTGATGCACTGCAAAACATACAAGGAAATCACTATACGTGATTCGCTACAAGTAAAAAGCCCAAAATGTTAACTGAACACCAGAACCAGAGCAGTCCATGTGACGGCTTTTAGTTGTGAAAGTGTGAATACTCATGTGCAACTTTGTGACCTCTCTGTATCTTGATGCAGTTTTTTTCTATGTTGTTATTTTTAAAGAAGTATTTCTGAAATGTGAGGAGTTCTACCTTTAACTTGTTTTCCACCAGAGAATATAAAGTCCTTGTTACCATAGCAACACACTGTTTACTCTTAAGAGAAGTTAGCATTAGTAAGTAAGTAAGTAAGTAATGTTTATTTATATACCGCCTTTCACAGACAAGGGTCACAAAGCATTAGCCTTTCTTTGTTTAATTTTAGTTACAATGACCATTAAAATACATTATTTTAATGCAACCGGTGAAAAACCAAAAATTAGTTGGAATGGGAACAGTCAAAATGACGGCTCTGGGAGTTCTAACAGTTTCATAAATCTGGGAGTGTTAAAATTAAGATTAAGAGATCCTTTATTCGTCCCACAGTGGGGAAATTTCAGTGTTGCATCACAAGTTATAGAACAGTAGGAATGAGGAGCACACAGAACAAGAGAAGTGAACAATAGCTCTATACTAATTAAAATAAAACAAAATCTCTAAATCTCTAATATAACCACTTCACCTCAAATCATATCGCTTATGTTACCGCTTGACGTTTAATGTGTTTTGAATGTGTTTTTATGCCCTGTGTGGCTAAATGAATTGCCCCTGGTGGGATAATTAAAGTCGTCTGAATCGGAATATATTTTGCAGTGCAGTAGTTGTAACTGTAAAAACCTGGCGCCGGGACATCTCTCTCAGACCTCGTCCCCAGTGCGTTCTCACCTCATTCGCGGTGGTGTGTGAGCTGACGTAGAGCTGGCAGGAGCCGGGGCCCGGGTAGTGCACCGTGCAGAGCATCTCCTGCCGGTTCATCAACATGTGGATCTCCTCCCAGGACGGAACGCTTTCCCGGCACTTGGTTTTCTCCAGGGCCTCGCTGATAAACGACGCGTAGTTGTCCATCTCAGACTCCGGAGTTTGGCTTTGGACCCTGTGGAGGCGTGGAAGAGAACGGGTCTGGGTAAAAAAAGTGCCATTGTATCCACATTTTTTTATGTACTGTGATTATTAAGTTATTAAATGTTATTTGTGTATGATTTCACAGTTTTGTTAAGCACTTTGAGTTCCCTTTTTTGTATGAACTGAGCTATATAAAACTTGCCTTGCTTTTCCATTAGATTCAACACTGCAACAAGTGATGAAACGCAAGTCGAAAAATGCTCAAATTTGGCAAAATGTATCTTGATTTGAGCACATTCAAACAAAATGATCTTGTTTTAAAAAGATAGAAGAAACGTCTCCCTTGGAATGAGAACAAAAGCAGCAGTTCTTGAAATAATAATAAATGGCTTTGTCCCATTGACAAAGTTTAACACAGAATGTTCTGAAAATAAAAGAAAAACCACTCGATTTTAAGAATTACCTCGTATTTTAACCTAGCCTTGAAAGATCAAGGCTATGCTCACACTCAGAGAGCAGCCGTCCTCCTGTGGACTCACCACCTGCAGAGGGTCAGTGAGGGGCTGGTGCTATGAGACTTGGGTGGCATCTCTGATTGCCACCCCCCTGACCCAGAAATGGATTAAAGGGTAGAAAATGGATGGAAAAAATGGACCTCGTATTTTATCCTTTTTGGCAGTGAAGGTGTATGTGTGTATGTAAACGATGTACTTTGCTTGAACTAATTGCTTGAATTAAAGCTGGGGTACCTAACTTTGTCTCTCATTCATTATCCATGTTGTTTGTCCCAGCAGAAAGAGCAAAGTCAAGTCAAGTCAAATGTTGAATATGAACAATTTAGACCACAACATACAGTCTTGTAGTCCTCGTTTTAGAGAATATATTTTGCGAACTTGTAAGAAAGAGCCCTGTGAGTCATTATTTGATGCTTTGGGATGAGAACTGAACTGGAACATGTTTTTTTTTTCACTTTGTTGTATGGAAGGGCTGATCTGAAGAGGTGACACAGCCCAAAACATGAACACACAGGACGGCACGGTGGCTGAGTAGTTAGCACTCTCGCCTCTCAGCTAGAAGGTCCTGGGTTCTAATCCCAGTGGAGATTGCATGTTCTCCCCGTGCCTGCGGTGGTTTCCCCGATTTCTCCTACCACTAAAAACATGCTCACTAGGTTAAATCCTCCAGCTTTGGTCCTGACCAAGCCGAGCATCAACATCTGGAGGTGGGTTCCCGGGCGCTGTTACTACGGCGACCACTGCTCCTGACGTAAGCCTTAGTGGCGTCAGGATGGGTCAAATGCAGAGGAGGAATTGACCTACAGGGATGAATAAAGTGCACCTCTATCTACTGTACATGTAAAAAAAAGTTTTGAAAGCAAGGAACCAGTTGATTGGGATTTTGGAAGTTGTCTTGACCTTTTTCATAACTTTAACTTATTTATGAATCCTATTTTGGGACATGTTAAATTATGCTGTAAACCAGATGAAATGATCTTCGTTGTAATATTGCTGGACTTGTATTAAATCATTTTGAGCAGTGTAGATGCCTCGCCCGACGGCCACACCTCACACTCAAGCTCCGACTCCACATCTATCAGAAACTGTCCAAACTTGATTGTGCACGTTTAGCTTCTAATTACAGTTCTAGAGCGACAAGTATTTGCAGAACGGGTCCGTAGTTCACATCTGTAAAGGTTGATCAGGGCAGACTTGAGGTTTTACAACTTTTTTTTGTCGTCAATCATTGTTGACGTTTTGCCTCAGCTGTGAAATGGAAGTAGTAAAAACCAGTCATTTGACGTCAATCCTCTTAAAATTGACCAAAACAACACTAAAAACGGGATTCAAAATGTTACATTCTCTTGCGCAGAGATTGTTAACACTTATAATGAGAGTGAATCAGAAAGCACAGGCTATAACTAGAAAGCACTACTAGTACTTTCAAGTTTTGGCATAAGTACTACTATTTAGCCGTTTGTCTGGATTCCAAAAGTTACACAAGTTTACACTTTTTCCAGCTCAATATGAATGTTCACGTCCCCAAAGGAAAACAAATCCTCATTTTCAATTTCTCATGCCATAATTAGGACCGTGTGCGTCATATTGTGAATTCAGCTGGGATCTTTATTTTCGTTGGAGCGTAACTTAAAAGTCAATGAGGCAAAGAATGACTAATGTTCTCACTTTGGCACTTCAAAACATGAAAGGCCCGCGACCCCTCATCCCTTCAAAGTAAAGGAAAATGGCTCAAAGAACTCGTTTTGACATTGGTAGTGCGCTTAACAGGAAAGGTTGTTTCCGCTGGCGTGAACCGTAGCGACAGGCCACTTCCTGCCGGCGGAGCGTCCAGAGGCGAGAGGCGGAAAGCTTTAAGAGAGGGACTTGAAAGACGGGACGCAGACAGCACAGCGGTCATGGAGCGGCAAAGGTGTGAAATACAAGCGTGTGTTTACAAGAGCAAGTCTTCTCCGAGGAAAATGATATGTAGGGACATATGATAATTAAAGGAGCAGTATGTACAAATCTGGCCAAAAGTGGTACTGCAACCTCCCGCTCTCCCTGACTCAGGTTGCCAGATATGCAGAGGAATCCAGCTGGGACCATAATAACTGTTATAGATGTGTTGTTGACAAAACTCTTGTCTATTCAATCACCTTTTCCACCAAGACCCGACATAAATCCTCATTTTATTTTTAGTTTTGTCATTATTGATTTGAGAATCCTTACAAGACCTTTTTTAGTTCTGCGGCCACACGGTACTTTACCAGAGAGATTAGTTCAACGCGGTTAATCAGTTCAGTCTTCTATCAATTATTACAGATCGGGCACGGCCATCAAGTGAGTCAGGAGAGCAGATTTGAAGCAATACAAAATATTCTGATTCTGTAATGCTCTTTCCGGATTTGAAGGACAATACAAGTCATGGCTGATAACAAAAAACAAAAATAGTAAAAAAGTCAAGATATTACTTGCAATGAACAACAACTATTCAATCAACCACTGCTGCAGACAGGTTTAGTGCTGGGATGATTCTCCAGGGAACCACATGTATAACATAATAGTCAGACTTTTTCTATATGATCTTAATAACACAAAGCAGTTACAGTTGCTATAAGCCACTGGATCTGTATTTATGAATGAATAAAATGTTTGATATTGGTTGAACAGTGGAAATTACTTAGAAAAACTGCTTTTGGAAATCTAAACCACTTTAACATGCATCCGGAGGGCCACAAAAACTCTGCGGCCGTAGTTGGTACATGGCCTGCCCGCGTGGCATTGGGAGTATGGGTCAAATGCAGTGGACACATTTCCTTACAAGGACAACAAAGCATACCTTAAACATGGACTAATACGCATCTAATCACGGGCGGTATGTTAGCCATAAGTATCAGAGGTCTGTATTTCTCTTCTTGAACATAGTGAACATGGGAAGGAAGCGGTTATCACACGGACGTCCTCCCAAAGAACACAGAAGTGGGACAGCAGAAACGTCCGCTGGTTTCCTCAAATGTCTCTGTGTCTCATAACTCCAGAGCCGCAGGGTGAGATTTGTCCCGCTGAAATATAATTAGGAATGTTCCACTGACTTGGACTGATCCACTGATCCACCCCCCCCCCCCCCTCCCTCCCTGTCTCTCTGCTTTCTTTTTGTGCTGCTATTGGCTCCGACTGCAGACATTCCCCTGGGGTTTCTCTGGGCCTTTTGGGAACAGGGAGAGATAGAACTTGGACTTCAGTCAAATCTAGACTTCTTCATCAATGGTTTGAGAGTGGAGTTGATAGAAATGGACTTGGGACTTGACTAGAAACCTTAAAAATAAAAACATAAAAAGGTCTATTGGAGGATTTTCCCAAATTTTAGGAAAAGAACCGCCTTCTCCAAAAACTTCCTGGTCTTATCAGATGAGACCATGTCACCAGAATGATTGACAATTAGGAGGACCAATAGTCTTGATGATCCTGTTTAAACTGGACGTCACCATAGTAACCCACAAACGGTAAAAATTAAAGTTGGATTGTAAAGTTAGAGATTATATAAAATTACATACATATTTTTTTTACATATTTTATAGCAGGATTTTGAATGAAGTTGCTAAACATGTAAATATTTATTATTTTAGTTAAATCTAGGAATTCTGTGTTTTTTTTCTCCTGTCTGTGTAGCATTATTTTGGTCTTGGAAACGGTTGCTAGGGAGCTGAATGCTGGCTCTTGGCTCATAAAACAATCCCTATATCCTCAGACATGTGTAGTGGATAAAATATATATAATAATCTATAAATAATCTAGTATGTTATTAGTGTGTGTGTTACGATTATGGTACAAACTGATTTTTTACTTTTTAATCTAATCTAATGCCGCTTTGTCATTTAATCCCACATTTATTCAGGCCGAAAAAATAAAAAAAATTAGGGTTAGGGTTAAAAAGTACACAATTTCTTCTTGTTTAGAGTGACTGTATATTGTTATAACGGACAGATTTTTTGTCCTCATTCAGTCAAATACCGCAGGTCGGTAAAGCATTTTAACTAGCTGAGTTATTGCATTGTATTGCAGTGTAGAGAGAAAGTGAGAAAGAGGCAGAGTGAGAGGAGCTGGAGTTTGTGGAGCTTTGCCCAGGCTCCGGTCTCAGCTGCACTGATCCGGACTCAGGGGGTGCGTGAGAGCAGAGCACGGAGAATCCAAACACACATTAACTCCTGCTGCTGCTGCTGCTGCTGCTGCTGCTGCTGCTGCTGCTGCTGCTGCTGACTACAGCGCTGTACAGGGCTGCGAGCAATACCACAATCACATCTGAATCACTATTTGAAAACGTATCATAACTTACAAGCAAAGACTTCAACATTCAAATTATCTTAAATGATGACTATTTGGAAACATACAGAGATACACCGTAAAAAAAATAAAAAATAATATTACATATATGAATAGTTGTAACTTTCCTTCTCACTGCTACTCTCATGGAATCTAATGTATTGAATGTGGGGGTTTTTTCATCTTTACAAAAGCACATTTAAATCTATTCATATGGTTCAAAGCTCTAAAAAGTCTTCTTTCTCGTCATAAATTCAACTCAGAAACTCTGGAAACAGTTCCCAACTTTGGCGCCAATTTGACAAGTGTAACATTAATAATAATAATAATAATAGTCCCCCCTGGACTGCCACCTTAACGTGGTGGGGGAGTTTGAGTACTCGGATGATCCTGGGAGCTATGCTGTCTGGGGCTTCATGCCCCTGGTAGGGCCTCCCATGGCAGACAGGTCTCGGGTGACGAGTCAGACAAAGAGCAGTCCAGAAGACACCATGGACAGCACTCAAAAGAAATCAGTGACGTCGCCCGGCATGGCGCAGCCGGGGCCCCACCCTGGAGCCAGGCCTGGGGTCGGGGCTCGTAGGCGAGCGCCTGGTGGCCGGGCCTTAGCCCACGGGGCCCGGCCGGGCTCAGCCCGAATGGACGACGTGGGCAGTCCCTCCTGTGGGCCCACCACCCGCAGAGGGGTCCGTGGTGGCGAAACGGTGCTGAGAGGACTGGGCAGCAGTCGAAGGCGGAGACCTCGACGACCCAGTCCGCACACACAACAGCTGGCTCTTGGGACGTGGAACGTCACCTCACTGGAAACTCAAAGACGCTTCACATGTGTCATTATTCATTCACTCCAAACACAGTGGTGATAAACTACTACTGTAGCCACAGCTGCCCTGGGGCACACTGACAGAAGCGAGGCAACCAGTCTGTGCCATCAGCCCCTCCCACCACCACCAACCATTCAGACACACCAGACTCATTCTAGACAATGGGGGTGAAGTGTCTTGCCTAAGGACACAACGGCAGTTTGGCACTTTACAGCTGTAGCCGCCCCACTGTGGCTGGTGTTCCCAGAGGTTAAGTGTCTTGCCTAAGGACACAACGACAGCAGACATCAGTGGGAGTCGATGGTGAAAGTCGGGCTTGACTTTCTGGCCCACGACCTTCTGGTTCAAAGGTCAATGCTCTACCAACTGAGCCACTGTCGCCACATTGTAATTAACTGGATGAAAGAACCGAGACTTTAGAAAGAGGATGTATTTCGCACAGATGGTTTAACTTTACAAAATAAACCTGTTTAAGAAGTTTGTGACGTTATGAGCACAGACACTTAGAAAGTATTCATAAATAAACAATAATTTAGATCATATTTTATAAAAGCACTTTTTTGTCATAAGAAACTGCATATTTTCTCCTATACTTTATCCTATCACAGCCGTAAAGGTTTTCTGTGGCTTTGAGTGAATAACTATCTTTCTGTTGATTTTGCTGTCGTGCCATGATAAAATGTACTCAAATCGAGGTGAAAACTGCTCAAATCAAACCCGTATTGACACATGTTGCTCCTTAATCTGATCTAACACAGACATTGAAATAAATGCATGTGATGAAGGACACTCAGACGATCACTATACATCGGCCACTTCTTTAGCTTCACCCGATAGACAGGAGGCTAATTCAAACTCGCAAATCTAGGCCAGGAATATTTGATGTGTCTGAGGGGAACATGCTAACAATGTGAAAGCATATCACACGGCTATATCCACACCGGCGGTTATAGAGCTGGCGCCTGTGTTTGGGTCCCCAGTCTAGCCCCGGGATGTTTCAGAAGCTCTGCAGCAGTACTACACACCGCCGCGTTCCGTCTGATTTAAACTTGCACGGTTGCCAGCACCTGGAAAAGCAATTACGACTTTACAGGTCTATTATTATTTTAACTGTCAACTTGTCAGTCCCTTAACATGCAGGCAGGCAGCGGGAGCTCTCGTGCACCTCAGCGCAGACTGGATGGTCAAGAAGGACGTCTAAAAATAAACATAATTCCCACGATGAGCGGGCTATTCAGTTACTAAAATACTCTATTCTAGCCTGTTACTGATCAACTGATTTGGGGAAGCAAAGCACATCTGCTGTCAGCCTAAAGATAAAATAAGCTTTCTTGATCTTGATGGTATATTTGTTCGGGTTGACCAGGTGTCTAAAGATTACGATTTGTTTTGAACACTTGAACACGTACTATATAGAAGGGTTTTTCTATGCACTTTTTGAAAAAACTCTGGTCTTATTTGACGAGCAAGTATCAGCAGAATGATACGTGACAATTGGGAGGATCAATAGCCTTGATCCACTCTGAAGTAGAAAATCCTCAAAACAAAAAAAAGACAGAAAAAAAGGAAAATGTATTATAAAATCCATGTCACTCCTGTCCGGCTTTAAAACAGTTTGGTTCTGTCATTAGTTAGTCATGTTTTTTAGTCTCTGTCACATCTTAAGCTGTTTCCAGACAGAAAATAAAATAAAAGATAGGACTTCTCTCCCTCAGTCAATCAGCTCTCTGTCCAAAGCGCCACATATTACCTCACAGGGTACATTATTGGCCCCCAACAGCACCGCATTAAAGGCTAGAATGTAATAAGAGAAAAAACTAAGACGGATATCAAACAAAACTGACTTTTTCCTAATTTTAGAAAATATTGACAGTCTTAAAAAAAACTAAAGCTGATGTCTTATCGCTTTATATTTTATTCTTAGCTGGGTAGTGCACCATTAAGTCAGCTTTCTTTCAGCTACCTAAAGTAGTAGCTCGCTGCACAGCAAAAAATTATGAAAGATAAGTAAAAAAAATCCTCACATTTGTTACAATGTATCATAATTCTAGCATAAAAACTGCCTTAAAACACGATTTACCAATGGGACGCGCAGAATTTACTACAAGCTACAAGAACTGTCTCGTTTGGAAAGAGAAAATAAAGCAACAGTTCTTGAAATTAGACTAAATGGCTTTGTCCTATTGGTGAATCCTCTTTAACACAGTCGGAATGAACTCAAATGAAGATTAAAAAAACCACTTCATTCAAGCTTTTAATATCTCATCTTGTATCAGTTTTTGCAGTGTAATGTTCCATTGCCAAAAGAGTTAAGACTTCAAATATGTTCTGGAAGCACTTCAATCAAGCCCTTAATTGCTTTATATGTTTTATTCTATCCTGGGAAATGCACCATTACTTTCTTCGGTTCCCAAAAATGTAAGTCCCTTGTGGTTCTGTCCTGATAAAGTCTCTCTAAATGGGGGTAGTGTTTGAGTGCCCAGATCTGAAAGAAGGCCTGGTGTACCTCTTGAGGTGGAAGCGCAGGTACTTGAGCACGATGGGCCCCGGTAGGAAGGTGCAGCTCATGCAGGTGAGGAGCTGCCAGTATCGCAGGTGTGCCGCGGAGCAGGGGGTGGGGCTGTGGCTGGTCTGCTTCACCAGCTGACAGTAGACCTCGTCCCGCAGCGGCCGGAGGTCCAGGCAGGTCTGCAGCACGCCCTGGATGATGGGGACGGCCTCGCGCGCACACTCCAGCTGCTGCAGGCAGTTGAACATCTTCACCGCCTCCTCGCGCACGGAGCCGTAGCCTTTTCCACTGTGGTCTGTGCACAAACGCAGCATCTCGCATTTAATCATCAGCTGCAAAGACAACAAGTACTGGAGGAATGTCAATGCAAATCCTCGTTTGTCCAGGATTTAATGGAAGAAAGGGTTTAGTCGAGTACTGATTGGGGGCCTCATTTATAGAGGGTGCATACTGTACGTACAAAACTGTCCATTTCCACGTGAAGTTTGTGATAATAATAATAATAATACTTTATACACAGTGGTGATGAACAACTAGTGTAGCCACAGCTGCCCTACGGCAACATCCAACCACCACCAACCATTCACACACACACCAGACTCATTCTAGCCAATGTGAAGTGTCTTGCCTAAGGACACAATCACAGTTTGGCACCCGGTGTTCCCAGAGGTCTCCCATCACAGTACTTAACCAGGCCTTGCACTGCTTAGGTTCAGATTTCTGACATGATCTGGCTTTCACTTGCAGCTGGCGCCACTGGTGATTGAGGATTTGGGCAAAAAACTTTTGGATTTTTTGGATGTAGCAGCTTTCAGTAATCTGACTCATGCTCAGAAAAATGAGGTAGTTTTTGTTAGTAAGGCCCCGAGAAAGTGAATCCTTTTTGGATATATAAGAGTCCAGTCTCTTCTTCACTTTGAGACGGAATACATTTTAAAACCTTAGATTCCAGCCTTTGAAATCTTGTCTTCCATTCCAGGCTGAACAAGGCCTAAACTCACATCTGTGCTCTGGGCTGCCGTAGGGGAAGGGCAGCAGCGGCGCGTACAGGGGCCCCTGCGTGTACTTCAGGATGGGGTTGTGCTTGAAGATGTGCTCCACGACCTCCGGGTTGAACTTATTTTCCTAAAAAAAAACAGGAAACGTAGAAAACATGTGACAATGATCTCAATAGATAAACTGTTGTGTGTACGCGTAAACATTTTTGCGCTATATTGCGATGGTAACTAACTTTTAGAGTTTTATATACTTGTTTCTGCTGCTGGACACCTGAATTTCTCGATCTATCTATCTACATTCTATTTCTTCTTGAATAGCACTAAATCACAATCGCAAAGGATTTCACAAAGCTGTCAATGGTCAGGGAATCAAACAGTTCAAACACAAGAAATGCAATGATGAAAAACAGACTCATTTGTCCACAAGGGGGCGGATGACCAACGTCCATAAATGCTGATCAATTCCATGGATCTATAATAATAACTGGATAGGGTATTACTAGTTTACAGCTGTCCCACCCATGGGCACAGGGGGCGCTGTGGTACTGCCGACGAAATTCACGAGGGCTACCCAGAAAAAAAGTCCTATAGAACTCAATGTAAATTAAAACAGCTCGACCTCAGCTGACAGAGAACCTGACAGAGAACCTACAGCTTTCAAAAAGTTTGTATTTTGTGGGGATTTTTGTACCCCTTGTCATCCTGAACTTTTTTTCTTCTTAAATCCTTCTTAAAACTCTGCTCTTTTCCTTCCCGCTCTGACTCCGCTCTACTGCTGCTCTGATTGGTCAGCCCCAGTGCACGTGCATGAGAACTACACACATGTATTTGGCACAACACACCATGGGAGCTCATCCACTGTGCAGAACCTAGAGGACCAGACGATGCCCAAATATAGCAGAGTTCTGCTAATCTCCCGGTCCCCGTGAAGTCCCATGCGCTACTGAGCACAAGCCATTCATTTGAAGAGGGCGCCATCTTGGATCAATGGGGCTTGATAAATTCCCATACTTTTTGTTGAATATTGAGTGTCCTGGATCCCCACCACTGTCCTTAGACGCTCCTGGATTGGCAAGAATAAAAGAGGCCCACAGACATACAGCCAGGACTCAGGCTGTAAGTCTCCAGTAGTAGAAAAATAGTTGCGTGAGTGATTTAGTGTTTGCGTGACTGTGCATAGAGGTGACGAGGGTCGATCTGGCCTGAGCTCTGGTATCTTTCAAAGCCACGGAAAGGTCAACAAGTGATGACCCAGCAAACCGCACTGGCATCACTGACACGTTATATTTTATCCACAGGTGTCAGAGAGTTTACTGTGGGACTGCGTCTGTCAGGAGCTGTGTGAAAAGATGCCTCTGAGCCGTGCAGATGGTGTCCGTGCTGCTCTCCGCCACCTGTTGCTCATTAGTAACTTTGCCACTGCCTGTGTGACCCCTGACCTGCCCGCATGACCTCAGGAAACCTCTTCACTGGGACAAAGTTACACCTCCTCCTCTTCTGCACACCGGAGACTAGAGATGAGATGGTGATGATGATTGGTCGGACCATTTTAAAAGGACAGCTTTCGTTAAGGGAGATGTCAGCAAATCAAATTGTGTTTTAAAGATGCAGTCAGGGATTTTTTCCAGACGCATTATAACAACTATTGTCGGAAAACATCACTAAACCCAAAAAGTAGTCAAGTTATCATGTGTTTTCAAATAGTAATGGAATTGACCAGATGCCTATAGTCTACAATAATTAATGAAATATATTTGGGAGCGGATCGATAAAAATAAAACAATGGGATGCCTTTACCCCTTCACCCTCTTCCTGTTTTTCGCGAGTGCACCTGAGGCATCGGATTTTCTAAAACCTAAAATGGCTGAACAGAAAATGCCAGTTTAACGTTTGCTCCACTCTCCCTGTTGTGACAAAGAAAAGAAAATGCTGGATGTTTGGTGGACAAAATCGCTTACTGCACATTTAATTTATAGAAATATTGTATATTTCTGGCACTATCAGCAAGTACTTTTCAACAATATCATAATTAAAATAGTCCCTCCCCTTGGCAAACAAAACACCAGTAAGATTTTCTGGAGAATAGTTAAACCAATAACGATGGGCCTCAAGGATTTCAATACATCAGGAAGACATCAGGAAGCTGTCAAACTTGTGCTTCTATGTAGTAATATAAATAGTTTTCACAAACCATAAAGTTAACACAGTCTCTCTGCTTGACATAATCAGAATTGTAAGTCACACGAAGAATTTGCTTTAGCATATGGAGCAAAAAAGTAGCAAAAAAAGTAAAAATACCAGATAAAAAGGCTTGCTTAGTGATAAAAATAGTCCAACACTAGTAAGATTTACTTGAGGAGAATCGCTCTGCCAATGGTAAGGGGCCTCATCTGCCTATCAATGATTTAAATCCATTTTGTCCAATCAGGAAGCAGTGGGAAAGAGAATGGGCTAACCTATGTGCTTACTTTGAACAAAAAAAATCTCCCTCCACAATTCATAACATAACATACATTCACTTAAAATAGTCTTGTCGGGCAGGAGCGCTGTTGTGTCCAATCTCTGTCTGGTATACACTGGGGTAGTCTTGCACAGTTTTTCCAATGGGGTTTTACCGCAAATGGCAACTAAATTCTTGAATCTTGAATCTGATGACCGGTGACTGTCTGTTTGAACTGTGGGGACCTCAGCTCTGGAGCCCATGTGTCCAGCTCCACGCCATACTCCAAAGGACAGAGCTGAGAGGGCGCTGCTCTCCTGTTTCCGAGTGCCTCCATCTGGTTCTCGCGGCGCGGCGGCGTGCAAGCCTCAGATCTTTTTCAACATGTGCTGCGTGTAAGAAACATTAGAGTTGTATATCACTCCGCGCCAAGTCGGACGGATATCCAACATCAGATGTGTTGTAAAAGCTACCGTCCTGGGATTGTGCTGATTCGTGTTCGGGGTAAACTCGCTGTCAGGTCAGTGTACTCTTGAGTGCATGGTTTTAGAATGCCGACAGTGCATATTTATTTGTATAGCACATTACGCAGAACAAGGTCACACAAAGCTCTTTACAATTCTTGGTGTACCCGGTATCGGGCGACAGTAGCTCAGTTGGTAGAGCATTGGCCTTAAGCCCAGAAGGTCGTGGGTTCAATTCCCACCTCTGCACCTTCTCCACCGACTCCCACTAATGACTGCTGTCGTTGTGTCCTTGGGCAAGACACTTAACCCCACTTTGCCCAAAGCCCCCACTGAAAGATCAAGGCTATGCTCACACTCAGAGAGCAGCCGTCCTCCTGTGGACTCACCACCTGCAGAGGGTCAGTGAGGGGCTGGTGCTATGAGACTTGGGTGGCATCTCTGACTGCCACCCCCCTGACCCAGAAATGGATTAAAGGGTAGAAAATGGATGGAAAATGGATGGGTCCTGGTTCATTTTCAGTCAGACATGGCTCAGTCCAGTCCCGGTCTATAATCCAGACTTCAGACTGACTTTGCTACCAACTAATTTTCATGTTTATTGTGTTAAAAGTGTAGTCGGGTATAAAGAAGAACTATCAATTTCTAAATATTCCATTGGCAATTATTGTCAAAAAAGGCTCAAAACTATCTCAATGAATACATTAAAAAATCCAATTGTATTTACATTTATTGGGATTTATCTTCCAGTCCTAGGGTACTTATTAACAAATGTACTTTAAAACAATATAAACACAGCTCTCATTTACTTCTATCTTCAATGGGGCCTAAAGCTAAAATGTAAAAGTCATATCGAGGATCACCGGTGACGTCTGCAGCGGAGTATCCTGCAGATAAGCGGCGTGTGGCACTTCTACAATGGCCCCTCAGTTCTTGCGTCGGTCGCAGTGGCCGGCTAATCTCACACTTACCAGGGAAAATACCTCACCTATTTATGAAAGTGTGTCTGAGGCGAAAGGTGAAGGAAGCAGCAAAAGAGCCCTCAAGACAAACTAAAGCCAGTACAGCCAACGGGAAGACCAGGGCAATTGTTTTATATGGCACATTTCATGCAAGGAGGAAACTCAATCTAAGTGTAGGGAAGTCCAACCAAGTGAGTCTATATTTTAGTCGTAAAAGAGGTCAGTGTTGGAGCACAGGCCTCTCCATTTATAGAGAGCATCAGGGGAAACAGTTGCTTGTCTGATTTTCAGCTTCACTCGAGGAACGACAAAAAGGTTGAGACAGAAGAATCCAGGTGAAGGCTGCACTTTTGTTGGGTCTAAATGTTGTTTTGCCTGGAATGTTCCTCAGCAAGACTTTTTTTTTCCATTGTCGTTAAAGATTTTTTTGATTAAAGGAGCAGTATGTAAAAATCTGGCCAAAAGTGGTACTGCAACCGCTCGCACTCTCCCTGACTCAGGTTGCCAGATATGCAGACGAATCCAGCTTGGACCATAACAGCTGAATAGACAAGAGTTTTGTCAACAACAAATCTATAACCAACACCTTTTTCACAAAGATAGAGATCCTGGTTTTATTCCTTGTTTTGGGCGGCACGGTGGCTGAGTGGATAGCACTCTCGCCTCTCAGCAAGAAGGTCCTGGGTTCGAATCCCGGTCGGACCAGGGCCTTTCTGAGTGGAGTTTGCATGTTCTTCCCGTGTCTGCGTAGGTTTCCTCCGGGTACTCCGGTTTCCCCTACCGCTATAAATATGTAAAATAGTTCTGGCATGCGCCTCCTGTACTGGCAACCCCGCTCCCATCTCTGTGTGGAGTGAGAGACAAGTGCCCAAAAAAAATAACAATTGTAAACCGCTTTGAGACTCAGCTCTGCAGTGAAAAGGCGGTATATAAATAATTACTTACTTACTTACTACTACTTTGTCGTAAATGAGAGAATTATATCAAGACCTTTTTTAGTTCTGCGGCCACATGGTACTTTACCAGTGACATTAGCTCGACGCGGTGAGTTCTGGCGCCCGGATCACAAACTTTCTGATTGGTTAAACGGTGGAGGGCGGGACATCGAAATGCAAACAATAAGATTTAGAGGCTGGAAAAGTAATTTTGAAATCAAAATATCTCTGAACTACTGTTATCAGTTAAAGAAGTATTTGAAAAGAGCATGTTTTATGAATGACTTTTGACAGATTAGGGCCCTTTAATGATGAATTGACATGAAAATCTTACATATTGCTACTTTAAGTTATGAAAAGACCCCTAATTAATCGTGAATTTATTTTTATTTTTTTATATAACATTGAGATACATCCTAAGCAAGTGGATAGCGCATAGCATCTTTATAAATTCAAACATACTCCAGACTTTTTTTATTCCAAACAAGAACGTCTATATCTTAAAGCTGGGGTACCTAACTCCCAAACCACAGAAAACAGAATTCCATGAAACTAGCTCAGTGCAAAAGAGAGGACCAGCGCTGAGCCAAAAGCATCAAATAGTCCCTCACATGGTGCTTTCCAACCTCTGCCAAAGGATTCTGATTTCTTACAGAAGTCTTTCGGTTGGTGACAAACAACATATGTTATTTAGTTGCTCCTTAAATGTTTTTGAAGGTTTTTTAAGACATAAGATAAGACTTGCCATCAAATCTGTGCAGACAGGTCCAGACAGGGGCAGATTAATCACTTTCTTTCAGATTACAACCCTGGTTTGGAGATTATGAGAGACTGAACACGCAGCGGCATCTGGCCTTTAACGTTACATGACCTTCCTAATCTCGACTGCCAAAAACCAGCACCACCACCACCCCCCTCACCTCACCCCGGGGCAGAGCAGTGCACGAGGGTCATCTGTCCGTCTCAATGAGATTTCTGCACGTTCTGTTCTCTGGCGTCTCCATGTCTAAAAATACAACCGTGCCCTAAAAACAGACTTCTAACACACCGGGTTCTACATAGCGGTGTGTACGTTAGAATGAGACTGTATTAAAGAACACATATCATGAATCATTTGGGTTCCCACTGGACCATGCAGCAGAAACAGGAGATGAACATCCACGCTCCACATCAGAGAGCAGCAAAGTGATCACGGGGATCAAAACAGGAGCTAAACCAGGACTAAACCAGGACTAAACAGGATTAAACCAGGACTAAACCAGGACTAAACCAGGACTAAACCAGGATTAAACCAGGACTAAACCAGAGCTGAACCAGGGCTGAGGACGGGGGTCAGTGCTTGTAAAAATATGTCTTTACCATGAGTTTATACTACGACTGTAAAAGTGCCGCAACAGAAGTACCGGCGTCAGCATCAAAGCTCCGCCCACCTCTGTTCATGATGATAGTCTGGTGCTCCTCATTCCTTCTGTTCTGTAACTTGTGATGCAACACTGAAATTTTTCCACTCTTAATCTTAATCTTATAATGTGGGTAAACATTAGAAAACAGTAAATAGTACTTAAATCCTGCCCTTTAGGACTAAATTGAGTGTAAGAGTGTGTTTCTCTCACTTCCTGCTGAGAAAACATGAGGAAATGCATGTGTTTTTCTGTTTAATGAAATGAAGAATAACTGACTTTTTACTACGAAGGCAGCGAATCAAAGGCAACCCCTGCGGATATCCCCATTGGCTGGTGCTGAAAAGCCTTTGTATTGAATTTATTATCGCATTTCATCATTTATCAGAAGTTCTGCCAGAGCCGTAAGCCCCAATGATTCACAGGAAAGTCAGAGGAAAGTTTGGATTGCCCAGCGGTCTCCACGGCAACAGGGCGCCGAGACAGTCATGTGTTTACCAAAGGAGTTTCTGCAGAAGCGGCAAAAGTACACGTTCCACACTTACATGGATAACAGCTATGATTCAATGGACTTAGAAGCATGGCTAACCACACTGAGATACCTTAGGAGCAACCACAATTAGTTGATTAACTTAGAAGCGTGGCTAACCCCAATGAGTTGACCTGGGAGCAACCACAATGAATTTATGAACTTTGAAGCATGGCTAACCACAATGAGCCAACTTAGGAGCAACCGCAATGTATTGATGACTTTAGAAGCCTGGCTAACCACACTTTACCGCCACCGCACTGTGAAACCTGGTGTTCCCAGAGGTCTACTACTGCTACTACTACCACTACTGCTATTACTGCTAGTACTACTACTGCTACTACCACTACCACTACTACTACTACTGCCACTACTACTACTACTACTACTACCACTACTCCTACTACTGCACAGAGCGTGTATTACCTCGATGTCCTTGACGAGGAGCTGTGTGGGCGTCTCCACTGGAGCTTTGGTGTCGATGATCTTCTGGACGGCGCAGGCCCAGTGCACGGCCTCGTTGAAGTGTTTGGTGTAGAGTCTGTAGCAGTGTTTCCGTCCGTACACCGTCAGGCTCCAATACCCTGCATCAAACACACGTCGCTCAAACTTCAAACGTTTAAAGTGAGTCCAAAACACGCATTTTGGACCCATTGAAAAAACCAAAAAACAAAAAATCTTGTGTGTTTTTTCAACTTTTAAAAAATATGCAAAAAGTTGGAATGGTAATATTGTTCCTCCTGTGGACTCACCACCTGCAGAGGGTCAGTGAGGGGCTGGTGCTATGAGACTTGGGTGGCATCTCTGACTGCCACCCCCCTGACCCAGAAATGGATTAAAGGGTAGAAAATGGATGGATGGATGGATGGGTAATATTGTTATGCACAGTCACTGTAGGCGTATGAAGTTCCTGTGAAAAATGCAAAAATAATTGAGAGTTTGAACACAAAACTGACTATAGAGTGATAAAAATAGATTGACATTTTTCTTTCTTATTTAGTCAATGTCTGAATTATTGTTTCTATTTGATTTATGTTGTTTTGTTTTTTATGGATAGTAACCCAGCCCTACGATGGATGCTAACCAGCTATGGATACACAGTGTGGTTGTTTTCAGCTCAAAAAGTAAAGAGGTCATAACTGCAGTTTCCAAAGATTCAGAAACAAAATTAGAAAAAGAATTCCAAGTATTGCGGTCATCACTCACCACAGCCCTGAGCGATACGTCTAAGTTTGAGCTTATTTTTTATTCTCAGAAACCCTAAGGTGAAACAAATGGGATTTTCATTTCTGGAAGTGCAATGAAGGCGATCACTTCAGAGCTCCCATACAGCCGATAAAACACAGCCGAGATGACTAATAACTCAATGTTCATTACTTGCAGCCATAGAAATGACATCACTGATTTGGCCCAGTCTCTCACTACAGCCTAAACCTTACAGGACAATACCAAATTCTGTGATATCATCAGAAATCCGGCAACAGCGAGCACAGGTCGGGGTCAAAACAGGGACTACGGTAGCCTGGCCTTAGCCATCTGTAATCTCCGCTCAATCCTCATTTCCTGCATGTAACGTCTGGGTCTGGTCCCTGTTCTGGCGATTACAATCGGTTGAATTTTATCCGACCAATCATCTAGCTTGGGAGGCGGGTGTTGTAGTTAGTTCTGGGTGACGTCAAGAGTTTGCGTCGAACGGGAAGGTTGTAGTTTGGCAACGGCGAAGAATGCGATAGTAAAGTAATCCGGTCTGGTTCTATCAAGAAATTGAAGCAGGAGCAAGAGGAATGTTTAGCAAATGTAATCGGTGGCAAAGATTGTGGCGTTACTGCCCACGGGCTCCGTTAGCGGCAAAGGAGATGGCTAGGCTAAATGCTAAATGCTAACCACTCACTCGGGCTCATTACATACGTGACGTTAAACTCAGATCCAATCGTTTCAATCTGCAAAAGGAGTTAACCCCTCCCACCTCTTAACGGAGCCAAATGGAGCAAAGCCAGACCTTAGGCCGAAATGTCATTTGTACTATGGTGTAGGGCTGGGCGATATGGCAAAAAAGTAAAATCTCGATTTTATTTCCTGCTTTAGGCGATGTCAATTTTAAATTGATTTTCATTAAAGTCACTTTAGACAGACTTTGCCCTTAAAATATTTTTCATCTTCCCGCTCAATATTCAAGTTTCAAAACTATTTTTTATTTGTTTCCCCCAATACATATTATAAAAGTCTTGTACAGACTGCACTGATATTGCAAGTATAATTGATGTGCTGCTGGAACTCTCACAATATCCCTCATTCGATTTCACAATGTTCATATTTTTCACGAATTCGATTTTTTCAAAAGCCAATGAATTGCCAAAATTCGATTTATTGCCCAGCCCTACTATGGTGTGGTACAACCAGGCTAGGACTACACCAAAAACAAACACTCTGTTGACCTGGGACACAAGTGTTGACCTCGGCATGTGTCTCGCTTAAAGGAATGTGCAACAATTGTGAAAACGGTGCACTTCCTGCGGACGCGGGGGAAGTATTTCAGCCTTTACAGCAGGCATCCCCGCAGCTGTAGCCCCTCTGCTGTTATCTGGCTTTCCTGCGACGTGACTTGGCACAACACGCAGATATCTTTGTGTAGGTTATTATAAAAAAGCAGAGATTACACAACTGTAGAGACCACGGTGTAAGTTTATGGAGATTCAGTGCCTTGCAAAAGTATTCATACACTGTTACAGCCACAAACATCAAGACAGCATTAGTATAAGTGGCCAGTGTCAAACATGGTGGTGGCAGTGTTATGCTGTGGGGCTGCTTTTCTTCAGCAGGGACAGGGAGGGGTTTATAGGTGGTGAATGGAGCAAAATACAAGAAGGACATGAAAAGATGTTGAAGATGGGGATTCCACACCTAATGTTCACATGCTCTATTGTTTCTTATGCAAACCCCGCTTTTCAGTTTTTCATTATTATTATTTTGGATTTACAAAATAAAAGCCAGTATTTTTTTCTTATGAGCGTAATGTCGCAAAAAAGACAACAAATATTTATATAGCTGGAAAACCAGGAACACATGAAGGTAAATGAGTGTAAAATCTATGCAAGTAATATTTTTATAGTTCGGGTTTTTTTTTCTTTTTTTGATAATACTAATTTTGACCCACTTGCAAAACATATAACTCACAAAGAAGACTTTATAGCTAACAAATAGAGCATGTATAAAAATGCATTCCAGCACGTGTTTATTGAGGTTTAGTTAGTGACTGAATATTTGAAGTCTACGTAGAGTACCAGTTGCCGTCTTAGAAATAGAATATCTTTATTTTTCGGACAAATCCAGCCTTGGAAAACATTCTCATTATACAGAAGACCATTTTTTTGTTTTTTATTAATGTAATACTTTCTGATAAGAGTTTAGCTGAACACAAAGACACTGCGATCCTGTTGGTTTGGACAAAGAAGCCGTTGAAAAGGCGCAAAAAAGTCCCGTGGATATTGAGTTAGCAAGAACTATAGTGGTGTCCATGGTTTAGTGAAGTTCACGGGACATAGGCCTCTCTATTGACGGAGACAGGGATTCCTAGACGCGGCACAAGTACCAAGAACAAGTCACGACTGTTTGGCCCGGACACATCAGAGAAAGTCCTCCTTATTCTTCTTTGTTAGCCCATTTCCACAGAGGGGAAGTGTAAGGCCTGGCTGATTGCTTAAATGTGAGCTTTCTGAACCAATACTTGCTAAACACAGTTGGACTTTCCCCAACTTACCCCGGGTCGTTCAGGAGGAAACACTGATCATAAGGCATATCTATGTGTTTATCAGAGAGGCGTGACAGTGTGGACCCAGCAATCCAACCAATTGTGTTTCTGTGTCGCGTTCAATGTGTGTTACTGTTATCGTTACATCATCCAATATGTTTTCAGCTCCACTGAAAAAAGTGATGAAAAATAAAGAAATTGGCTCAAATTTGGCAAAATGTATCTTAATTTAAGAACATTACGACAGCCTTTGAACAAAATGAGCCAATGGAGCAGTTCTAAAAGTAAGACTATATGGCTTTGTCCCTTTGGCAAATCTTGTATTACCTGAATTTTGATCCTTTTTTTGCAGTTTGCTTTAACCCCGTAGCAACCTTGGTTATGCACATAAAGTTAAACTAAACGGTTGTGGCAATAGAAGTATGACTTTTTTTAGTTTAATGCATTAAGAACCCAAATAAGTAAATATTCTACCAAACATTGCCAAATTTGGTCATTGAATGGTGCTTTCCAAAAATATGTTGGAATATCTGGGTTCTACGGGGTTAAAACAATTAGTATTTTTTTTTTATGTTTTGCGACCTTAGCTAAACCAAGCTCCCATTTAGATTTCAGAACGTCCTTTTCCAGGCCCAGGATCGGAGGAGTCTATTGTACATCACAGCACCCGGAGAGAACCTAGGCGTTCACTGGTAGAATATGCAAACTCACGAGTACAACCCAGGGTCTTCATGCTTTTGGGCGAGAGCTTTAACTGCAGCTCTAAGGAAACATTTGTCTATAGTTCCTCCCCTTGGACATAATCAAAACACAAGAGCCAAGAAAGATAAGGAACACATTTGATCCAGACCACACTTTGGAAAAGTCTGAGCCAAATCCGTTTTATTTATTTATGGTGGTTGGTTTGCCAACACATTGACTAATATGCATTCTAACGAACGTCACAAATTAGAGCTAGGGTACCAAACTTAAGTGTAGAAACGTTCTGTCTCTAATTTATTACATTATTTTTTGCGAGAAAGTTCCCTATCAGATGCTATTTGACGCTTCGGGCCGATAGCTGTTTGGCCCAGTGAATTGGATCCACTATTTTGCACTTTTCCATCTGAAAAACTGAACTAAAGATATGACACAGGCACGGTGGCTGAGAGGATAGCACTCTCGCTTCTCAGCAAGGAGGTCCTGGGTTCCAATCCCGGTCGTGTGTGGACCAGTGGGGGCGGGTCCCAGCTCAAAAGTGGCCAAAATGACTTGCGCTGACATGCTGCAATACCACCCCAGGCCGATGGGGGTGGACCCAGAATAAGAATTAGCCAATGCTAACATATAGCATCTTCTGACCTCTCTAAAACGTCTTTACAGGATGGACCAAAAGTTGGCTCTTGGCCCAAAGCTCCGTTCCACATGTGTGTCAGTGCTGAGGGGGGTGTTCTGGACCAGTCTAGTTTAGTCGCTGTGAATTTTTGAAGTCACTTGTTTAAATGAATGGAGCTTGTGCAGCTGACGCATGCGCCGATGCGTTTTTTCACATTTTCCACCCCCCACTGCCATTTTGAATCACTCCATGAAAGCCCAATTTTTGGCCCATTAGTTAGAACGACGGAGATAGGCGTGACTACGTCCGTTAATATTTACAGTCTATGGTGTGGAGAGAATGGAAAACTATCTGAACTCTGAACAACTGTAAAGCGTGACCTTTGGGTGAACTTGGTCTGCAAAATGCGCTATTTAAATAAACATGACATTAGTACTTACTCACATAGGCCAAAAATGTGATGCTTGTAAATACTAATAGTCAGAACCATACGAAGCTAGTTCAACATATAGTCATATAGTTCCTTTTGTTTGTGTTTTGAAGTTAGGTACCCCGACCCCGAAGAAGTATTCCTGCATGAGTTCCTGATTCTGGTGATGTAAACTCACCGGTCTCCTTGTAGGTCTGTTTGTCGGGCCAGATGACGGAGCAGAGGTTGGTGAGGACCAGTGTTCCCAGTCGGCGCGCTCCCTTCTCTGGACCGGTGTAATAGTCCAGAGAGTCCTGACTAAGCACAAACCAGTAACGCCGCTGCTTTATCCAGTTCCCCCGCACCTCACGGAGCAGCCACCCTGCCACACACAACACAATGTTTTAAAGATTAATGAAAAAGATCTCAAAAAAGGAAATATTGTATCACAGCAGTGGTTCTCAAACGGTGGTACATTACAACAGGGATGTACCAAAAGCTGTCTTTTTGTGGTAAATCCACGACCATAACATGTGTTCTTTAAGTTCAACAACAGGTATGGACATTTATCATCATTTATGGACATTGGTCTCTGCCCCTTATGGACTTCTTTCTGTGTTTTTTATCACTTTTTTGTGTTTGAAGTGCTTGATTTTCTGATCTGTGACGGCAAATTCAACAGTTTTGTAAAGTCTTCTGAGATAACTACTGTTGCGATTTAGGGCCATACAAAAATACATTGAATCAAATTGAAAGTTAATCATTTAGTTGATACCCCATTGGTTGAAAGTTGAAACCTAATTTCAAGCTACTCATCCCTCTTGTGCATTAAGCCTCCAATTCCTGTAAATTCCACGGCCGCCTTGCATCGACTGCACATTTGCGATCTCCACAGAGCAGATGAATGATGTTATGAATGGAAAATAGAAAACATTGTCATTCATAAATTTGGCCAAAACAATTAAATCTCCCTCTAGCTGGGTGAGCACACGCATAACTGCATATACCGGCTTCATTCACTGACAAAATATAATTCTTCCCTCTGCTTATGAGAGTGGACAGACAGATGTAAAACTGCACATTTGGTCTTTTTTTTATTTTTTTCTCAAGTTTCTTTTCCCTCCGTCGTCGGCCTTGAACTACCGAAACCCCTTGTGCAGAGGTTGATATTACGTCTCCATCTGGCCACCTTATGCACACAGTCTGAGTCTAAAGGCATGAGTCTGATGCTGCCTCTCTTGTTCAAATAAGTAAGTCGTAGGGAATAAAAATACAGTGTTCTAAAAGCATAGACCTAAACCTTTCGTGTAGACTGCGTAATTGCCACTCAAGAGGTTGCCACGAGTGAGTAGCGTTAACCTATAAGTACAAGTGCTGTAGCATGAGAGTGGAAGATTAGATTTGGACCAGGCCAGAGCTTTTCCAATCAACAAATTAATGTGCGTTTTGGGCCGGGAGCTTTTTGCAACAAATCCCCAGACAACAGAAATGCCCGGCCCTCCTCCGGTTATGCGCGCAAATTGTTCCTAATAAATATTTAATCCCACAACTGGATAAATAAACTTTGGAAAGAAAAGAAGTTGCCAGATGTTGCCCCTGGGAGAATGGAAAGAGGAGAGCTGGTCAAAAGGCTAAAGTTCACGAATAGGGGACTAAAGCGGGGGGAAACTAAACTATTTGTAAATATATCGGACGAAAAAGCAGAGTCCTGAAGGAAGACATTGTGTTCCTGTCTGCTGCAGTTAGAATCTCTGACTGTTTTAGATATGGGTCTAAACTAAATCAGTTCCTCCACTTACATTCGGAAAATTGCAGCGTACACGTCCACATTAGCACGCTAGATTTGTATTCATTTGTGCCAAAATGCCTGTGCGATACTCTAATCGTATATGTGTGTCACGGATTGGTGAAAGTACCGAAGAACGAATAGTTAGATCGTGAAACTAGGGCAAAAAATATATTTATTTTGTATTCATTTTTGTTTTTAGATGTGAAATACTAATAATTAAGTAATGGAATAATTGTTCCCTGGTTTATGTAGGCTTATGTAGACTTGTGGCCTTAAAGCTGGGGTACGCAACTTCTAAACCACAATATTAAAACTCCTTTAAAAACTTCTTGAACGCAGAACAGTTTGGTTCTATAGATTTCACATGCGGGTATCTTTGGATCAGCTTTTTTAAGACAGCGGAAAAGACAGGACCACCCTCCCTCGGCCAATCAGCTCTCAGCATAAAGAATCCAGTAGTGACACGGACGGCTCTTTCTTACAAGTTTGCAAATATGTGTATGCAAGTAGTGGTCTGATTTAACCTTTAGACTTTTCTGTTGGGAAAACTGCATGTATCATTAGTGAAGAAAGGTAATTAAGCCATGTTACTCTACGTCTATTGAGGAGGTCCTTCAAAATCACAGTAACCACCTAATTGAATGAATGGAAGGAATCAAACAGAAAAAAATATATGTGTTAGTACAATTAAATACAGCCTTAATGGTAACCGTTCATGTATTGTTCTACTAGGGATGTAAAAAACTATGAATTTTCATGACCGACCACCGAGCCTCATTAACCGGTTGAAACCGGTTAACCGCGTAGTTTAAAATAGTCCACGTTCTTTGAAATAACAGCCATTTCGAGCCGCGTACTTTTCATAAGTGCAGCTCTGCGTTCTACTGGATCAGAGCCGAGACAGCGGCGCCCAAACCCGCAACAGCTCCGGCACCTTTGCGCACAGAGAACTCCTTTTTTAATCTTCCCATTCTGCTGTGCTGCGGGTTAATACCAAAACTTTCTAGCAGCAAACGACGGCTCGTTCACATGGTCAGAGCAGCGAGTGACGAGCCGCGTCTCACAGGTCTTCACAAAAGTTTAAATACAAGTGATGTGTGTGGAGCTGATCCCGAGGACCATAAACACAAACATGTTTCCCCTACAGCAAAACATGTAGGGGAAATACGCGACTCCCAAAAGGAGCTGCGTATTTGCGCGAATCCTTTGGGCTCCGTGACACAGAGGAGCGCGACAGACCGGTATGTGTGTGTGTATGTATGTGTGTGTGTATGTGTGTGTGTATGTATATGTGTGTGTGTGTGTAAATGTAAGCTCCAATGTAGTTCTGACCCGCGCCAGTGTGCAACTTTGACGGTAAAAGAGGGGAGAGATGATGCGTGTGGATGTTACGCATGGAGAGGGGGAAAGTGTGTGTGTGTGTGTGCGCGCGCGTGCGTGTGTGCATATTTTATTTATTTATTTATTTATTTAAAGGGACAATGCATATTAATGAACATGTAAATGTAAATATGCCAGAATTAGCCAATGGCTATTTTCCATCTGTAGTCCCTGGCAGATCAAGAAAATACAAAGACTAATATACGACATTTAAAAGACAAAAGATCATCACACAAATCATCCACACAATTAAACTGGAGATATGTGTGGCTCGTGCGGCGTGAGAGTCGTCCCGGAGTTTATAATACATGGGCGCATACAGCTAGATACAGACCCGCTCGTCACCCGTGCAAATAGGGCTTAAAATAGCGTTATTAAGAGACCTCCCCTCTCCCCTTTTTCTCTTTTTTAATCGACAGCTTTGACCGGTTAACGCTGTGACGGTCAACCACCGGTTAACCGGTCGCCGATTTACATCCCTATGTTCTACCCTTTCATATTTCAAAACCGTTACCGTCTTCTACCACGGCAGTCTGGTTCAGCAATGCCACGCCACACTAGTGTAACGTGGCATTGCGAGAGCGTGTGCCCAGATGGTTTCTACATGGTTTAAAAGGAACAATTAGGCCTTGTACCTTGGGCCTTCCTCCTTGTGAAAAAGCGGGAGTGACGCTAAAGGCAGCATCACTTCCCTCTGCGGTTAACAAGCTGCGTGCAACCTGTCACTTCTGCTCAGCTCGCCACACGCTTCGCCCTTTGCTTTCCACTCCAACTTTCATCTCCCATGCGCCCCGCAAATGGTTTTCCCAGAGAGCAGCAGCAGCAGCAGCAGCAGCAGCAGCAGCGACAGCAGCAGCAGGGCCCCCATTGCCTCTCAGGGATAAAAACCATAGACTGTATATAAAAACACAGCCATAGATTTAAAGGGGGTATGAAATGTAATCAGTGCTGGCTTTCTTTGCGTTCTTGTCTTAGAACCTTCAAAGCCTATAGGGGGTATGTCTCCTGTACGAGAAGGGCCTTTTACAGGGCAGAAAATGAATTGGAATTGAATTTTAATTTGACTACTTCAATAGGCTTGTGCAAATAAAAGAAAGTATTCTTAAAGGTAGACTGTGTAGTTTTTACTCCCATCTAACGTTGAGATCATACATTGTAATCTACAGAACTACGGCAGCTTCTCAGGACAATATGTGGTCTTTGACAGTGGTCTCCAATTCCCGCTCTAACTCCTTTTTTTCCCTCATCAACCACTGAATTTCAAGATGGTGGATTGACGAGTAGAGTCCTCCAGCCTCATGGACATTTATAAGTAATTTTCTAAGTTTATGAAAACAATTGAAAAACATGGTGGAGGTAAATATTCTTAAAAAGATCAAATCTGTTATTGGTTAACATGTTTTTTCATTTGGACTTTATACCTTTAAAAGTGCATCTTCAACTGTGCTATTGTTGCGGATGTTTCCTGCTTTTATTACAAATGGTCCATTGCTCCTTAAAGAGATGGAGGCTTATGCTTTGCTTTAAAAAATCTAGGTTTAGTTTAAAGCATAAAATTGCTGACCACTCAGAGCCGCTGGGAAAGAAGGTTGAAAAGGCAAAAAAATCAAAAGGAGAAGTTTAAAAAGCTGAGTACAGTAAGTGGTCCACAGTTATGATTATGAAGGGCTAATTGATCGAGTCAACTCGGGAAAAATAACAGGAAATCCACCACACACAGGAAACAAAAAAAATTGGAGGAGATCGTAAAGCGCTGCAAAAAACCCTGACGCTGTTGGTCCGAAAAATTGCAATTGGATACTTCGTCAAAATCATGAATCCCCGTTTACTTTCATCTCCTCGTATTTCTCCAAATGGTTCCCCCCGGGCAGCACAAAGCCCCCGCTGCCACTCAGGGATTAAAAAAAGGCAGGGACATAGTATGTTTCCTGTTAAGAGCCTCATGGAGCATAAGTAGCAGCTTTTCTCAGATATGGCCCTCGGCGATAAACGGCACAGAGTCTAAACTGCGACACCACATCACAGACACAGAGAGTTAGGAGAACGCCACGAGACCAGAACCGAGGGAAAACTGAGCCGGAAGGGTCTGGAGAGGTGTAAAAAGACTCGAGACAGATGTACTGGTTACTATGGTGATAAAAAACTATCTATCTATCCATCTATCCATCCATCCATCCATCTATCTACCTACACAGGCCTAGGTGTTAGGGTTAGGGTATTGTAGAGGGAGAATAGTTTGACCAATGGGGACAAAGCCCGTCTGGATTTGAATTCATATCATCCAATCAGGAAGCTCGGGGGGCGGGTCTAATCAACGCATCCATTTGAACATTTTCTCTTTCATACTTATAATAGAAAAAACTAAACAACTACAATGTATAATATTTGTTGTTCCGCCGGATCTGTGTCCGTAGCTTCTCAAAAACAGTCTCCGTTCTCAGTTTTTTTTGTGTGGGATGTTTGGAGCAGAAGTGCACGGGCCCGAGTTGGGATGTTCCGCACATGTCTGTCTGCGATTGAACTTTGAGACAGTTTTTCTAAGTCAAAACAGAAGAGGCAGGAAGACCCCCATAGACCCCCATCTGGAACCCATCTGAGCCGCAGCTAATGCCTCCCCCAGGACCATGGCTCAACCTTAATTTGTTTCATTTGTGACCTCTGAACGCCCAAGCCCCGCCTCTAAAACCAAACTGAGCAAAGCAGCTTTTTTACTGGAAAGGCAACCGCAGTTAGGCCGGTCACACTGAACATGGCGGAGGGTCGGAAAACACGGCAAAGAACATGTTGAAAAACGTCTTGATTTTAAAAACACAAATTGGTGAATTGTAAGCATTGTAATTGTCAACTGGACTGGACAGAATTGAAACTCGGGCTGTCACACGTTCATGAATGAATCACAACTAATCGGTAATCGAAAAAGATGTCAAAAAGAAGAATGAATTTGTGTTTGAACTATTTGATTCTCTGATCCGTGTTGGTGATTTCGACGGTTTTGTGAAGTCCTCTGCGATAACTACGGTTGTGATTTAGGGCTATACAAGAATAACAAGAAGAACAAGACACATTGACAAAATAATCAGCAACTAATCTGTGAAAAGATATAGGGTTTTTTTTTTGTTTCCCAAGAAATGATCAACATTTTCCAATCAAACCATGAATGTGCCGAAACCATCAGTAAAATTGATTTATTCCAATCAATGGCACATGACACAGGCTTCCTCATGACGCCGAAAAGATAAGAAACTCAAATAAACATCACATAAATCAAAAGCTGTCTGATTCTAGTCTGATCCTGATCTGTCCAGTTCTCGCTGTAAAATGAGAGAGTTGATAATAAGGAGGAAAAACTCATTTACACGGAAATCTGGTGGTGGTTGAAGGGTAGTAATAATATAAGCAGCATTGAAGTAGAAATGGTAATGACATAAAAACCATTGAACATGTTTGATTTATGGGAATGGGGGTCAATTATAATTCAGAGTTTGAGTGGGAACCTCACGATGCGATACGATGTGCGACACAAAGCTCACAAAAACGATTATTTCACGATATGACGATCAATATACAGTATTGGTCAAAAATATACCTACGATAATATTTTTATTATATTGATGGCATAAATTAAGTGAAAGAATACACTTTATTTCAAGACAAATGGATAAAGGGTCATGTGTAAGATTTTTTTTAATCGATACTTAGCAAAAGCATATCTATAATGGATTGCGTGAGAAAGTGTTACGATACATCACCATATCGATATATTGTCACACTACTAATTAAGAGAATGTATAACTGAGGTCTATGCAAGTGAATACGTTTGTGTGAGCTCTCAGTCGTACAGGGATCATTCAAAACATGGCATCTCCAAATCTATCTATCTATGGTTATGTGTTGGTTGAGGTTTGAGAATTCCATTAAATAAACAATTTTCCAAAAGTCTTCAAAAAAACCATCGCAATGTTTTGCCATTTTTCATTGGTTTTCCCTTAAACATGTTATTTTTTTATTATTATTCAAACTCACCAGTGATTATCAATCATTTTCTCACCCAAATAACACAGTCCGCTCTTTACTGCCCCGGCCACAGTTCCTCCCCTTTTCAGCCCAGAATGACACCCTACTGTTCAGCTTACTGGAGCATGAGCAAATCTAAATCATGTCATTGACCGGGAGCAGTTCATTTTAACTTAAAATCAACAAAAGAACGTCAATACACCGATGGAAACATCTCTTTACAATGCACACCCCCCTGAGCTATTGCAAGCAATGGAGCTGGCCTATTTTAGATCCGAGGCCATACATCTATAGCCCGGCTGGCTTCGGGGGATCCTGCCTGAATAGAGGTCCTACTGAAAGAATATCCTTGTGAAAATGAATAGGCAAGAAATGTCATATGGTATATTTAAGGTGCCAAGTTTGGACTATTGAAGGCTGTGGACAAGGTAGCCTAGAGACCTGCGGATCCGGTGTTGTCCCGGGTTCTGAAGGACTAAGGAGCAAGGGCAGAGAGAGGCCACTGCAGCTGCGAGACCAGAGGGAGAGAGGGGGAGAGGGAGGGAGTGATGCAGGAGAGAGAGGGAGAGAGAGAAGGGGGGAGAGAGAGAGAGAGAGAGAGGGGAGGGAGTGATGCAGGAGAGAGAGGGGAGAGAGAGAAGGGGGGAGAGAGAGAGAGAGAGAGAGGGAGGGAGTGATGCAGGAGAGAGAGGGAGAGAGAGAAGGGGGGAGAGAGAGAGAGAGAGAGAGAGAGGGAGGGAGTGAGGCAGGAGAGAGAGGGAGAGAGAGAAGGGGGGGAGAGAGAGAGGGGGGAGAGAGGGAGGGGAAAGAAAGGGAGAAAGGGAGAGAGGGAGAGAAGGGGGAAAGAGGGGGAGAGAGAGGGGGGGAGAGGCAGGAGAGAGAGGGAGGGAGAGAGAGAGCGAGAGAGAGAGAGATAGAGGGAGGCAGGAGAGAGAAGGACGGAGATAGAGCCAGAGGCAGAGAAAAAGAGAGAAGGGAGAGAGGAAAAGAGAGAGAAGGAAATAGCGACAGAGACAGAAAAAGTGAGAGAATGGGAGAGAGAAAGAGAAGGAGGCAAAAGGAGAGAGAGCGAGAGGGGGAGAGAGAGAAATAGAGGGAGAGAAAGAGCGAAAGCGTGAGCAGAGAGGGGGGAGAGAGGAAGAGACAGAGAGAGGGGGGGGGGGGGGGGCAAGAGCGAGAAGAATACAGAGAGAGAAAGAGAGAGAGAGAGAGAGAGAGAGACAGCGGTGTGCTTAGTAACTGCAGTCAAAATTATCTGTCGCCATCCCAAACTGGCAACGTAATATAAATACAAAGCAGATATCAGGAGCAAGAATATCTAATGAGATCAAAGAGGTGCGGCTACAAAAACATGTAGAGCTATAATAAATATCAAATATGTTTTACAGTGCGGTTAAAAATACGTGTCTGTTGTGGTGTCAGTGCATGTCAACTGCATTATGGAATAGTACATGTTTTTGCGGGTGTCAACAATGATATATTTAGATTAGTCCCTCCCCTTGCCATACCTCCAACCAATCAGATTTGCTGGAGGAGAATAATTAAACCAATGGGGAGGGGGCCTCAAGGGTTTGAATTTAATCACAAAACTCCCGGGTTTCCGACTCCAAAGCCGGGATATAGAAACTTAAACATGGGGTCTCTCCCCCTGGTCTCTCTCTCTGGTCTCTCCCCCTGGTCTCTCCCCCTGGTCTCTCCCCCTGGTCTCTCCCCCTGGTCTCTCCCACTGGTCTCTCCCACTGGTCTCTCTCTCTGGTCTCTCCCCCTGGTCTCTCTCTGGGCTCTTCTTTTCTCTGGTTACTCGCTCTCTCTGGTCTCTCTCCCTGTTCTCTCTCTCTCTCTGGGCTCTTCTTTTCTCTTTCTGGTCTCTCTCTCTGCTCTCTCTGCTCTCTCTGCTCTCTCTCTCTCATCTCCGACTGTTGCATACATTGCGTACCCCGTGAGGTCTTGTAGACGTCTTTGCGAGTCTAACCGCCATTACACATCATTCTTAATCCTCGCACAAATCTATGCCACGATGAAACTTAACTGCGACAAGTTTTTGGGCTCACCTTTCACCAGCAGCTCGGGGTCTTCCTCTGGACTCTTGCTCTTGTCCATGATGAGGCTCTTCATCTCGGACACTTCTGAGATGGCGTGTCTGTGAGGGGAAACAGAAACAGGATGTAAATAACTTGTCTCTCCTCTGGCAACTCACTGCCATTGGACAGAGGCCCCGGGACACCCCCACATCTGACACCGATCCCACTATTACGGACCATTCAGGAGGGGGGGGGGGGGGGCGAATATATCGGTCCTCCAGAGCTGAGGTACAAGCACGTCATGTGGAAAGCATGGTCAGGTGTTTGGTGGTATGAGTCTACATTTAGTTTTAGTAGAATTAATAGTTGTTCAAAATATATCATGAAGTACTATGTGTGTATCTCTCTGTGGGGTCTCTTTGGTCTCTCTCTGGTCTCTCTCTGGTCTCTCTCGCTGGTCCCTCTCTCTGGTCCCTCTCTCTGGTCCCTCTCTCTGGTCCCTCTCTCTGGTCTCTCTCTCTGGTCTCTCTCTCCTCTCTCTCTGGTCCCTCTCTCAGGTCTCTCTTTCTCTGGTCTCTCTCTCTCAGGTCTCTTTCTCTGGTCTCTCTCTCAGGTCTCTATCTATCTCTCTCTCTTTGGTCTCTCTCTGGTCTCTCTCTGGTCTCTCTCTGGTCTCTCTCGCTGGTCCCTCTCTCTGGTCTCTCTCTCTGGTCTCTCTCTCTGGTCCCTCTCTCTGGTCCCTCTCTCTGGTCCCTCTCTCTGGTCTCTCTCTCTGGTCTCTCTCTCTGGTCTCTCTCTCTGGTCTCTCTCTCTGGTCTCTCTCCTCTCTCTCTGGTCCCACTCTCTGGTCCCTCTCTCTGGTCTCTCTCTCTGGTCTCTCTCTCTGGTCTCTCTCTCTCTCAGGTCTCTCTTTCTCTGGTCTCTCTCTCTCAGGTCTCTTTCTCTGGTCTCTCTCTCTCAGGTCTCTCTCTCTCTCTCTCTCTCTCTCAGGTCTCTCTCTCTCTCTCTCTCAGGTCTCTTTTTCTCATACTTGTTCTAATAAGTCCCTTGGCACTTATTAGAACAAGTGAGTGTACGAGTTGAAAGTGAAGGCCGTTCCTTAATCATGGCTAGATTAAACTTTTCTGGAATAACTTTCTAGCTTGGTTTCATTTGAGATGTAGTCATTCCTGGTTAATGTTTAGTGATAGATACGTACTTCTTTGAGATAGCTATAGTATTTACGTCAAAGTCGAGAACCAGTTTATTCTTGTTTTGGATGTGGTTTCAGAGCAATTCAAACAGCAATCCGGGTTTACAATGGTCTACCTATTTTCTTTATAAAGAGTCTGTTATGATGATTATCAGATTGACTTCTTGTTAAATATTATCAAGAGCTTTGCCTTTTGGACTCTCTCTTCAGTCACAACAGTCCATTAAAATGACCGAATCATGATCTCACCCACAATGGCGATCTCACCCACAACCCTCCCGTCACTTTCAACTAGCCTTGGTGGAGGTCAACATACACTGGGAACGGGTCTGACTTACTGCCCCCGACGCACGAACACGGCTCTGGTCTTACAGGGACAGGACAACCCTCAGCAAAGAACCCTGGACCCCATACTTCTGGAGAAACCCCCAAAAGAACTCCGGAGAAAACACCGTCGAACATCTCCAGATCCACAAAGCACAATGTGGACATGGGACTGAGACTCCAATGCTTCCTCCAGTACTCGATAGAACGTATAAAACTGGTCCTTCTGAATCCCCATTTCGATCATCAGGGATCAGTTGATGACTCCTTGGATGGCTTGTTGTATCATGCAACCTTTCACTCATCAATTGTTGAAGTAAAAAAAATTTCTAGTAGACCGGTTTCTATTACTTAAGTTCAAGAAGAAATTATGGACTGGGTTAAGGTACAAAAAAAGATCAGTCTGGTTTGGTTTTAGTGGACATAGGACATACATGATTTTTACATTTCCCAAACTATGACTGTATGTAGATGGACAATGCTAACCCCCTAGCTTACTGAAGCCCAATGGGGAGGGGCCCTGGTCGTTTAGCTAATTTTGTCGCAACTTACTTTGGCTCCTATTGCCTGACGTTGAAATGAAAACTCCCTACCATATTGGGCTTAAAAGAATCCGTGGTTTAGCACTCTCTGTAATCTTGGTGTTTATATCTTGATCTTTCTCAGTAAATTCTCAGTAAATTCAGATATAAGCTTCACAGATTGACTAATCAGAGGCAGATCCAGCTGTCCTTCGCAAATATGTTAGCGACGGGTTGGTTGGCATCTGTCCCGGTTACGACGCAACGCTGACCTTGCTGAAATAAAAGCTCATATCAGGAAAATGGCTCCAGCAACGTTATGTTCAAAATGACTTCTTCTTCCTTGTTCGAACACTATGAGTGACATCAGCCCTCAGTTAGTCCAATCCTAATTAACAATCTATGGTCGTAAATGAAGGCCCCGCCGACATTTATAATCTTTTGACTTCCCATTTTGGCAGTCCCCCGACCCTACTGCGAGTTTATCTCAGACCAAGGTCCATTTCCACTCGATCAGATATGGCCCGCAGACTATGTCCTGTTTATTTTTCTAATTATCCACACATCGTCTCGTCCCTGGAAATACTGAGGACACCAAGTACAAGTGACAAATCTTTTCTCTCATTCCTTCCTGTCTGCAGTTCACCTTTGGGACCACCACTCAGGAAAGCTCCCACTCCCCAGGGTCCATGTCCCGCAGTTTACTCACAGCTTGGGTGATTTACGCTGGTATTGATCTCAGAGGTCCAGATGGTCTCTCCTCGCGGAAGACGGCAGAACTAATCGATGAGTCCCAATATAGCGTTATCTACTTGGACTCGGCTTACGAGACCACAGAGGCCATTTCCTACATCTATTCATGAGCACTTCCCTGATCCGATCTATTGTCCTATACGGCTATTTTTGATCCTATGGAGGAGTTTATGCATTCAGGGTCTTGGTAAATGTGATTAAATTTCAGCTAAGTGGATTTTTGAAAGAAGCAGATTGAAGCAGCGATCTATGTTTAGCCACATGAGTGCGATAGTTTTTCGTTAGCCAAAACCAATTAAATAATACATTGTGAATTGATTAGTTCGGTAAGATGTGGTTCGGTTCTTACCAAACTTATGATGAAATATTGATACAAAATGTCGATACTAAACTTAGTATAGATATTGTGGCCTACTAGATCAATGTGACTTTTGTGTGTATGTGTTTCTTCATTACGGTTTGTGATATTCTTTACATTTAATTTCTGGATTAGACAATGGGAACCCAAAATCAATACCAATTATTTTTGTATAGCCTTATGTCACAACAGTAGTCGTCTCGGAGGACTTTAAAAAGTTGTCGATTCGCCAACAGAGATCTGAGAATCAAACAGTTTAAGCATATTAAATGCAATAACATCAAACACATAGGAGCCATTAGTCCACAGGGGGCGGGATGACCAATGTCCATAAATGTTTATAAATGTCCATAACCGTCCTTAAAAGTCCTGGATCATCATCATCCTGCATCGGCAAAGAACGACTCAAAAATGTGGGGAAAGGTGAGAAACCTCAGATAGGCCCACATTGAGAGAGATTCATAGATATATTTGTCAGTGTTGCTGCAAACTGTTGTTGAAGGTGAAGGGGCATAAAAACGTACTGCACAAAAGAAGAGTTGAATAGAGCAGCGCTTCCCAAAGTGGGGTTAGGGGTCCTGGATTCGATTGAAAGATGAAGTTTGAATAATGTACAATATTGTAAAAAGTAATTGTAAATGAATGATTTGCCAGAAAATGTTACTTTTGATAATTAATGTTTGATGTGCATTGAACTCGAAATAAAAAAACAGTCAACTCAACTCAAAGTCCCAGTGATTCCACAACAGTTGGATATTGACACATCTCTCTACAGCCGAGCCCTATAGGTCTATAACCCCCGTCTCACCCAACTATCAGTGGAGCCTGGAGTACTCCACGATCCCAGACACCACTCGAAAGCACCAAAATAAACACAGATATGTACATGTCTGTCTGAGGTTGTTGAAACACCCGGGGCATAACGCAGACAGCGTGCAGACGGTGTCAGTAATGTAGTGACAGAATGGGCATGGATTAGCTCTGCAGGAGAATATAGCAGGCAATACAATGTAAGGCTTTTTATACTGCCTGTGGTTATTGGATACAGCTCAGTTGGAACAGAAGTGCAGACGGACACTGCTGATCTAAAGCTTGGACTCACTCATTAGGTCCAGATTTCTGAAGGAAAAAATGTTTTTCAATGGCTATAACATTAAGAAAGGTTATTAATTTGATCTTGTTGTGATCCAGTTGTCAGCCTGATGCCTTCACTTTTTATCATGGTTTATTCATTTTTATATGAATTTAGGACAGTGCATATAAACCAATATGAACATAGATTTGCTGGAATTAGCATATAAAATGGCACTCTCGCCTCTCAGCAAGAAGGTTCTGTGTTCAAATCCCGGTTGGACCAGGGCCTTTCTGAGTGGAGTTTGCATGTTCTCCCCGTGTCTGCGTAGGTTTCCTCCGGGTACTCCGGTTTCCCCTACCACTAAAAATATGTCCAATTGATCTGGCATGCGCCTCCTGTACTGGCGCCCCTGCCCAAAAATAACAATTGTAAACCGCTTTGAGACTCTGATCTGCAGTGAAAAGGCGGTATATAAATAAAGATTATTACTATTACTACTACTACTAGATTGGCAGAAAAAAATAATCCCACAAAAAATAGTTGCATAACGAAGGAATAATTAAATGATGAAAACACGGTCTCGATCAGAGGTGCTCAAACTTGTTTCCTTCGGGGGCCAAATCTAATACGTGTTTTTGACAAAGGTCCAAACTCACATGCAACATATTTATTGCTGAATGAGCAATTTTCATTGTGCTTTTATATAACTAAGATAATATATTAAAAACCTGTCCGCACACCTCATGGGTCAAAATAGAAAATTAGGGGCAGATCTTTGGGCACCAGCGGCAGATTGCAATTACGTCAAGACAAGAATCAAACTATTTCATTCAAAACAAACAAATCTGAACAGTGTATAGAATTTGTCCGTATTCTTTATCTGCAGCGTTTCTGTT